TTAGACTTGATAATTATTTCGAATAAGCTTCTATGACGAATGCGTGAGCAATATTGCTTTATAATTTATATTATATAATATATTATATTAAGTTTATATTATAAACTTTGGAAAAAATCGTGAATTTAGTAAGAAAAGTATATATGTACACGTTATATTTATATTAACATTAATTAATGAGTTCATATTGGTGAATTGAACTCATGTTCCACAAATTTCAACACGACCCAAAATTTCGTCCATCAATTCTGACACACGTGCACAAAATTTTATTTTTTTATTTATTTTATTTATTTTAAAATTTTTTATTTATTCAAGATTTTTATATATTGAAATCGATTCATTATATTGATTGTCGTGACCACCACTTTAGGCTTTAACTTCTTAATTAAGTTTCTCGTGCTTCGAATTTTCGCATGACCTTGGCGCCCTACGTTGCCATGGACTCAAGTGTAGGCAAGTTTGTCGTTACCACGACCTCGTCTCATTGAAGTATTGGACGGCAAATCGATGGCCGCGCGATGGAATTCGGATGCAGCTCAGCTGATCCGACTTTCAGTCTATGAGTGCATTTATGAATTGGTGCTTAACACGTTTTTGTTAGAAACTACTTTTATATTTTTCTTTTTATATTTTATATAAAAATATAAATATATATTTTATATTTTTCTAAATTGAACATATACTCTTCGAAAGTTATTGCTTAACCGATTTATCCTAAAGCTATCAGTTATTTAAGTTTCATCTCCATATATATATATGCGTCATATAAATATTGTTTACATAACTGTAAAAAACGTCGATTTTATATTCGTTCATTAAATATTTTAGGTTGCTTAGTTTGATTTCATTTCTTGATAATACATTTTTTACATGCAGCAAAGTTTCATAGAATATTCCGTCAATCTGTGTAGTTTCATGCCATCATTTCTAAGCACAGCGCCCGAGATTTAGCTACGACTCATCGTTGCTCTCTTATTCCGACGCTTTGCTACAGCTCTTATTCGGTGGATGCGCGATGGAATTCGGATGCAGCTCAGCTGATCCGACTTTCAGTTTATGAGTGCATTTATGAATTGGTGCTCAAGACGTTTTTTGCTAGAAACTACTTGCTGTCTATTATATTTTTCTAAATTGAACATATACTCGTCGAAAGTTAGTGCTTACTCGATTTATCCTTGAGCTATCAGTTATTCAAGTTTCATGTTCATGCATCGTATAAATATTGTTGACATAACGGTAGAAACGTTGATTTTAAATTCGTTCATTAAATATTTTAGGTTGCTTTGTTTGATTTTATTTCTTGATAGTACATTTTTTACATGCAGCAAAGTTTCATAGAATATTCAGTCAATCGATGTAGTTTCATGCCATCATTTCTAAGCACAGCGCCCGAGATTTAGCTACGACTCATCGTTGCTCTCTTAATCCGACGCCAAAGCCCTCATTCGGCTGGTTTTCCCTTAGCAATTGGCTTATCAAGTAACGTCGTGTTACTTGACGCTGAGTTGATGACTATATATCAAGTGTGTACTTATTTACGCCATATGCCGACTTTTGGGCCAGGGATAACAATTCTCGTTTGATGCAAATCTCTAAAGCATGTTATTATCTTCATCCTTTTCAATGTTAAGCATTTTATTTAAAATAACTGATCATATTCTTCGTTATTTTTACGTACGACTTCATTTATTAATTTTCTATTGTAATGAGCCGCCACGCACTTCAGTCATATTTTAATACTAGACACAGCTTTTTGTTTGATAATTTTCTGAATTTCTTTAATGTTCCGCTTTGGTTTTACATTTTATATCATTTAAAAATTTGTCAGTTTATCGTTGACAGCTTTTATCAATCACTGTCATGAGATAGAGGAATCAAGTCTGTTGATCCACCCCTGCACCATCGCGAAACACACATCCTCTCGGCCCTGTGTCTGGCACAGCACTGACTGCTTCCTAGCTGTTAGGCTATATTACAGCTACCTGGCCAGCACCGACTCGTCAAAAACGAAATTAACACCCAATAGATTTTTATTTCTTCTGCTCAATAAAATCAGAGCATTTTGGGTCGAAAAATAACGGTTCAGTTATCATCCTTCCCCGCGTGTCCTCTATATCTCTTTCTCTATATCTATAAAAAAAGAATATAATTCAATGTCACGAGCAAACCCCGTAGAGTTTATTACGAAATGCCCTTTTAAAACACGTGGAAATTAGTGTGATAAAAAAACACCGAAATTAAACTTTCAGTGTGGCTACATTTAATGCCTAACAATTGTTTGGCATTACAATTGGACTGTAATGCTTGCCTGTCATGCTAATTTGGAAGCATTACAACTGCTCAATACTTCAGACCCGCCGTCTCACAGAAGCTGTTATAGCATACGTAACGGCTCCAATTGCTGCTACTTACTCTTTAATGTTGTGCATGGTAACGGTAATGTAGCTCCGTGCATTTGAGAAGCCCTATGATGTATCCTGCTAAAAAAAAATCTTGGAGGGAATAGGAATTATTGTAATGTTAGTGTAAATATTATTGTTATATCGCGCGTGCATTTGAGAAGCCTTATGGATGTATCCTGCGCAAAAAAAATCTTGAAGGGAATAGGAATTATTGTTATGTTAGTGTAAATATTGTTATTGTTATATCGCGTTGTGATTCATATGAGTTGCAAGTTTATTAATAAGAGCAATAGATACATGTCTTCAACCTGACGCCAATGTTAAGTCTTTAACCAACTTGTTATCTATTTTATACAAACAAACTTAGCTCCTTAGCACGTTCAGTGCAATTAGCAAGCAAAACGCTTCGTGTTGTTAACGTGAATAAGTTGCACCCAAAATAGCATTGCTAGCGCTGCTATTATTATGTGTATTGATCGTTTTCCGCTTGAATACGTAATTTTGTTTGCTGTGTTCTCACTGGTGGTATGATTACTGCATTATAAACTTTTTTATGTATGTTAAAAACAGCCTCTTTTATTGCAGTTCTAACGACTGTGGGGTCGCAAGAAATTTTCAGCAATCATTGACTTGAATATTTTATTATTACTATTACTATTATATTATTTATTTTTATTGCAGTTCTAACGACTGTGGGGTCGCAAGAAATTTCCAGCAATCATTGTCCTGAATGTTTTTAGGTGCCTATTACTATTACATCGAGAGCGATCAAGTCGCGCAGGAGGCATAAAGTGGGATCTCGGTAAACCAGTGCTAATTATGATATAATCTATCATGAATATTAGGGTACCGAATTACACTGATATTTTTGAATGATTTTATTTTATTATAATACTGTGATATTATTTTACCACGTAAGGTTGTCAGGCGGGTCCACACTCGACACGTCCACTGATCACGCACATGACTCTCATGCGTAGCGCTTCATGTCTTCGTAGCTCATGACTTAAGTAACGTCATGTGCACGCCATCGCCTTCGTCTTTGATCGCTTGTGTCTTCGAGGTCAAAAAGTTCATTTATTTTCAAACCTAATGTATTTGAAGCCAACGTGCCCGAACATTTGAATGACTTATCAGATACGCGTGTCTTTGACCGCTCGTGTTTTTGAGGAAAAGGTTCATTTCTTTTCACACCTAATTAATGTATTTCAAGCCAACGTGCCCGAACATTTGAATAGCTTATCAGATACGCGATTAACACATTAGGCAAATGGCGTCAGCGCAACGTATTAATTACAGGTGTCCTCGAGGTTATCGATATAAACCTCGGTTTAATTAAAGTGTTTAGCTTATTCCAAGGCAGTAATTCTTGATCAAGCCTCCTGCCGAGCCATTGTCGTGACCTGAGCAACTAATAATAATTATAGGGAAGATTTAGTAGCCTTGAACCTGTACGTGCACTTGAGGCTTACACACGCTATCTTCCTTCCTACCCTGGGCCATCTTTTATTTGACATTTTCTTTGTTTTTACTTTTATTTGAATTGTTCAGACATCTGTTCTGCCCTTGAGAATCATAATGCATAGTTCTTGGCAGGCTTTGATGTTGCGTATAAATCTTCGTTTCAGATCCAGGGTGTTCTTGCCAATTTCATCCATCAATTGCGGCCGTTTTTGGCTGATAAATCTACCTTTATTCCAAGTTTTAATCTATTTCCGTATCCCATCAGTCTTTGTATCTACATATTTTGAATCCCTGCAAGTTTAGTTGTCGCAAAGTNCTAGATGTGTATAAGAGACAGTTGCTATGCTGTATATAATTTCCTTAGGTTGACCTTAGAACAACAAATTTCTAGCGCTGCTCACTCGATGCTAAATGATGATTGCTGCACTGCTCATAATGTTTTCAAGGCTGTATTTTACACTTAATTCTTGATTATCTGTTTAAAACAGACTGTACATGCACAACAATTTTTCTCGCATTTTTTGCTTAAATTCATGTATGCAGTGTCTTTAGATAATTTTTTAGAACCTAGCACATTTTAACAAGATTATCCGCTTCATCCTGTCTTTTTTTTTAAGTTCAGCATTTTAAATCTTGTACGGTACTACGCGAGGCTATGCTGAAGTTAGTGGTACTCGTAGGTAGTTGTAATTATCACCGAAAAATTAGAACAAAGCTTAAAGTCGCTAAATTACGATTAAACCTCATGTATGATGGAAGTCCTCGTTGTTTATCTACTAGTTCTGTTCGGATCCCGTTGTTCTGAAATTTACTGTCTGAGTCTGCATGTATTTCCTTCAAGTCCTGCATCATGTCTTCCATATGCTTAACCCTCTCGCCTGATATGTGACCAGAGCAATATTGTCGCACAAGTCTACCCAAAAAGAATGCTTTGCTATTAAGCCCAAAATGACTTGCACTGATGGTTGCCGCCACGTACGACAACTTTAAAATGTTCTTTGTTGCGTACAAATGTCCTCAGGCCGCTACAGTCAATAGTTTACGTATAATTTTAGTTGAAATTTATGTTTCCGGAGAGTGATATACGGTGGCAGAGGGTTAAATTAATTGGCTCGATATTATTGTTTGCAGAACGGCCTCGGACTGCCAGTACGATAACGTGGAACTCAACGACCTCCTGCTGCAGTTCAGGGAGGCTGAGAGTCTGGAGGAGCAGGGCGACATCCTGCACTATCTGGTGGGAGTTGTGCTAGTTTATGGATTTACTTTAGACTAGTATTCTTAACTGATACTGTAACCCTTTATCGCTTATATCGTGTATCTTCAAGTGGAATATTACTGAATGCTATGCGTATTTGCTCCTCAAAATTTTTGGTATTTATTCATGAAATATTGCTCAACATGTTGCAGGTGGTTGCCTACGGCCTGAACCATCCTACGGGATCCTTCATCGAGGGCGAGGCTGTGACCGTCAAGGATCTCCTCAAGGATTTATACGAGCGCTCCTGCCACCAGAAGAACTGGGCCCTCGTGCGCCACACCGCCGGTACGCACGTCACTGCTAAATTTCAACATTATAATTTGGTGTATTTTGCTTTATTATCATCATCTGTGTTTAAACGCTCTTCGCCACATTGGACGGATTATCGACTACAACTGCTTTCACACGTATTGTTTACTATCTTCCCATTCATTTTTCTCCTAGCCTTGTGGATCTCTATTCAGACATTATTTTCTCATTTATAGTAAAAATGCCATATTGTGCTCGTCATGTCCGTCTGTCTGTCAGTCCGTCTGTCTGTCCGTCTGTCTGTCTGTCTGTCCGTCTGTCTGTCTTTCCGTGACTTGACGTTTTCGTCGACGAGAAAATGCGCTCTCTGTCACTTACTGCAGTGAGTACTGAGTTACATTTTTTTATGTATTGTTTACTATCTACCTACACATTTTTTCTCTAGTCTTGTGTATTCAGACATCTGTTTTAGCGCATATTCTCATTTATGGTAAAAACGCCCTATTGTGCTCGTCATGTCCGTCCGTCCGTCTGTATGTCCGTGACTTCACACGTTTTCGTCGACGAAAAAATGCGGTCTCTGTCACTCACTGCTGTGAGTACTGAGTTATATATTTTTATTGTAATCGGTTGTGTGAAAAGCTCGTGTTGATATTATTGACTGACCTAAAGGCATGCTTGGGAAGCGCGTGGAGGACCTGGCGAAGGCCGTGACGGACTTGTTGGTGCGGCAGAAGCAGGTGACCGTTGGGGTGCCGCCCCATGCTGAGGTCACCATCGTACGCCCTCTGCCCACCATCGAGCTCAGGGCTCTCATCAACAAGGCTTATGGTTCAGACGAGAGCACAGCCATGCTCACCCAGGTCATTGCTGCCTACTTCTTACACTTCTCTCTCATCATATCTTGAGAAATGTGTCGTGTTAGACATATAAAGAAAGATATTCTGTGTTCGAGGTCTGAAAAGGTCTAGAAGAAGTTGAATATGGAATGTCGTTGCGATTCTTGATATTTGTTTGATTGTTTTTTTTTTCTGCATTAATTTCGAAGTAGCTGAAGTATTAAAGAGTAATTCGAAATCATAACTTAGTTCAACAAAACCACGGTAGAACTGAATTAAAAAGGAAAATAATAAACGTGAGAAGATGTTCAGTATCGAAATGACAATAATACTTATTTATTTGCCACGGACAAAAATGACTTATAATGGATATCAACCAAGAATTATAACCTGACCAACAATACCGTAATACTAATTACATTATAACCTGACCAACAATAATAATACTACTAGCACAATCGATGATTTGTACCAGCAATGCCGGACGACTCTAAGTCGAAAGCTACAATGATATTGATAAGCCACGGTACCGACCGCCGTCCACTTGTTATTACTCTTCTCTAATTATGCATGATCAGGTGATGGCACTGGAACTGGCGCGCACTATTCTCTGCAGCAAAGATCAGGCTTCTGACCACCTCCTCAACTTGTCGCCCTTCCAAATGAAGAACCTCCTGCACCACATCATGGCCGGCCAGGAGTTCAACATTGGATCAGGTCAGCGGGTTTTATCATTGCTTGTCTCGTGTCCATTTTTTCCATTTATAGACAAATATCATCGCAGCTGAACGAGAAAAACCCGAAATGATTGCCGGTTGCATTTGGTTTTTCAAAAATATGATCGTCATAAAAGTTACGTTTTGTTTCTATGTGGATGATTCAACTTTAGTGGACGTCTGTCCGCTGTCTTTGGCAACATATAATGAGGAGATTAGGAAGAAAAAAGAACGAAAATTATCAGAAAGAAACGTCAGAATCAGGAAGGAGAATGAACGTAAAATTATTTGTTGGATTGCAAATTATGCTCGCTGCGTGTCATATCTTGTCGGTTGTTAGTTGTGCACGGCGCAATTAATGACGCACGAGTGCTGCATCTTAATAGTTATGACTTGCAAGTTTATGTTCAGGTTTCGACTGCCTTAGTAGAGATAGTGTTTTTTCAATAATTGAATATAAAGTTTCATTAGAAATTACAGCAATTTGGTTGAAAACCACAAGCGTTTTACCGTCTAGGGCACCCCACGCCGTTTCTGCCTTATGCTGCCGAATAGCGCACGAACGAAATAATGCAATTTTTGTGAACGAAAACTGCAAGAAGCTCTTATTTCTGTTCCCAACAGCAAGTTTGGCGTCTGTAATTAGAGATTAAGAATGTTTTTTTGATAGAAACATTGAACATCGAACATCTCCAATATGCCTTGAGATGTCACGAATGCCGTTAGCTATTTCCGGATCATGACGTTAAAAGTGCAAGTGAATTTCAGCATGAAGATGAGCTGCACTTTCACGGAATATAATCTCTGCCTGTGTTATATTTGTCATGGATGATCGAAAATCCTAACAAAGCCACATGTATGCGGAAGATATTTTCAACTGTCCACTTACTTGCACTTCTCTGTCTCTTAGTTGCTATATCTCGCTTGACTTGTTTGCATTTCACCTCGATTAACGCAGATTTTCTTGCTCCCAGTGAAGAACAAGGTGGATGTGGCTGGCGCTGGTAAGTTAAGGCATTTACAGCTTCTGTGTTCGCACCACCAACGTATTTCCACGCCTGTGCTTGATTTTTTGAAAGGCTTTTTTCGTAGCCGCATTTCGGAGCTCAACGATTTGCCCGTTCTCGTCGCATGATTAAGAATGTAATTTTATTTGTATTTCGTGAATTCGTTGTATCGTGAAGTAACTGAACATCCAAAGATCATGTGTTGTAGAAACGTACATTTTGAGTATTTAAAGTATTCGTAAATCCGTATTTTTACGTATCTTGATGTACATGCCTTTTGACTAGATTGTAACGCATTTATTCGGCTAATGCAAGATAAACATCACACCTCGCTTGCCATGAGACAATATCGGAGTCTTGTCCTTTAGTTCTGTTTGATCTTTGTTTAAAGTAAAGGCAAGTGTCAATTATGATTTAATCATAAAAATCGAGAATTGTTCACACATGAAGCGTTCTAAATGTACTGTTATATTAAGATGGTCTCTTCATCATTTGTCACTTATAAATGTTTCATGTTTACGTAACTTGTCGCGTCTTGAACTATGCGCATGCTATGCATACGGCTTTCGTTCCGTCCATATATGTCCACCTTGCACTCAGTTGTTGATGGCTCTACCAAAATATATTTAAATATATGTATATGTCATTCATAACGTCGTGTTCTATGACGATGAAAACTACACAAAACTTATTTTGTTTATTTTTGTTATTATTAGATTCGGTATATTTGTTGTGTACCGATACTCTCATGAGGAGCTACTTCTGTTGCTACTTCTGTAGCTTCTCTGCTCTTCGGATATTATCAATAAACACTCACAAAATAAATGGTCATATTGTCCAAGCGATGATGCACTTTATGCACGTAGTACTGATACTCATTTTTATTGGTCTGAATAACACACTTAGGGAAAATAGTGCATCGCTATTGGTACAAAGTTGGATTGTTCCTAGGGCGAGTTTGTTAGTACATGCTAGGCACCGCCCCTTGCCCTGCTCGGTACTGAGAAATGTTGTTTGCAAGAGCAATATTGGGTGAATAACTCATCACTAATGGTAATAAACTTTTATTGTATATTTCTGCAGCTCGTAGCGGCACTTACTTCATCAGCAGCAAATCAACCAAGCTCAGCAAGGTGAGGCTTACGTTGGTTTAGTATAAACACTTTGAGACAATTCTTGATAGGTGAACCTGGTATTTTCTGAGCCTCTAAGTGTTAATCATGATGAGTATTTTTTTATTGTAGCATAATGCCTGCACCTAAAGGACTACGTAATTATTACAGAATTTTATAATTGTGTAAACATGCGAAAAAAAATTTTATCAAACCTCAAATCTCTTGAATATTCGACTCGTTGAAATGAAACATTCATATGAAATCGAAAACGAATGCTTTTTTTTTATTCGTAATCTGAACTTCTCTGGTTTCTGCATGCGGCCGCAGAACCACTTGCCCTCGGAGAAGGTACAGTCATCATCGTAATTTCCCTCAATGTTCACTTAGTGATTATCTTCCTGATTCCACTATTCTGCCCTCGAAGTCATCAGCCTTGCTGGTCCTGATTGTTGAGCCTTTGCACCCAATGACTGCTGATTACTTTGTCCTTAATGAAGATCCCTTCTAGCGATAGCCCGGCAATGTTTCTCCTTGTTATTGACCAAACTGCCACCTCAGGTTACTTCGTGCTTCCGAGATCCCGTATTTTTAGCGCATTTTCTCATTTATGGAAAAAATGCACTATTGTGCTCGCCATGTCCATCCGTCCGTCCGTCCGTCTGTCTGTCCGTCTGTCTGTCCGTGACCTCAAGTTTTCGTCGACGAGAAAATGCGCTCTCTGTCACTCACTGTAGTGAGTACTGAGTTATATGTTTGAGGTATTTACTTTGCTTCCGTATCCGAGATCCCGTATTTTTTAGGTCTTTTCTGAAGTAAAAGAAAACTTCTTTAGTCCTCGGGATGAGTTCCTAATATTCACAGTAACTATAAAAAATTTTTATGGATTACTATGGCCTCAAACTATACATAAGGCCATCGCTTTGTTACTGAAAAAAATTCAAATCGATTCTCAATATTTCTAGTACCCAACAATAATTTTGCTCTTTAATTTTCCCTTTAAGATGCATCTATTCTTTAGACATGAGTTTTTTAAATACTTTTAATACTTTTAAACCTCCAATCATTATTTTTAATTATTTATCGTACTTACTTTATGACGGTATTCCAAGATTCTAATTCTGGATCGAAAACCTAAAATTAGTTTCACAATTTTAGCATTTTGCATGCAAACACTATACGTTTGACACTACCTTCATAAATTTGTTAAAATGCAATAAGACACGATTAAATATTACTCTGATGATGACATTGCTTTCATTAGAGCACTCATCTCATGGTTCGGTCCGAGAATGTTTCTCTGCTGATACTAAAACAAATCAGCTTCCAACTGTCCCTTATTTCGTTGACGAACAAATTCTTCCCTAATTGTTAAATTTAATTTATCCTGGTTTTTTTAATTAGATTTTTTTATTACCTGAGGAATAACATGATTCTCCCCTAACTCTTTACATTTGACTTGTTGAAAGTTCCTGCGTCTGCGTTGTCAAATTTCATGTTCGTGGGTCTACTTTGTAAATGAGCTCGTGGCATACGAGTAAAATTTCGTGTAAAGATTTTATTGATCACGGCATTTAAAAACTTGTGCTAAATTACTCTTTGAAATAAAGAGAGTATGATTGTTGCTTACAATATCTTGAGTTATGCATGATCTCTGAGCACGTATTGTGCTGTAGAAAAGTGCAATGGGCGGCTTTTTGACCGCCTCGAGCTACACGCCCTCGAGCGGACGCCGCGACGGCGACACTGAAGGCGTCAGGGACAGGGCGGGGCAGTGGCTCAGGCGCCGTAGACTGGACGGTGCGCTCAACAGAGTCCCCAAGGGGTTCTACATGAACATGTGGAATGTTCTTAATCGGGTGAGATTANAGGGACAGGGCGGGGCAGTGGCTCAGGCGCCGTAGACTGGACGGTGCGCTCAACAGAGTCCCCAAGGGGTTCTACATGAACATGTGGAATGTTCTTAATCGGGTGAGATTATCCCCCCACCAGGAATATGTCTTTGTTTCCCACGATCTGTCTTTGTTTCTGATTATTAGGAGACAGGAATCTGTCTTTGTTTCTGATTATCCCCCCACCAGGAATATGACGTTAAAATAATGTTGAATTTATTTAGTAGTAAAGAAATTATCTCTTGATCTAGGTTGTTCACTAGGAGGAATCTGATGTTAAAATAATGTTGAATTTATTTCGTTGCAAAGAAATGATCTATTGATCTAGGTTGTTTCAACGTCGTTTTCCTGGAGTGTCAGGCTTCATGGTGATCAACGGTCGTAATGGCGACAGCGTGGTTACTTTATGAAAGAATTTGGGTGAATCACGAGTACGAAACAATTGTGACAAGAAGCATTCATGCCTGCCAAATTGATTTGTATTTTCTGGTTGTAAAATTACTCTGATTTTTCTCCTTGTAGAATTTGGTTTACCTGTAGCCCCCATCCTTTGAATTTGCACGTTTGGTACTTTTTTCGGTATTTTTTATGCGGATGTAATTTAAAGTTTATTTTTATTATGTAAATAAACTGTCAATGTTAGTTTAAAGATATACGGTTGCCTTGATGGGACCATCCAAATATAATTTTTATTCATTTCAACGTTACTACAATAAGAAAAATAATTCTAACGATAATATCTTGCGGTATTTCTGCAGCATTATTGCATAGTAATCTTACTTGTGGGTCCAACCCTATATATACTAGCCAGTATTACTGTCAGTTCCACCTCCTCCTGGCCGTGAAGGCGATGCTGAGTGTATACATGTAAAATGGCAGCAGAGACTGGGACTGTTTGGTGTGAGAATACGCGGACGTGATGGTGCAATATGGCCTATGGGACGTCTGAGAGGAGAGGGAAAGAAATGGTTAATTATGGTGATTCTGAATGGGGGGAGGTGATAAAAGTAACGCTCTAAAAATATACCGCTTCAATTGCAGACCAGGAAAAAAATTTATCATTATGCCCTGTTATTCGACAAAATAGTATTTTTTCTTTTAAATTCGAACGGTTTTAAGCCGCATCACTAACGTTTTTTGTGCTCTTTAATTTAGAAGTCGATTTAATACATTTTCATATATTTATTGTTCTCACTGAATATTAATTTCAAGTTATAATTGCAGTGCAACGGCATTGACATCGAAGGCAAAGTCATACCGCGCACGCTAACCCAGGAGATGACAGCCGGGGAACTGAAGTCTCGTGGTCGAGGTGAGACCGTCCTGAACACCATCCCGCAGCCCGAGTACCGACAGCTGGTGGTCGAGGTGAGACCGTCCTGAACACCGTCCCGCAGCCCGAGTACCGGCACCTCGTGGTCGAGGTGAGACCGTCCTGAACACCATCCCGCAGCCCGAGTACCGACAGCTGGTGGTCGAGGTGAGACCGTCCTGAACACCATCCCGCGCGGGGTGAGACCGTCCCGCATTGTAGCGCGGGTGTAATGCGCCATGCACGTTATTGTTCATACCAATACTTGGCTCATTCTAAGCCATTGCACGTATTATGTGTTCAACGTATGACCAATACAGTATTATTCAATTTTATCCTGTTATGAGTGTGATATATCAATAATTTTCGGTAATAATTTATTTTCAATTACTTACGTAATGCACAAGTGTATAAATTTTGTATTTTGTTAGGAAAAGTGCAGTGTCGAAATTATGATCATTGATATATATTCGGCCTGACTATTTTGTTAGATTTTGAACCGTGATGATCGCGCATTATTAATGTATTTAGGCAGTAAGTGCTCGCTGAACTTTCACTCGTATTGTACATTTACTTATTGAATAATGAATATTTTATTTTCTTAAAATTGCTGCTTTCATAATGTCGTCAATCACATCATTCTATGGAAAAATAGCATATTTTTAACTAATGGTTCCTATGTTTTGTTCATAATACTGCTTATGGCACAGGCACTGATGGTGGTGTCGCTGGTGGCAGAGCAGCAGCTCGTGGACTGGCTGGGGGACCTGATCTCTGCGCAGGCCATCGTCCACGTCGCCAACACAATATTCCTGCAGGATCAGGTCTCAACCAACAAACTTTTTCAGTGTCTCAGTGGAAACAAACTGTAAACTTTTACATTTACGAAAAATATGCACTAAGTTTCAGTGATAATTTGGCTCTCTACTTTCAATGAAATACGTCTGTATAATATCTGTCGTTAGTGACGCTTGTTAACAAATACAAATAGTGATCTAGCACCGCAGAATGACGGATAGTGTTATATACGTGGTACCATTTTCAGTAAAAGAACCACTTAATTTGGTCCGTGATCTAGTTCTTATTTTATCATAATATGTCATCATCATTTCCCAGCTTCCTTGTTCAATTTTCAGCTTGAGGAAAAATCAACGAGTCAATTAAGGTTACTTTTTGTATTTATATACGGTATATTACTCCTCCAACTTAAAATCTTCCCTCCTCTAAAAAATGTTATGCCTTAGCTTGCTATCCTTGATGTGTTGTACCTAAAACAACGTTCATGGGTTTTCCATTTTTGCATACACCATTTTTATTATTAATTTCACAAATTGATGAATCATAAGCGTTACGTAACCAAAGAGGCATCCATTACTTTTGCATACTCCATTACTTTAGCATACTCCATTATTGTTTTTAATTTCACAAATTGACCAATTATAAGCGTTACGTAACCTAAGAGGCATCCATTACTTTTGCATACTCCATTACTTTAGCATACTCCATTATTGTTTTTAATTTGACAAATTGACAAATTATAAGCGTTACGTAAACCTAAGAGGCATAATGTGTAGAGGCAGCAAGACGGTGACGCTGTGATGTGCTGTGCGCGCGATAAGCGGGACAGCACACCCAGCGGCGGGCTGGTCTGTGAGGGCGCGGCGTATGTTTGTGCTCACTTCTACGACAGCGCTCCTTCCGGCAGCTTCGGTTAGTGTCTTCTCTTCTTGCGGATCTTTAGCGCATATTATCATTTATGGTAAAAATGCCCTATTGTGCTCGTCATGTCCGTCTGTATGTCCATCCTTCTGTCTGTCCGTGAATTCACGTTTTCGTCGACGAGAAAATGCACTTTCTGTCACTCACTGCAGTGAGTACTGAGTTATATTTTTTGGCGCATTTTCTCATTTATGTAAAAAAGGCACTATTGTGCTCGTCATGTCCGTTTGTCTGTCCGTCCGTGACTTCACGTTTTCGTCGACGAGAAAATGCCTCTCTGTCACTCACTGCAGTGAGTACTGAGTTATATATGTTTTTTACCTGCAATGATTGGTTCAATAGTTTAGATATTTCTGTATCCTTGACATTTTTGGTGATAAATATGAAATTACCACGAAACTATTGAAACGTTGGCTTATTAATCTTGAAGAATCGGTGTTGGGTATTTATGTAGCGTCTTAATCTTGAAGAATCGGTGTCGGGTATTCATGTAGCGTCATTAATGAATGACCGGGAAAGGTTTGTCCTATAAATTTAAGCTAATAAAAAAAATATATTTTCGACTGTTTTGCAGGCACGATGAGCTACATGGTGAGGGCTGTGGTGTGCTCCCTGCCTTGCTTCCCTCAGGACGGGGACATGGATTGCACCGTTAGCTAAATACACCCAATATGAACCATGCTATGACCATGCAGATTCAATCGTCACGAATAACTTGAAAAATTAATTATCGGCAGAATTTTCGTTCATATTTGCTCACGTAGAAATTGTTGATTATCAACCGCTTTTAGAACTTGAAAAGCCCAGATATGATTCTAGCCTGTCATTTGCTTATGTAAATACTGGAAGGTAGCATAAATTATTTATGAATGGGAAAGTTTGAAGTTTGTATAAGAATCGCCATGAATCGTTAAATTTCATATTAATCTGGGACGTTTGAGGTAGTCACAAGTTTCTCGAACTGATAGCGGCCTTTATATGTGATGTCCGTACGAGTTTGAATCGTTGTAAGTGCAGTTTAAGCCTTGACTGCCGCCACTTGTCACCCTAATTTTATTGTAAGCTGACAAACTTTGTGACAAAAATGCGTGCAACAGTTTCAATATATCTTGAAGATTTTTTAACAGTTCATTGTTTGGTTCCGTAAACAAGATTTTCTAAAAAATGAGAAACAAAGACGAATTCATAAATTTTATGATATTTTCTTTAGCAAGTTCGATCATGATTTAGAAATTAATTTCACATTTCAATTCAATTAATACATGAATTTGGATGCAGTCATCACAATGAACATATCTCCAGACCCACGTCATTCTCAATATTTCTTCACTGCCTCAGTAAAGAGATATTGTCTGCGGATTTGTATGTGGCCTCTCGTTGTCTCTTCATTTAGAGCTAGCTTTACTTTTTACCCTGCCTTAAGTCCAAACATTAGTAGTAATTTAGTATGATTATTTTATTTGAGCTCATAACTTGCCAGTAGGAGAGAGTTGTGCCAAGGTCAATCACACTTAGTGTCATGACATTTGTTTGCCCCGTTGTTGATAGTTATTTAGTGCGTCGCTTAATAGTATTCGGCTGCTTGCTGAACTTGGTGTGGTCTTGAGTTTCTCCTGTAAACCGTGCAATGGTATTTAAGGTAACTTATGTTAACAGGTGTTTACCGACGTATCATGTACGGGAAACCATCGCTCAGTCTGTTAAGTTTAACTCTTGTCAGGCCAGTATTGACGATACAGGTCACGTATCAATCAACTATTTGAATCCATAGCTCAGTTGTGAAAATATAGCCAATGTGGGAAAAATTGACTGCTTATTGATAGAACCCTTGTTTTTTCGTTTCAGTTGAATAGATACCTACTCGAGTTGGTAGATGCTCTAATTGGTCATTTGAGAAACTTTATATAGTGTGTTTGTTAGTTTCTCCACACTTGTTAACATGTATGCTTGCTTTCTTTTTTGCTTCCAATGCTGTATGTATTATTGAGTAGGTAACGTCATAATATTGAACAATGACAGGGTAGCAATAGACTTAGTAGATTATTTGGTGATTATAGAATGCAGTTGCTTTCTTTCGTTTTAAAATAGTATTGACCTGATCTCCCTTGACTTAGAGCATAGCAGTGCGAACAATGCCACGCTGGCCTTTATTTAAGATGAAACTAATTCTAGTTGAAATGAGTGATAGTTTCGTTGATGTAATCACATAAAAGGAACAGTCATGCAAACTGACCGCACTGTGAACTGTAGATGCCACGTAACAGACACTAGCAAGGGTTCCGTTATTGACTCGCCCATCCGAGACGTTGTTTTGTTTTAATAAATGTTCAACACTTTGTGTCCGCCTATCGCGTTAAAATAGAACTTGCCATCGTTATGCTCTCGATTCAATAAATATGAAGATGGAAACTTTCGTTTGGATATGCAGAAAACCTTAATATTACCTCAGCTGGGAGCATAACGTAATGATGATCGAGTTCAAAATTATGTATATTAGAACATGAAATATTTATAAATTGACTATGTTCCAAGACGCTAAAATTGCGTGCTGTAGAAGCGATTCAAGTAGTGTAGTTGTGCGCCTGGTCCTTTTTCTTGACTCTGTGTTGGTCTCCCATGTTGAGATGAATGAAGAACAGCGATGCAGCAAACCGAGCCTCCAGGTCGCGCTGGTCCATGTCGTGGCCCCACTCCACGCGCCCCCAGTGCTCAGACTGTCAAAGATTTCCTCTCAAAATTCTCGTCACTGATCACACACTAAAAAAATATTTATGGCTCATTGTCAAAGATATCCCCTCTGAATTCTCGTCACCGATCACACACTAAAAAATATTGATGGCTCATTTTGTCCAAATAGCGACTCGTTTTCTTACTCACCAAACGAGCAGAGCGAGAGCGTAGCATGGTCCAAATTGAATAAGGAGAGAAAATTTTGCTTGGACAGTCTCATTCACTCTACGAAGGCACCCAATCATCTAATACATCCATATATGTATCACGTGTATTATATCATAATTGATTATTTATAACCTTTATATTTTAATGGATAACATGGTGTAGATAATTGCAATCATTGCAATGAATAGGTTCCCTTTATTTCCATAACATTACATGGATTACCTGGAAGTCGACTTCAAGTCTACTGAGTCTAACAGCGTCTCGGGCTGATATCCTTCGCTCCACTGCAGCCAGAGTCAATATAACAGACTTTATCGCGTCAGTTCCGTACAGCATCCCTGCAGGGATGATCGAGTTGTTTATATACCGACTTAGGATTTCGTCCACAAGTGATTTAAGCATCATTTACTGTAAAAATTATTATGAAAATTCGTATTAACTCACAAAGTTATCACCTTTTCACATAGCTATTCCGCCCTTTTCAATCACACTGAACAATTATAACGGAAATTCTTATAAACTCGCTAAGTGATTACCTTTTCACTTTTCACAAAGCTATTCTGCCCATTTCAATCCCACTGAACAATTATAATGAAGATTCGTATAAGCTCACTAAGTTATTACCTTTTCACAAAGCTATTTCGTCCATTTCAATCAGATGTCAACAATTGCTTGAAAAAAAAAATATTCTCTATTCTCAACAAATAAATTACTATTCAAATATTCACTTTCATTCTCAAAGCCCGCAAATCAGCCGGCAAATGTCTGTAAATCCGCCGGCAAATATCTGTAAATCCGCCGGCAAATATCTGTATGCCCAGTGGTTGTGGGAGAGAAACGGCACCGTGATGCCGCTGCACTTGCCTGCCACGGCCCAGTGGTTGTGGGAGAGAATGTGTCTCCTGAGGACGCCCAGCGCAGCGTCCGACACCTCGGCAGGGTTGATGCCCGTCGATGGCTCGATGTTGAGTTTGTAGCGGTCGTTGAACCACCGCAACACAGGCCACCACTGCTCCTCTTGGACAGCGCTGAATTTCTCACTGTTCTGATGAAGAATAACATAGTAAATACGGCAATGAATCGCGAGCAAGGATGTGGATATGTTCTTATGATATAAATTTAATTAAATGTATCACTTTACACAAGGCATGAGTTACAAAATACAGAGCCTTAAACAACAGAAATGATAATTTTCACTAATCGAATCTCAGTTATACTGGAATATCAATGAAAGCGCTATTGACTTCGAAGAACAAGAACAAGAACTCAAAACAATCGTTAAGTTCTTCCTAACTACAATCACGAGCTTGCAAAACGGGTCCTTCCAGATTGTAAGACATTCGAAGAAAATTAGGATGAACTGAAATGATTCAATTTCTGAAACAATGTCATAATAAATATTATTCGGTCTATGTTCATCTTAAAATAGCAAAGTGCCAAGTGCAGCGCGCGTGTTCTTTCTTTTAGCCCTACAATTCTTAAAAAGTTAACGACGCGATCAATATCTAACGATTCCAAGGCATTGACGGAACAACATTAAATTAAACCCTTTGTAACTCAAGCGACATACAGTGGGAAAATAAGTATTTAGTCAGTCACCAATGGTGTAAGTTCTCCCACTTAAAATGATGAGAGAGGCCTGCAATTTACATCATAGGTAGACCTCAACTATCAGAGACAAAATATGAAAAAATTGAGAAAATCATTTTGTTGGACTTTTAAAGATGTTATTTGCAACTAATGGTGGAAAATAAGTATTTGGTCAATAACAAAAGTTCATCTCAATACCTTATCGTATATCGTTTGTTGGCAATGACAGAGGTCAAACGTTTTCTGAAGTCTTTGCAAGGTTGGTACCAGCAACACACTGTTGCTGGTAGGTTGGCCCATTCATCTATGCAGATCTCATCTAAAGCAGTGATGTTTTGGGGCTGTCGGCGAGCAATACGGACTTTCAACTCCCTCTAAAGATTTTCAATGAGGTTGAGATCGGGAGACTGGCTAGGTCACTCCAGGACTTAGAAATGTTTCTTACGAAGCCACTCCTTTGTTGCCCTGGCAGTGTGCTTGGGATCGTTGTTATGCTGAAAGACCCAGCCAGGTTTCATCTCCATTGCCTTGCTGATGGAAGGAGGTTTGCACCCAAAATCTCACGATACATGGCCCCATTCATTCTTTCATGTACACGGACCAGCCGTCCTGGTCCCTTTGCAGAGAAACAGCCCCCAAGCATGATGTTGCCACCCCCATGCTTCACAGTTGGTATGGTGTTCTTTGAATGGAGCTCCGCACTCACTTCCTCCCAAAGATGACTAACTTAAGCTGTGGGATACGTCAGGCACTGCAAGATCTTAGTCCCTGGCGTCGTAGTGTATTGCTGATGGTAGCCTTTGTAACGTTGGTCCCAGCTTTCTGCAGGTCATTCACTAGATCCCCCCTTGTGGTTCTGGAATTTTTCCTCACAATTCTTGAGATCGTTTTGACCCCACGGGCTGAGATCTTGCGTGGAGCTCCAAATCGAGGGAGATTAGTAGTGGTCTTGTAGGTCTTCCATTTCTGATTATTACTCCTACAGTAGATTTCTTCACACCAAGCTGCTTGCCTATTGCAGATTCAGGCTTCCCAGCTTGGTGCAGGTCTATAATTCGGTTTCTGGTTTCCTCCAACAGCTCTTTCGTCTTCACCATAATGGAGTTTCTAGTGTTACTGTTTGAGGTTGTGGGCAGGTGTCTTTTATACTGTTAACGACTTCAAACAGGTTCCGTTAATACAGGTAATGAATGGGGGAAAGTGAAGTCTCTTGAAAAAAGAAGTTACAGGTCTGTGACAGCCAGAAATCTTGATTGTTTGTAGGTGACCAAATACTTATTTTCCACCATAATTTGCAAATAACATCTTTTAAAGTCCGACAAATGATTTTCAAAAAAAAAATTTTTTTTTCACATTTGGTCTCTCATAGTTGAGGTTTATCTATGATGTCAATTGCAGGCCTCTCTCATCTTATTAAGTGGTAGAACTTGCACAATTGGTGACTGACTAGATACTTATTTTCCCCACTGTACCTCGTCTGCTAAGGGCAAGGCAGTCATTCTGCCAAGCGACATACCTCGTCTGCAAAGGGCACGGCAGTCATCCTGCCAAGCGACATACCTCGTCTGCTAAGGGCACGGCAGTCATCCTTAATGTAATAATAAATTATACTCAGTCTATGTTCATCTTCATGCAGCAAAATATCAAATGCAGCGCGCGTTTTCTCTTTTTCAGCCCTACAATTGTTAAGGAGTTATCGACTCGATCAATATCGAACGATTCCGAAGCATTGACAGAACAATATTAAATTAAACCTCTTTTACACTCAAGCGACATACCTCGCCTGCCAAGGGCACGGCAGTCTTCATCCTGCCAAGCGACATACCTCGCCTGCCAAGGGCACGGCAGTCATTCTACCAAGCGACATACCTCGTCTGCCAAGGGCGCGGTAGTCATCCTGCCAAGCGACATACCTCGTCTGCTAAGGGCACGGCAGTCATCCTGCCGAGCGACATACCTCGTCTGCAAACAGCACGGTGTCTGTGGGTAGGAACTCCAACACACTCTCCGCCATGTCCCATTTGCTCACACGATTTGGATTATCCACGACAGTGTAGGATAAACCCGTCTGCAATACAAGAGCAAATGAACAACAAAAAATAAAACATTCAATCACAATTGCAGCAGATAACTTGAGTCCACACAGTTTTTTTTGGTAATCATTCATATATTAGTACACTGAGAACACTTTTTCAGGACACGTTATTGTGATGTTTACAACATACATTTCGTTGACTGTACGCAGTAGCCCAACTAAAATATTTTTAAGATCTTGCATCATTTGCCCTTTATACTTCATTGCCAACGGTATCTAGTTGCCCTGCATTAGATATGGATGTTAAACCCAAATGTTTATGACGCACAAGATGCATAAAAGCTGGAATGATGACATCCTGCACGGCCCTCCACTCTTCGGCCACCGCCAGAGCGAGCGGATAGCTTGGCACCTGCAGAGTAAATTATTTGTGATGAGACTTGCTCCTAACAAAATAAGCTGCATACGAAGAATGAAACGCTGGATATATCTGAATAATAATATCATTAGTCGTCGCAGTTGTTAATATAATTAATGATATGGGAATAGAATAGTTTACTGATAATGAATAATCAATTAGCCATAATGATCTAAATAAAAGCCACAGAGAATACCAAGGTTAAAAACAAGAAAATGAAATAATTTCGTTGAAAGCATGTGCGACTTCTTTTGACCAACTTTTTTTAATAAAAAATAATGCACCTTACGTCAGTTTTGTGGACAAATTATTTCAGAAAATATGACACAATAACTCCTAAAGCATTCAATAGCGAGAACGTCATTACTGCTCATCTTGTACAGAATTTTAGCATAAATACTGACATTTGATGCATTCTACAATGATTACATTAAATACGGATGGAAGAGGTTACCTGCAATACGTTACCCATGGGAGTCTTGAGCTTCCGATGATCTAAATTAACTTCGTAGCAGCCTGATGTACCTGCGACGCTTACATCCTTGTAGAAACGTTTAGCTGCTCATAACAATAACATTATGAAGTTAATACGTTAATAAAAATAAGCGTTTAAAAATTACCTTTGAAAGACCCACTTCTAAAGAGGCCGGTGTCTCCAATGTTACGCACGTACAATGAATTTCTTATTTTATTTATTTTTATATATTTTCAATTTATTCATGCATTCACTCCGACTTTACGCAAGTTTGCGAAATTTCAGATCGATTGGACAGGTAGAAGTGTGTTAAATATCGCTTATAAATATTGGTAGCAGACAAACAACAAGTGAAGTTAAAGCGAACTAGAGAAGTGTTATAAAAATAACTCTAGATTACTGCCGCTATTAACTCGGATATAGCACGTCATATTTTTTACAGAGACACGCACATTTATTCGATGAGAACAGAAACCTAAATTTAGAGAGGCGTTTTTCACCCATTGAACAACTAATTTTGAGCAACAACGTACCAACTTTCACGAAATCTGCGCCCGTTTTTGTAAATTGAAATATTTAAAAAAGGATTTATTATTTCTCTAATAATTTGAGAAAGCAATGAGAAAAATGTACACACAGTTAGAAAAAACTGTGAAAAACGGTCCCACTGGCGTTCTAGTGGCCGGTCGCCCCGTGAAAATAAAACTGTTTCGCCGTTTTCATCAGAGGTTTTACGGATTTTTATTAGAATAGAAATGGCAACACGGTGTTTTATTTAACCTGCCAACCGGCCACTGAAATGCCGGTAATTCCGTGAACGGTAATTTTTCTAACAGTACACTATAATAATATATTTTTGCTTCCTTAACAACCTATGATCACTTTATTTACATACTTCAAAAATGTTTTACTTGGAATAACTGACCGTGTGATGCAGCTCTGCAGCTCGTCACACGCCCGGTGTAGGCAGGGAACAAGAAGCGCGACGTGCCAGCAACCGTCAACTTTTGCACGGCCTTTCCCAACATTTTTTTTCAACTTTTGTCTTAAATTTAATGCGATAACTTGTAGCTTAATTTCAAAACTGACGTGTAGAGATGACACTAAGTCGATGTTTGAAACAAAAAGTTTTGCACAACGTCATCGAATTGGAACACTCTAATTCACTGACAGTATATATATACACTATTATATACTCGACAAAAACAGACAAACATTACGATAAGAAATTATGAGTGCACGATATGAAGTTGTTTCCGAATACCTGTTCCAATGAATAACTTGACACAGATCAAAAACGCATTGCGATGAGATTAAAGTGAGTTTATTAACAATCAATAAAGAGTAGAGACTTCATAGCAACATTAGTAGACTTTATAGCAGGCTTCATAGCAACATTCTTCATAGCAACATTAGTAGAGTAGAGACTTTATAGCAACATTCAACATTATAGCAACATTCATTCATTAGACGCAACATTCATTAGTCGTAGCCTTTATAGCAACATTCATTATAGCAACATTCATTCATTAATCGTAGCCGTATAGCAACATTCATTATAGCAACATTCATTATAGCAACATTCATTCATTAATCGCAACATTCATTAATCGTAGCCTTTATAGCAACATTCATTCATTAGTCGCAACATTCATTAATCGTAGACTTATTCATTAATCGCAACATTCATTAATCGTAGCCGTATAGCAACATTCATTATAGCAACATTCATTCATTAATCGCAACATTCATTAATCGTAGCCTTTATAGCAACATTCATTCATTAATCGCAACATTCATTAATCATAGCCTTTATAGCAACATTCATTCATTAGTCGCAACATTCATTAATCGTAGACTTTATATCAACATTCATTCATTAATCGTAGACTTTATAGCAACATTCATAAGTCTCACCATTATTACAACAATTTAACCACAAGAAGTGCTGAAGCAAGAAATTCTTAAAAGTGTCACCAGCGTCGGGGAACAGAAGGGTTGCTACGCCCCCTACACGAGTGAGGCTCGTGCCCCTGCTTAATCTGGCAGTGCAGTAAAAGTTTTCTCTTAGAAACTCCTTTAGTTTGACAATAAATTTTCATCATGGGTTGATACGCACTGACATTTCTCAGAATGAAAAGTAATACATTTTTCGGACTAAAAAGTAATGAATTTCTCGGAATGAAAAGTAATGAATTTCTCGGAATGAAAAGTAATAAATTTCTCGGACTGAAAAGTAATAAATTTCTCTAACTGAAAAGCAATCAATTTCTCGGAATGAAAAGTAATAAATTTCTCGGAATGAAAAGTAATAAATTTCTCGGACTGAAAAGTAATAAATTTCTCGGAATGAAAAGTAATAAATTTCTCGGACTGAAAAGTACTAAATTTCTCGGAATGAAAAGCAAATTTTAAACATAAATCCCATAAAACATTTTGATAATTGATCAAACACGCAGTAGCGTCTAAGCATCATAAGACTCAAGCGTTTATGGGGGTTTTCATAAGGAATAAAATACGCAACACATCAGTAAAAAAATTCACTCAAGTTACAAACGCTCAATTCACCATGAGTGCCGGCAAATTATTAGCGGGTACTAATAATACCTAATCTAGATTATGCCTACAGAATAAACAAGCAATAAATTGATTAACGCTAAAACAGAATTGAATTGAGAAACTTACATATAACTAAACTCTATAAATGGCATTTTAATTTCAAGTCTGGCAGATACAGTTATCTAAAATATATTTTTTAATAAACAAAAGCATACGCGTATCAAAAGCTTTTATCAAAAACACAATGAGCATTGTTAACAAATTGAAGGTAATTTTCAATAAATAGTGCACATTACAAAGACACAAACTCTAATTCATTGCAGGTAGTAGACTAATAACATTTACTTAAACTCTTTAAATTGCCTCACAAAATTGGTGGCTATTAAAAAAGACTAGGATACCTAAACTGGCAAGTGGCGAGAGAAGTGGTTTTAAATATCTAAATCGACAGTATAAACATGTAAAACTATTCAATCACACACGTTTTATTATAAACATTGACGTATATTCATAATCAGAATTTTAATTCTTAGAAATTGAATAAAACACCAACACTTGAGCCATATGAATACACAACTCAAATGTTTCATTCATTCATTCAATAAAATCCTACCACAGAAACAAAACCAAAACTCCAAAAACAAAAAAAAAAAATAAAACGAGAACTCGACTGTGAAATTTTCACAATGCAACGTCCTTCTTTAGCGAACGAACTGATGAAAATCGAACCCTAGTTATCAGGAGGTATACCAAAAGTGTGCACTCCTCAGTAGTTCAGGGGCCATACTTTCAAAACTCGCTAAGTGAACGTAAGTACTTACGCTCTATTTTCTTGTCTATGATTGGTGGATTTTGCTTATGAGGCCGTCAATGATTGGCTGATGAACTTACGATCTCTTAACTTTTTCAGAAAGTATAGGCCCTGGAAGTACTTACGCTCTATTTTCTTGTCTATGATTGGTGGATTTGGCTTGTAAGGCCGTCATAAATTGGCTGATGAACTTACGATCTCTTAATTTTTTTCAGAAAGTATAGGCCCTGGAAGTACTTACGCTCTATTTTCTTGTCTATGATTGGTGGATACTTTCAAAGCTCGCTAAGTGAACGTTAGTACTTACGCTCTATTTTCTTGTCTATGATTGGTGGATTTTGCTCGAAAGGCCGTCAATGATTGGCTGATGAACTTACGATCTCTTAACTTTTTTGAAAGAATAATGCACGTAAGTACTTACGCTGTATTTTCTTGTCTGTGATTGGTGGATTTTGCTCGAAAGGCCGTCAATGATTGGCTGATGAACTTACGATCTCTTAACTTTTTTTTAAAAGTATAGGCCCAAGCCATCAAATATGGGCTGATCGAGGAGATCAGGTTGAACGAGCAAAGGCTCGTCTGGTCCAAGCGATGATCACTAGTGCGCTTATGACGCTGTGCAGTACTAGCGCGGGGTCCAGGTCGCAGTGCTGCTGGTAGAGCCAGTCCAGTGCTGGGCAGAGGTGGGCATTTGTGCACGCCTTGGGTAGGCTGCTGCCCAGGACACCCACTTGCTTGAGGTATTGCACCAGCGGAGGATGGCTTACACTGAACACCGGGAAATATTCTCCTTCTTCTCGCCTGCGCCACCAGTTGCCGCTTGGGCTGTGAATTTGAGAAGGTCATAAGTTTTGCTTAATTTATTATAATAAACAGACGCTAATAATAATTACGAGATCTTAAATAGGAACGGCACGTGAATTTGAGAAGGCTAAAGTTTTGCTTAATGTATTATAAACAGACGGTAACAATAATTACAAAGTCTTTAATAGGAACGGCACTGCAAATGATGATGTCTATGCAAGAGAAGGGTCCTTTATCTTACATCGCCGTTTTGGAACACAACCGAAACATGGAAATATTTAACGTCTAAACAGAAACGCTCGTCTGCAGTCAAATCAAAGCAGAATATAGCGAACGCCAAAACAAATACTCAAAATATAGTCATCCCTGTAAAAACATACATACGTCAACGTAGCTTGACAAGCAAGCTAAGTGAGAAGCAAGAAGAAAACGTGACGAAACAAGAGCCTGGCGACACGTAAGCTCGTACCACATTTAGATTCAAAACAAGATGGCCGAACAATTCAAGATGAACGATCGGTGTCGGAATAGTAACAGTCGCTTACAGTCAGATTTATAGCACAGTCAGCCCGTTCACTGTCAGCTCACAGATGAATATAGCGAAAACCACAACCCTAACAAAATTTGGAGTCGCCCCAGCTTCTGGTAATGCAAATCAGAAGCTGACGCGTCTGTAAATTTTCACTGGGAATATAGTCCACGGTCGAAAAAAGCTTACATCGCAGTTAGATGTAACCGAGATCAAAACGGAGCCGGGGACCGTACGCCCACTTCAGCCACGTTCAGATTACTACTAATAAATACTAATGCATTAGCCGTAGCAAAGCAAACATTGTAGACTAGGTCTTAAATAATGCACGTTATTTTGCACTTGTTTGGACTACAGAGAAAAACCACTATTAATATCATTTCATACCACGTCAGAAAGTAATTTTTATAAGCCTAAGGCAGTAAATTCAATTAGGACTTGATAGCTAAAACACCATCGATGACGACTTACTCGTTCAGCGCGGTGTAGAAGTAGAGGTACTTCTTGGCTCTGATGAACTTCGGAGGAGTCTTGCGCCACTCAGATTCAGGATCAAGTAGCCTGGCAGAACACGAGGAGAGATTTGCCATATAAGTATTAACTCGTTACACATTAGAAATATAAGTATTAACTCGTTACTCATTAGCCATATAACTATCAACTCGTTACACATTATAAATATAAGTATTAACTCGTTACTCATTAGCCATATCACTATTAACTCGTTACTCAGTAGCCATATAACTATTAACTCGTTACTCAGTAGCCATATAACTATTAACTCGTTACACATTAGAAATATAAGTATCAACTCGTTACACATTCGAGGAAGGCAGTTGAACAAGTGAATCTCTATGAGCTCCACAGAACTGCGTAACAGAGGCGCGGATAAAACGAAAAAAAAATATAACTCAATACTCACTGCAGTGAGTGACAGAGAGCGCATTTTCTCGTCCGTCCGTCCATGAAGTCACGGACGGACGGACGGACATGACGAGCACAATAGCGCCTTTTTTCCATAAATGAGAAAATGCGCTAAAAAGGAGTGGTGAAAGTTGAATATTTAAGATTGAGGAAACCTCCATTTCAACTGATGCAAACATTCCAGACTGGTATTTTTCAGAATAGAAATCGCAATCCAAGTCTTTCCCCACGTTCTCATACACGCGATCTGTACTATGCTGCTTCATTTAAACAAGTTACAAAATGCAAACCTGCACAACATTTTTTTCTGCGAATTTAGGCAAGAATTTTTACGAATTTAGGCAAGAATTTCAGCGAATTTAAGCAAGAATTTCAGCGAATTTAGGCAAGAATTTCAGCAAATTTAGGCAAGAAAAGGACCATAAGTCATTACTTATTTGTATGTACAGGATCAAAACCTCAGCGTTGGTGAAGGTCTCTCACCTGACGACCTCAGGAGCGCCCTGTAGGAGCCTGTAGGCGGTGCTCAGCAGCCACGGGTTGTTGTTGTAGGAGCCCAGCGCAGCGAACCACAGCTGCCAGTCCAGCCGCGGTTGATGGGGAGCTGTACAAGATAGGCTAGTAAGAATTTGAAATAAATTCAAATAAGAACTTGAATATATATATATATATATTAACTTGAACATATAATAACTTGACATACAATAACTTGAACCACAGATGCCAGTCTAACCACGGCTGATGGGGAGCTGTACAAGACAGGCTAGTAAGAATTTAAAATAAATTCAGAAAAGAATTTGAAATAAATTCCCAATAGGAACTTGAAAGATTGTCCAGTAAGCATTTAAAATATAAAAGCAGTCACACACAAATAATCTGTGCAGCATAATCTGTGCACATTTCTTGCATGAAAAGCAAATATTTAGAAAGTTCTCAGTCGTAATTTCTCTTGTGCTTTAGCTTACGGCATTCTCAGGATCTACGAGTATAATAATTAGTCTAATAATTAGTAGTAATTATTATTAGTAGTACACTGTTAGAAAAAACGGTGAAAAAACGGTCCCACCGGCATCCTAGTGGCCGGTCGCCCCGTGAAAATGAACGGTTTCGCCATTTTTATCAGATGTTTTACGGATTTCTAGTGTTAAATTGGAATAAAAACGGTGAAACGGTGTTTCTTTTCACGTGCCGACCGGCCACTGAAACGCCGGTAATACCGTTAACGGTCATTTTTCTAACAGTGTAGTAATTACTAGTAATAATTAGTATAAATTAGTATAATCATTCTTATAATAATTAGTATAGTCATTCGTTTAATAATTGGTATAATAATTTGTATAATACTTCGAATAATAATTCGTATAATAATTCAATAAATATGCACACACCAACAATAGGAGGTACACGGTCGAGGCGGCCGGGCTTGTAAGGAAACTCGTACTCCTTCCAGGGCCCCGACACGTCGTTCGCGCCCTCCAGGACCACCTCAGGTCGCCCTCCTACACCAGTCATGGTCCTGAAGAGGCCGTAGGAGGACGTGAGGTGCATGCGGTCCGACCCAGCAGCGTATGCCCGCGTCAGGATGGGCGACAACTGACGTTGTGTCTCCGGATCCAGCGAAGTGTATGGAACCTGATCGCCATGGAAATTAAATAATAATTCGGGGAAAATTCAAATAGCACCACAATAGTCAAGTCTGGTAGTACCGGTAAACGTAACTGTTGTAAATGATAAACCAAAATAAAAAGATAATCCAATCCCACTATTTTTCTTATGTAGATAAACGATTATTGCGATATATAAAAATTAGTTGAAAATTTGTTAAATTCGAAACGAAGGACTAAATTACTAAATTGAATTTTATGTAGGAATTTATTTATACAACATACTCAAGGATGTAAAACAAGATCTTATTATTGAACTGCATTTTTGATCAAACAGTGCGGCGCTCGTGCAAGGGAGTTTTACTTCACTTAACGTTTCCGTGAGAATACTATTTATTTTCTAAATATTCCGTTGCTTTTTATACTTCAACTTTCCGCTGTTATTTTTTTATTAGACTAATAACTACATATAAGAAAGCCGTGTCAATTTAATGTAGAATTTTGTTATTCCATAGAAATAAATGAGAACACTAAAAAAGTAATTTTGGTCGGTGTGTTGCCATCAAGTTGTCGTAGCTCTAGGACTAAGTCGATGAGCTACATTTTTTGGTAAAATGCAACTATATGCCAGGCAGCTCGAGCATAGTCAGTAGTCACATATTCAAAAAGAAGGCTAATAGGGGAGGACAAACAAACAAGTTAAATAAGCTATGATAATATGATTTGCACCATAATATTATCAAAAGAAATTATTTACTGCAGCCTAATAAAGAAGACCTGCAGTTGAAAGGCATAAGAATAGACTGTTGTATAATTTAAATCCCACTTTAATCGTCACTTTATAGTCATTTTAAATCCCACTTCAATTTATATAGCCCAGACTAACTAAGGGATCCACTTTAAGTAGTAATGTCGTTTTGCTCACACATTGAATAATATATTTCTTGAATATCGTCTCACAAAAATAACACACTGAAAATTAAAAAAGACGTATTTTCTTGAAAAAATACTAGCAAAAAAGCTTTTATGTCAAAGTGACAGCATTTTAGCAAAAAGTGACAGCATTTTAGCGGACCGAACAAGTGTTCCTAATGTCAGAGTTATAAGACAGCTCGCCAAGTGCTCAGGGGCCATACTTTCAAAACTAGCCAAGTGAACGTAAGTACTTACGCTCTATTTTCTTGTCTATGATTGGTGGATTTTGCTTGAAATGCCATCAATGATTGGCTGGTGAACTTACGATCTCTTAACTTTTTTTGAAAGTATAGGCCCTGATAAATAAAAGATAGTCAAGAATGCCACATGAACTGTTCCCTCACCAACGATATGGCATTCTATCATATGGCCCTCACCAACGATATGGCATTCTATCATATGGCCCTCACCAACGATATGGCGATATGGCATTCTATCATATGGCCCTCACCAACGATATGGCGATATGGCATTCTATCATATGGCCCTCTGGTAATACCGTTAACGGTCATTTTTCTAACAGTGTAGTAATTACTAGTAATAATTAGTATAATAATTAGTATTAACATTCTTATAATAATTAGTACAGTCATTCGTTTAATAATTGGTATAATAATTTGTATAATACTTCGAATAATAATTCGTATAATAATTCAATAAATATGCACACACCAACAATAGGAGGTACACGATCGAGGCGTCCGGGCTTGTAAGGAAACTCGTACTCCTTCCAGGGCCCCGACACGTCGTTTGCGCCCTCCAGGACCACCTCAGGTCGCCCTCCTACACCAGTCATGGTCCTGAAGAGGCCGTACGAGGACGTGAGGTGCATGCGGTCCGACCCAGCAGCGTATGCCCGCGTCAGGATGGGCGACAACTGACGTTGTGTCTCCGGATCCAGCGAAGTGTATGGAACCTGATCGCAATGGAAATTAAATGATAATTTAGAGAAAATTCAAATAGCACCACAATAGGTTAAGTCTGGTAGTACTGGTAAAGGTAACTGTTGAAAATAATCAAGCAAAATAAATAGATTATCCATTGGGAAAATTCGAACAAGTCTGGTAGTACTAGTAAACGTTACTGTTGTAAATGATCAAATGAAATAAATAGATTATCCAATCTCACTATTTTTCTTATAGATAATCGACTATCGCGATACACAAAAAAAAATTGAGAATTTTGTGAATTCAGAACGAATGAATAAATTTCGAAATTTAATTCTATGTAAAAATTTATTAATACAATACACTCAAGAATATAATGTAAGATCTTATTATTAAATTTAATGCAAGATCTTATTTTTGATCTAACAATTAGACGCTCCTGCAATGAAGCTTTATTTCACTTGACGTTTCTGTTGGAATGCTGTTTATTTTCTTAATAGACTTCCGCTGAAATGACTATAAGATAACAGCGGCAATTTAATGTAGAATTTTGTTATTACATATAAATAAATGAGAATTTTATAAAAGTAATTTTGGTGGGCATATTGTCATCAAGTTGTTGTTAACGCATTTTCTCATTTACGGAAAAAATGCACTATTGCACTCGCCATGTCCGTCTGTCTGTCCGTCCGTCCGTCAGTGACCTCAAGTTTTCGTCGACAAGAAAATGCGCTCTCTGTCACTCACTGCAGTGAGTACTGAGTTATATTTTTCTTTGAATATGTACTCGAGCTCGACTCGAACTAACCTCGAGCTTGGTCACATATTAAAAAAAAGTCAGAACGTGTTCCAAAAGACTAAAATATATTCAATTAACAATAGACAATTTCCTAAGACATCTTAAGTCTCAAATTAAACAATTTTATACAAATATATATACTGAGCAGAAACTGAAGTATAGATTAATGTAGTATTTAGTATTCATTCATTTGTTTCATTCGCTTATTATTATTACTCTATTTTAGCCATAGTTCTCCTATCTCACAGTCTCCGCACGCTATCTAAATACACTCTCATTCACAGCCACAGGTCAGACAACCTTAAAATAAGACAAAATTATAATCGGACAAAATTATAATCGGACAAAATTATAATCCGACAAAATTATAATCCGACAAAATTATAATCACTGCTATCTATTCGTCACTCATAACCTTTGCCATTACACTCACCCAATTCCCTCAAAATCCCATCATCCTCACCAGAACCATTCCCTCTCAAACTTCCCCCATTCCACCATCAGATCCTCTAATTTCCTTCACACCATATCACACACAAACCACTTACCTCCCTCCCCTCATTCCCTTCGTATGTACATCCCTTCACACCGGCACCCACACACCAAACATACACACCTCTGCTGCCATCATACATGCATTCACACTCAGCATTGCCTTCACTGCCAAGAGTGAATGGAATAGACAGTAATACTGTCTAGTAGAGGAGGACAAACAAGCAAGTTAAATAAGCTATGATAATAATATTTTTACCATAATATTATCACAAGAATTTATTAACAATACTGCAGCCAAGAAAAGAAGGCCTGAATTTGAAATGCATAAGAATAGAACGTTATATAGGTAATCTAAATCCCACTTTAATCGTCACTTTATAGTCATTTTAAATCCCACTTTAGTTTATACAGTATAGAATAATAATATCGTTTTGTTCACACATTATACAATAATTTTTCTTAAATATAGTCTCAACAAAATAATAACACAATAAAAATTTAAAAAGACGTGTTTTGTTAAAAAAAATACTAGCAAAAAAAGCATTTATGTCAAAGTGACAGCATTTTAGCGGGCCGAACAAGTGTTCCTAATGCCAGAGTTATAAGACAGTTCGCCAAGTGCTCAGATAAACAAAAAGATAGTCAAGAATGCCACATGAACTATTCCCTTACCAACGATATGGCGAAGAGCAACCAGCCAAGAGGCAGTAGCCAAAGGTAGGCAGTCAAAAAGATAGTCAAGAATGCCACATGAACTATTCCCTTACCAACGATATGGCGAAGAGCAACCAGCCAAGAGGCAGTAGCCAAAGGTCGTGAAGACAAGAATGCCACATGAACTGTTCCCTCACCAGCGATATGGCGAAGAGGAAGCCAGCCAGGAGGCAGTAGCCAAAGGTCGTGAAGACAAGAATGCCACATGAACTGTTCCCTCACCAGCGATATGGCGAAGAGATGTGTATAAGAGACAGAGATATATGTCTATTNAGTTTGCTGAGGAGTCCTCGTGGCACGAGCACGGCGTCGGCCAGCGCCTCTACGGCCGTGATGACCAACGACACGACACCCACGCCAACGCTTGCGGGTACCGCCATGTGAACCCACTCCTTCAGTTGCGTCTTGGTGAACGCTGAAAACATTGAATGTAATGAGTATGATGTGAACGTTATGAGTAAGAGTATTTATGTATGAGTATGATCTGAACGTTATAAATGATGCGTTGTCATACATACAGTCGTGCTCATTGAGAATACACTAACGTGGACAAAATTAGTTGTAGAACGTGCTTGATCTGGACGGTATTAATGATGCATAAATACATTTTTTTTATCATTAGATAAATTCTAAAACATGCCCATACAACTGGAATATCTCGAACGTTGAACATACATTAATGATTCATACATATATTATTAATAATGTATACATACAGTCGCGCTCATTGATAATATAATAACGTGGAAAATAATGAGTTATAGAACATGCTTTATCTGAACGTTATAAATGATGCGTAATCATACATACAGTTGCGCTCATTGATAATATAATAACGTGGAAAATAATAAGTTATAGAACATGCTAGATCTGAACGTTATTAATGATACGTAATCAAACATAGAGTCGCGCTCATTGAGAATATAATAACGAGGACAAAATGATTATAGAACATGCTAGATCTGAAAGTTATAAATGATGTTCACCAACGATATGGCGATATGGCATTCTATCATATGGCCCTCACCAACGATATGGCGATATGGCATTCTATCATATGGCCCTCACCAACGATATGGCAATATGGCATTCTATCATATGGCCCTCACCAACGATATGGCGAAGAGTAAGCCAGCCAAGAGGCAGTAGCCAAAGGTCGTGCAGAGCGTCGCCAGTTTGCTGAGGAGTCCTCGTGGCACGAGCACGGCGTCGGCCAGCGCCTCTACAGCCGTGATGACGAACGACACGACACCAACGCCAACGCTTGCAGGTACCGCCATGTGCACCCACTCGTTCAGTTGCGTCTTGGTGAACGCTGAAAACATTGAATGTAATGAGTATGATGTGAACGTTATGAGTATTTATGTGTGAGTATGATCTGAAGGTAATAAATGATGCGTAATCAAACATACGTAATCAAAGTCGCCGCCATGTGCACCCACTCGTTCAGCTGCGTCTTGGTGAACGCTGAAAACATTGAATGTAATGAGTACGATGTGAACGTTATGAGTATTTATGTATGAGTATGATCTGAAGGTAATAAATGATGCGTAATCAAACATACGTAATCAAAGTCGCCGCCATGTGCACCCACTCGTTCAGTTGTGTCTTGGTGAACGCTGAGAACGTTCAATGTAATAAATTATATAGGTAACACTTTTGATCTGAATGTTATAAATGATGCGTAATCAAACATACAGTCGCTGCCATATGCACCCACTCGTTTAGTTGCGTCTTGGTGAACGCTGAAAACGTTCAATGTAATAAATTATCTAACATGTTTGATCTGAATGTTATAAATGATGCTTAATCATACATACAGCTCCGCTCATTGATGATACAATAACGTGCAATATAATGAGTAAGAGAATATGCTACATCTGAACGTTATAAATGATACGTAATCATGGATACAGTCGCGCTTATTGAGGATATAATACCGTGCAATGTAATGAGTTATAGAAAATGCTTGATCTGAACGTTATAAATGATACGTAATCATACATACAGTCGCGTTCATTGATAATATAATAACGTGCAATGTAATGAGTTATAGAACATGCTAGATCTGAACGTTATAAATGATGCGTAATCAAACATACAGTTGCGCTCATTGAGAATATAATACGGTAACGAGGACAAAATGATTATAGAACATGCTAGATCTGAACGTTATAAATGATGCGTAATCATGGATACAGACGCGTTCATTAAGTAGTAGGATTCAAAGTAGGAATAAAGCCACAGCGACCGACGAGTAAGATGTGAAAATTAATAAGTCTTGAAAGAAAGGAAAAATAACAGAAAATATTTCGCGACTCAGCAATTGTGTGTGAATATCAAAGAAATATGCCAAGAAGAAAATGAACTACTCTCGCTGAGATGTCGAAATTAGATACAATAATGCAATAATGTATTAAAATACAAATAATTATTCCATTTCATTTTAAAGTGTAAAAATATTTTAGAAGTTATCTAATGACCAAAAAAATTAATCGAATGTTTATGTAATTTATCTTATGATTAAAGGAGATTACAATGATCTTGATTGACTGAAATACGATCAGGTACAAAAGGATTATAGGTTGGGTTGGAAGTGAACACTGCTTACCAATTCTTGACTCGATGGTCCAGTTGACAGGATTGACTTTGAGGTCAAAAAGATGCGTGGTAAAATAGATGAGCAGAAGCAAGATGAGCCAATAGCCCAGTCTGCTCAGCGCCGACTTCAGCATCGTCAGGAAACTCAGAGACAAGTCACGGACTGTCAAGTAGAGGAATAACGCTACAGGTTAAGATCACGGAGGGAGAATATATACGTAAGTATAATTCAAAACCCTTCCCTCTCTTCACATAAATTATAAAAAATTTTAATTTTGTAATTAGGAAACTCAAAGACAAGTCACGGACTGTCAACAACAGGAATAACGCTACAGGTTAAGATCACGGAGGGAGAATATATACGTAAATATAATTCAAACCATCTCCCTCTCTTAACACAAATTATAAAAATTGTAATTATTGTAAAATAATACCATACTCATGTAAAATTTAAACCCCCTCCCTCACTTCACATAAATTATAAAAAATTGTAATATTGTGATTATTGTGATGTAATTGTCCTTGACATTGCAAATTATATGAATAATTTATTCATCTTGCACAATTTTAAACGAATTTGTATACAATTTAGCTTGAAGGAGATAAAATGACTTAAATTACTAAATGACTTTTCAATTAAATGACTTTTATTATTACACAAAAAATTTCAAAACCAGAAAAAATTAAAAGAAAAAAACAAATTAAAAAAAAATAAAATAAAAGTACTGATGATATTGTAACGAACCATGTCTGTAACCGAGATGCTTGTCGTCCAGCAGCGAGAGGCAAAGCAGCAGCGTCAACAAGTTGAAGAAGTTGTAATTTCCAGTCAAGATAATGCTAACTTGCAGCAACACCTGCAACACAGGAACAAACAAATCATTCACGACCAAATAAAGTAAACCATTACTAAAAAAAATACAAACCTTAAGTAATTGCAGAGAACAAAGAATAGTTACCAATTTAATTTATAATCTAAGCGCTCTCACAGACGTTCAGCTACCGTCTACATCTACCCTCCCCGTCTACATCTTCAATAAAATAGACCATTACTAGAACAATAAAACACTACAGTAATTGCAGAGAAGAAAGGATAGTCAACAATTTAATTTAAAATCTAAGAACAATTGAGAATAGAACATGAAGGCTCTGCTGCACATCATAAGTAAAGTACTAAATTTTAATTCAATGCATAGCAGAGCAGAAATTACAATGAAATATTGAACGAATTTCTTAACAGTGCGCTTGACCAAATTTACCTGAAAATTTACCAAATTTACCTGAGAATTTACCAAATTTACCTGAGAATAGAAAGCAATAATTCTATGGTCTCTGATGGGCGAGAAAAACAGTACAGGCATCGCTATTTCGATGACGTAAGTGGCGACGACACAGAGCTTGTGGAACCACACAGGGAGGTGGTGAGCGAACCACGCCAGACCCGTGGGGATGCATTGGGACTCGTAGTGAACCGTGAGCGCTGTGTGAACCAGGGGTGATATGTATTAATAGGTGGGTGAACCAGGGGTGATATGTATTCATAGGTAGGTGAACCAGGGGTGATATGTATTCATAGGTAGGTGAACCAGGGGTGATATGTATTAATAGGTGGGTGAACCAGGTTCTCAATATCGACTTGAACTTATGGCTTGTATTGATATAGTTAAGCGAGGGAGAACGAGATTTAGGAAATCAATATTGGCATTTTTATTCATCAATTCATAATTTTGGAATATCTCGGTACAAAGATTTAGCGGTGCAGGGCAACCAAAACCTCAGGTATAACATCCTTCAAGGGGGTAAATAAAGAACATATCGCGTGTTAATCTCTTGCCACTGGGAAATAGAAGTCCCACATAGCAATTCCTTGCCACTGGGAAATACAAGTCTCACATAGCAATTCCTCAACACTGAGGAATGTTATCCTCACCTGTAAGTCCCCACCACGTGGGGCATTGACTCTGAAGTTTAACAATCCCTGAAGCGAACATGAGACGAAACAGCAGCCAGCGCAGGAGCCAGAACGTGACGTGGGTGCGGGGCGTGGGCAGACGGGTGGGCTTTGAGGGCCCCGTGAGTGGGGCGGCTACGACGCACAGCCAACCCACCTCCATCAGCAGGGAGTCCCTGAGCACATGTGTGGGCAGATGGGTGGGCTTTGAGGGCCCCGTGAGTGGGGCGGCTACGACGCACAGCCAACCCACCTCCATCAGCAGGGAGTCCCTGAGCACATGGAATGGATTAATGAGTGGGCGGGCAAATAACAAAGAGAGAAATATAACAGAGTGAGAGAAATATAAGAGAGAGAGAGAAAAAAATAAGAGCGAGAGAAATATAACAGAGTGAAAGAAATATAAGAGAGAGAGAAAAAAAAGCGCGGGAAATGTAATAATAAGAGCGAGGGAAATATAATAGAGCGAGAGAAATATAACAGAGCGAGGGAAATGTAATAGAGCAGGAGAAATGTAACAGAGCGAGAGAAATATAACAGAGTGAGAGAAATATAACAGAGTGAGAGAAATATAACAGAGCGAGAGAAATATAACAGAGCGAGAGAACTGTCAGGTCTCAAAGTACCTATAAATTTAAATGATTGATAAGAGATCGAGTCTATGAGCAAAGTAGAAATAAAAAGTATTTGAAACGCTTATACATTTAAAATCTAGAGAAAAAGCTCAGTTGATAAGAAAAAGTAACAATATTTTTGTGTTACAAGTAACGATAATAAAAAGTAAATAATCGGTCAGGATTTTTTTACAACAGTTATATTTGAAGATGTTATGAAGGAAGTAATAAGCCAACAAAATGAATTAAAACTTGCTAAACTCAAAGCGTAACTCACCACTGGAAATATAGAAAAGTTTGCCCAAGATTTAGCAGCGACGAGTAGGCGATGACGAGGAACAGGAACGTCGCTGAGGAGCAGAAAGCCCCCCACAGAAAGCTGCAAATAAGACAAAACTTTTTCATTAGAAATTAAATTTTTTTCTTCTCGATTTGATTTATTTATTAGAAATAAATCAAATCAAAGAGAAATAGAAGGTGCGCAGCGATAACTTTCCTTATAGAGGAAGTCTATGATCTCTTAAATATCCTGGTGATCTTTCACAAACCACTTTCGCCTCCCAGGGTTTGTAAGAATCATGAGCTAGATAAAAGGAATGGTTGATAGTCTTTATGGTACGATATGGTATGGTTAGTTATGGTACATTCTCTCAATCTCTGTACTAGACCGGAGGAATGTACGGACTCCTAAACCCAAATATTTTCTGAGGTCAAGGGCGGTTTGTATTACACGGAACAATCTATTATCTAGAGTAGGTATAAAACAAGCAAAAAGAACCTTTGTTTGCAAAGTAAAAAATCACGGCTCATACCAATGGCATTTATCCACCTTCATTACGGGAACAAATGGCTTTTATCTGTGGATTTCTCGATTGTCAATCATATATTTATTCTCTTTATGTTGAGGATTAGGTGAGAATTCGTGATCTCTCATTGAAACAATAAAATTTGGCATGCGCTTCCTAAATATCTAATCCAACGCGTCCATCTCGACACGTAATTAAATAATCTAACCAGCCATGCTCGCCATGCTCGCCTTAACACGTTCAACCCATGTTCAGGCTGCATAATTATGCAACGTTATAATCGCACTAAGTTAGTACGACATAGGCACAGTTGTAACTATCACGATGCAGTCCTACAGGGGTTAAATCCTCTACCTCAGCGTCTCCGTCTTAACCCTCTACCGCCGTATGTCACAGTCCGGAAACATAACTTTCAACTAAAATTATTCGTAAACTATTGAGTGTAGCAACCTGACGACGTTTGTACAAAACAGAGAACATGTTAAAGTTGTCGTACGTGGCGGCAACCATCAGTGCAAGTCATTTTGCGCTCACTAGAACGTATCCTTTTTGGGAAGTAGGCGCGTGACAATATTGCTCCGGTTACTCGTGTCAGGCGGTAGAGGGTTCAAGTCGTACGTGGCGGCAACCATCAGTGCAAGTCATTTTGCGCTCTATAGTAACGTATCTTTTTTGGGAAGTAGGCTTGTGACAATATTGCTCCGGTTACTCATGTCAGGCGGGAGAGGGTTAAAGTCGTACGTAGCGCAAGTCAAGTCGCATCAGTGCAAGTCATTTTGCGCTCACTAGCAAGGAATCCTTTTTAGGGAAGTAGGCTTGTGACAATATTGCTCCGGTTACTCATGTCAGGCGGTAGAGGGTCAACACGTGACTACCTGCACTCACCCAAGAGCAGACGTGAAGGCCGCCATGAGCGCCACCAGCTCCATGGCGTGCGCAGTGCTGAGCTGCAGCGCAGGCGCCAGACACACGAGCGTGAGGCGGTCGCTGAGACACGCGCGCACCGTCGGGTAGGTCTCGACCAGCCCGTGGGAGGGGAGGATGCCGCGGGGACCATACAGACCTGGACCAGCATTGATAAACTCATGCAATGGATGTAAGATAGCGATGATTATAATATTTAATTTCTGGATAGACCGCCTCCGAATAAAGACCTGCGCCAGCATAGAAAAACTCATGCAACAACGGATGTAAGATAGCGATGTATTATAGTATTCAATTTTTGGATAGACCGCCTCCGAATCAAGACCTGCGCCAGCATTGATAAATTTATGCAACAGATGCCATAGCTCAAACTGTGATGGTTGTCAGTGTCCACTTTTATGCAGAGTTTCACCAAGGAGTGTTTCTTCACAAGAAACGGTAATAGAAATTATTATGAAAACAAACTTATCAGAAGGGTTTCAGTAATAAATTCAGTAAAGAAATCTGCATTCAAAAATTGCATTAATGCTAAATTTCTTTGATCGAAGGTTTCTACTCATCACATATAATTATGCAGAAAATTCTAACTAAAAACGGTATCTTGACGGAATATTAGCGGAGAATTCCATCCTGTATTATGATTCTATGCATTTTGAAACACGTAGAGTGAAAACAATCTACTTAATTGAAAGTATCGTTTGCATCTATGACAGAATTTTCCGTCTCCACGAGCTTCATCACAATCGTACTACATTCAAAAACCCCCACAGAATTGGCTGAGATATTATATGGGTTAAAGCTCACCTCTGATTTGCAGGTACAAAGAAACGAAAGCGATCAAGTAGATCATGCACATATACTTGAGAAAGCAATGCTGTGTGTGGCTCACGTCCAGTGCCATATTGCAGATCGTATGAAGAAATTGATCTAACTGCTCTAACAAAATGCGCGCGACCAAACCATCTGCAATCGAACAATCATTAGATGATATCACTATGGCCCTGCCATTCCATTAATTTCCGTCACTCGTATTGATTATTATCAACATAGACGTCGCAAGGTCCGGGGTAACCCATGGTTGGATTATTAATTAATGGTTCTATTAATCAACTATTACTTTTAATAGTGATATTAATAAACTATTAATTAAAAATTAATTGAATCATGGGTGTGACTTCGTCATCACTACTAACAGGAGGAGTAAGCTGGTGTCAATTTCAAGGGTACCTTTGTTTTAGTCTCTATTAACTTTATTCAGAGTTAACTAAAAGCTTCTGTCAAGCAGCGCAACATCCAAATTCGTCTCCATACGGCATTAACCTGATTGACTTGCTTTCAGCACAAAATTCACGGCTTGACTCTCGCCAAAAAATTGAGATAGGGAAATTTTAAGTTCATCACCGACGATATCCTATCCCAGGATGATCCCTCATTTTCATTGACTAAATATTAAAGCCCCAAAAATTAGGAAAAAGAGAAGCCAAATCATAAGCCTAATACGGACTTAATGTTACTTTTTATAAGTTTTAGTCCAAGTGTACTGCTACTGTACCGCTATTCTCCGTCTCTCCAAGTGTACTAAAGCACTACTTCCCTCACAAAATTTAGAGTCGCCCCAGCTTCTGGTAATCCAAATCAGAAGCTGCCGCGTCTGTAAATTTTCGCTGGATTTAACCCAAGTGTACTGATACTCTCCCGCTAATCTCCTCGAAGTGTACTAAAGCACTACTCGGGTTCGGGGGTGCGTAACGCCCCAAGTGCCGATCGTCCCAAGATTTACGACGGATTAAAACATAATCAAGCACTAGTTATTCGTAGAAAAGTTGGAAAAAGTTTTTCTTTATAGTTGCAATAGGTCACACGCCAAACATCAAGAAGCAAGAATAGGAGAAACTAACTTCCTTACAGCAAAAGAAACGTAGAGTTAAACACTGATGGCAAAGACGTTACAAAAGACATGATCACAAGCTTCATCTGTCCATATGAAAGACTCAGGCGTCGACATTTCACCCTTAATGGTCAAATGGACTTCCCTTTAATTCACCATCACAGTTATTTCCAAGTTATTTTCCAGGCGCATAAGTTTAAAGTTATTAATTTAATATAAAACTATTAATTTCGAAATAATTTGAAAACGTCCGGCACTTCAACGATCGGCACCCCCTGCGATGAGAAGCACGAATCGCCTGCTAAAATTCTGATCAAATAACATTAAAAAGGATAATAAAATCATAGTAACTTCAAAGTAAGTAGTAATATTGATTTATAAACATGTACCTTCGCATCAACCAATGGATGTTTCACACATGCAGCGTCATTGAACTATGTACATAAAATGACAGAAAGCCTGTCATTAGCAAGAAACTTTTTCCAAAAATTTGCAAAGAAATGACAGCATAATGCATGAAATTGTTCAATCATCAACTATTGAAGTCCAAGCACAAGAAGAAATCTAAGTCAACGTACGTATATACTGACAAGCTACAAAATCCATAAATATACCGCAATCCATGCACTAAATAACATCAAGATTCCATTCACTAAAAGATAAATGAAGAAGTATAGCGCCACATGTCGTAAATTTGTTCATCAACGGAAATTTGATGTTGGCAACATTTGTTGTCAACATCATTCAGATCCTGAAACTCAACATCAGATTCTGAAACTAAATATTATAACTTAAATACATTGTAACTACAAGATTTAAAGCCTCGTGATCAAAATGAGCCAGTATTTGAAAACACTTTCCTCATTAATTTTGACACCGAATGTTCAGCCGAAGTAATGAACCAAGTGATACGGGAAATCACTATCAATTTATGTAGCTCAATAGTTCCAGAATTACAATGAGGTAAGAAATTTATCCCTGCTGACAAGTTCATTAATTAAACATCGGGTATAAACTCGGTATTATTTTGAGCAAGAGTTATTGAAAAAAGTTACAGTTAAAAATCACCTAGTTAATGATCAGCTTTTACCTGAATAAATAAATATCAAAGTATCAAAATAGGTAGATTTTAAAGCCAAAAATTCGGACAATTTTTTTTTGTTTGAAAAATGGCCAAATTCGTTCAAGGCTTCATATACAAAAAGTTCGTGAAAAGGAGAGCAATATTCAGGAGAGATAAACAGAGCGCTATACTTACAAAAATTTGAACTAGACAACCTTAAATATTAATGCATTAAATGCTTCAAATATACACTCCGCAGAGAACCATAACTTAAGAGATAAACATAGCGAGACTTTCACCAGGTTCTATCGCTAACATAAAAGCAGGTACATTTTCTTCTCTCAGAGCTGCTAGTTTTCTGTCATTCAAACAAATCTCATCAAGAAAATAGTCCACATTCATGGCATGTCAAAACAAAAATTTGCAAAAACTCCCTTCAACGCATTATGAAAATATTTTTAGCAAAAAGTCACAACTACCAAGACTACGACGAAACTACAAACAATATAAGAAAGCTACGTCCAAATACAGCTCGCGTAGCAAACAGGTCCTTCATAATGCCAGTGAAGTGATGCCACAGCAGAGAAGTGATGCCACAGCAGTGAAGTGATGCCACAGCAGTGAAGTGATGACACAGCAGTGAAGTGATGTCACAGCAGTGAAGTGATGTCACAGCAGTGAAGTGATGTCACAGCAGTGAAGTGATGTCACAGCAGTGAAGTGATGACACAGCAGTGAAGTGATGTCACAGCAGTGAAGTGATGTCACAGCAGTGAAGTGATGTCACAGCAGTGAAGTGATGACACAGCAGTGAAGTGATGTCACAGCAGTGAAGTGATGACACAGCAACTATCTATCAGCGCTGGAACTGAAATCAATGAAAATAAGTTAATTAGATGAACAGACGTGAGAAAAAATCTTGAAAGTAGAAATATTAGCTTATTTATAGCATCAATGAAAACCTCCTAGCTGGTCATTGATGAAAACGGTTAAGTATTTCAGAATATGGAATACTTAGCCGAATACTTAGGATTCTGGATTTCAGTATCCAGAAACGGCTAAGTATTCGAAACCAACAAAACTTCGCCGACGGTCAAACCAATTTTTGAGAAATAATAAGTGAAATATTAAGCTGATGCTGAAACCGTCGAATGCAACCGAGTACATAATAAGAAAAATTGCTTATTTCATAAACCCAATTCAAACCACGGTGAATTCAAGTAAACATTTCCTCTAAAAACATCCCAATGTTGATGTTGTTTACTCATTCGCACTACCAATATTGCTTTTAATTACATAAGAAAGTTTGCGCAGATAATTCAAATAGAAATTAATGACACAAATGTTATGGCAACCATCCATGTATCTAGCATTCAATCTTGAATTATTTCTCCAAAATAAAATCAAAGTATCGTCAATTTCTTATCAGTGTGGAGGTGACATGAATTGAAACTGTTATAACGAATCTGTTATTTCACTAACGTTCCACACACGATTTAAAAAAAAATATAACTCAGTACTCACTGCAGTGAGTGACAGAGAGCGCATTTTCTCGTCGACGAAAACGTCAAGTCACGAATGGACGGACAGACGGACATGGCGAGCGCAATAGTGCATTTTTCCCATAAATGAGAAAATACGCTAAAACATTCTCATTCCTGTTTAATGACTTCACAAATGTCATCAACATAATCCACTAAATATTCTATCATAAAATAAATATCAATCTGCAAATATTATTAAGGAAAATAACGAACCCTGGCGAAGGCTTCCTCAGGTTCTGTTCGCTCGATGGGCCGCTCGCTGAGATCGATGGCGATAACCCTGCTGATTAAACATTCCCCGGCCTGCACGCAAAATATTACACCTCAGTACAATGTACATACATGAAAATAAAAAAAACTTCAACCAACACTGGAATTCAAAACCTTCAACCAACAAAGGAAAATTTTCATAAAATTCAACCAACATGAAATTGAAATCCATCATCTGGTAGAATATCCCGTTGTGTCCCACTGTACAATTTCCTTTGCAACGAAACATATGAGGACTCACGTCAGGACAGATGCCGACGAGGGCATCAGCGTTCTGATAGAACTCCTCCTTGAGGGAGATGACGATGGTCTGAAGTCCCTTCTTCTTGTGCACGATGTACGACGCCACCTTGCCGATGTTGGTGTTGTCCAGCGCAGCGTCGATCTCGTCCAAGACGAAGAACGGCGCCGGTTGGTAACTTTGGGTTAAAAAATGAAGATTTTTGTCTCTGGTTATTCATGTCATGTACAGATTATTCAAATTCACAAGAAGAAATTAAGTTAAAAATTTTTTGTCTCTTGGCCCTTTATATCATGTGCAGACTATTCAATTTCACAACCAAAAATTGAGAACTTGTGTCTGAATTTTCCCCGATAACTAGAGTTAATTCAGCAAACCTTCACACGAGTTTCAACACTGCAAGCAACCAACACGCACGATCGTAACTATTGCATAAGACACACTCCGAAGAATATAATTATTGCGTGTCAACGTGGGGCACAAGCGCCTTTCATATTCGCCATCAAATTGTTTAAGATGAAGGTAATGTATATAATTGTCTAAAATCTCGATTTACCTATTAAAATGTTTTGAAATGTAGAGGTAGAATAAAACAAGTAATCTTACCTGTGCACTGCAAAAAGAAGAGCCAGAGCAGCGATGGTCTTCTCGCCACCACTGAGATTACTCATGGGCTGGAACCGTTTGCCTGGGGCCACGCAGTTGTAGTTTATGCCGTCCAAATATGGCTCCTCGGGGTTCTCGGGGCCCAGGAACGCCTGGGCTGACGGGTTCTTGGCTAGTGCCTGGATTGAAAATGAAACAAAATAAAGTACGCTTGTTTCATTAAACAATAGCTTCTTGAAAAGGCTAAGGAAAGCAGCTGAAGAAAGACTCTAAACAATTCTAAGAGCAAGTAAAAGCCTCATGAATTCTTGCAAGTTTTATGGTAAGAGAGTACAACTAAGACTTCAACTTGAATGAGTACAACTAAGACTTCAACTTGAATGAGTACAACTCCGCTATAAAAATTCCATTTATTTTTTTTTTTTTTTGCAGTATTTAAAATTTAATTAGGAAGCACCCCTATCATAAATTTTAGCCGGCCAACACAATTGAGAAAAACTAAATCACGGAATTTGTCCGGAAAAAAAACCGTGTGGCAACCGTTTAAAAACAGTACAAAAAATGAAATAATAGTACAAGATGAAGCAATCGTAGTCAACGTGTTAAAGGGGCTAGGAAAGCAGCTGAAGAAAGACTGCAATCAATTCCAAGAGCAAGTAAAGGTCTCATGCAGTCTTGCAAGTTTACTGGTAAAACAATTACTAGGACTTCTCTTAAATACATCAAAATTGGTTAATCACATAATGGTTAACCACAAATTGATGATCACACAAAATATCATCCGCTACGGCTCTATTTTATTTGACTGACAAGGACATTCGTCAATGGGTCTCACCTTATATATTCCATCTATCTCGTTGGACACATGCTCGAAGAAGGCCGAGAATTTATCATATCGACTCTTCTTGATCTTCTCGAAGGCCTGCTTAGCTTTTTTAGCTCGTTTGCGTGCGTTATCGAACTCAGTGTTGGTTTCTTTCAGCTTTTCTCTGGCAAACTCGAGCTTCTGCATTGCTTTCATATTGGGAGCCTGGGAAAAAAATTTTCAGTGAAAACTTCTTTTAAATTCTACTCAAAAGTCAAAATAGAATAGAATAATTCGATCTAAACATCATATAATGAATGAAAATAATAATAACTTTGTGACTTGAATTCTAGAGCACACGCATTGTTTTCAATATAGCATCAGGTCATCTATGTTTAAGACAAGAATTCGATAGAACAGTCAGGTTCAATAAATTCTTATTCTAACAAACACTACTGCATAAATTTGTAGAGAAAAATCCAAACAAATCGATTTATTACCGCATACTGACAAAAAAAATCAGATAGGTGCAGATTCTCAAAGGAACCTTTCAAATTCGCGGTGAATTCATACTCTTCAAACTTAATACTTCTGACTCAGTTTTAAGGTTCCCTGACTCACCTGAATCTTATGGACGGTATTGAAGAGATCAGTGATGTGTTTGCTCAGCTTGCTGTCTTGCTTGCGTACGTCCTCAGCATCTTCAAGCTCCTTGTGGGCGTCCGACAGTTGTGAGTAGTCCAGCTGAATGCGGGCTTCTTTCTCGTACATAATCTGGATCACAAAGAAATAGCAATGAATAAATATGAATAGATATTAGGTAAAGAAGTTTCAATAATTTGATGCCTCGTCCAACATAATACGATCAAGATGGGAACTAAGAATCCGGTTGTTCTTATATGGCAAGGCAACCAAGACGTACAATCCGTTCTTAGATGATTTTAAAACCATGTACTTACAGAAGTTATGAGATTTGCTCTTAAAACCATGTACTTATACTCGAGAGTTCTGAGATTTGCTCTTACCTGATTTAATAAGATGGCCTGAACAGTAACAATCAAGTATTTGTTATACATATGACACGGCAATAAGGGATGAGAAAACTTGCAATACCTGAGTGTTCATGCCGGACGAGTAGTCGAGAGAGGAGCCATCGTGTCCTTCGTTCTCGATATCGTCCATTTGGCCGCGTGTCATGGGCAGCAGCGTGTCTTCCATCTTACACTGCTTCAAGATCGAGTGTCTGCATGGAAAAAAGATAACAGTTCATTCTTTTCATCAAATATTGCCCAATGAAGTGCATAGTTTCTAAATTTGTATGAGCCACTAAACTGCTTCAAGATCGAGTGTCTGCGCGGAAAAAAATAACAGTTCATATTCTTTTCATCAAATATTGCCCAATGAAGTTCATAGTTTCCAAATTTGTATGAGCCACTAAAAACATTTGAATTTTTGTGGAAAATGCCTCATACATTGAAAATATTAGAAAGTGTTCAAGTTTTGGAGAGATTATATCTTCTTAGATGAAGGTGCCACCTTAAATCAAACACAATTATAATCATCAAATATTGCCCAATGAAGTGCATAGTTTCTAAATTTGTATGAGCCACTAAACTGCTTCAAGATCGAGTGTCTGCACAAAAAAAAAAGATAACCGTTCATTCTTTTCATCAAATATTGCCCAATGAAGTTCATAGTTTTCAATTCGTATGAGCCGCTAAAAACATTTAGATTCTTGTGAAAAAAGCCTCATACATTGAAAATATTAGAAAGTGTTCAAGTTAAGGAGAGATTATATCTTCTTAGATGAAGGTGCCACCTTAAATCAAACACAATTATAACATTTCACAGTAGGATAAATTGCTACCATATGATCATAAGCAATTCACACAAAGCGATGTGAATTTAACATTAGAAATAGAATGACTTGCAAAATGTATAATATGATGAAATATATCAAACGGTTTGGCCACAATTCTGACTTTTTTAAATGAGAAATACTATTTAATGCTCTCACCTGTCAGCTTTCTTCTGATTCATCTTATGTTCAATGGCATTTATTTGTTTATGGACAGCTTGAATATCCTTGGTAATAACACCCACTTCACGCCTAGCTTTGCCGATCTCGTCATCCATCTCGTCACACTCGCTCTTCTTGGCGAGTTTTTCAGATCTTTTTTTGTCGAGATCGCGCATGGCTTTATCTATTTCTGACATCTGTTTCTGCTCAGCCTGCTTTGCCTGTTCCAAAGAATCTTCATCGTCTTGAACAGCTCGTTCCCATTTAGCCACGTTGCTTTGCGTGTCACGGCTGCGTTCAAACTCCAGTTGGTTCAGGACTCTGTTGCGTTGCTTTTCAAACTCCAAGCGTTTGTTGGCGCGCTCAGTTTGAGCGCGGAGCTCTTGGTCTTCATACTGCCGAATGTCGTCTACTCCGATCGTCTTACAAAATTCAGCGAAAACTACGTCTTCTACCGAGTTCATTTTCTCCTTCTTATCACTGATGGTTGTCTCTCGCTCGGCCATGATCTTTTCTATCTCGTTGAGTTGCGGCTGGAAAGTCTCTAGCTCTGCCTTGAGACGGTCTACCTCTCGCTGAAAGGCAATTATCTGCTTCTCTGTTTGTTCCTTGTCCGATTTGGCATATTTTAGTCTGGTTTCGATACCACGAATTTGAGACTCGACGGTATTAAGTTCGCTCTCCTTACGTGAATTTTTCATTGCTTCACGTAACTCCTCAGAGAGTTTTTCTTTCTCCTGCTTGAGGTTGGAAAGATGCTTCTCGTCCCAACGCTTGGCCTTCCTCGCGAGATCTAAACTGCCACCAGAGATGATGCCAGACTTGAAGAAGAAGGTGCCATCCAGTGCCACTGCATCATATCTATTGCAAAATTAATTACTTTTCATGAGTAAAACTCACGCAGAAAACCACTGAAGAGAAATTTATCAGTAAAGATCAAATCACAAATTTCACAACCAACGAATTTAAGCGGAACAATATCTTAGAGACTACGAGATGGTGCTAACAAGTATCTTCCCCATCCCTCAATGAAAATTTGCCAAAAATTCATAAGGCATTCGTCACAAATTCGTCATAATATAGATAGAAAATACTGACCTGTGGCCCTCTTCCATCTCATAAGCAACTTTTGAAGCGTCGTCGGGCGTCTCACAGACCAGGGCGTTGTTGGTGGCAAAGAGTACAGCTCGCTTGATCTCCGGCGGGTCGTACTGGAGGACGTCATAGAGAAGCTTGACGTTCCTGGGCTCACTGATGTTCCTGAGACGCTCCTTCAGTGGCTTGGCTTGGATGTAATCAAGAGGCAGGAACGTCTCAGGGTCCAGCATCTGATCCTTGAGGTACTGCACGCACTGGCGAGCTGTCTTCTCCGTGTCCACTACGATAGCTTCCATGTACTTGCCGAGCACTTTAGTGATAGCAACGTTGTACCTGCAAGTATATTAGCATCCATAGTAAATAAATTAATGTTTAAAAAAATGCTACAGCTATTAGTGAATAACCCTTACCAATTGAAATGATTAAATAATATCCATAAAATTATACCAAAGAATTACAATTAATAATGCGAGGCGCCTTTTGGCAAATGGTTGTACTAATGTAAAGCTACTATATCAGGTATAAAATGTAATTCTCTCTAGCCAATTATCCTCGCATCAAAAATTGTATCCTTGCAGCTAATTATCGCTCAAGATTCAAGTCATAACTCTGACCGTTCTTTCTTAACTTCTTTCGTACCTCTTATGTATGGGCTGACACATGTTGATCATGCGGTCGTACACCCCCGAGTAGAGCTGCTTGAAGTTCTCGACGATCTCCTGTCTCTTCTTGCGGCGGCTGTCCTCGTGTTTGTCCACACGAGCGTCGCCCAGCTGCTCCACGATGCTGTCCAGCTTCTCGTGCAGCTTGCTGATCCGCTCCTTGGAGCTGCCGACGTCTCCTTGCAGCTCCTGAGAACACAGAAATTGACAGCAAAGTGTCAGTGGAAACAAATGCGCAGTAATAAGCTAACAGAAAGTTTAGAGAGGCAACAGCTTTCTCTGAAATACTCTGAACTTTCAATGGAGAGTCTTTGTTATCACATTCAAATGATAAAATCCTTTAAGAAAATATACCCAACACGATAGTTGCACAGGACAACGTAGGAGAAAATTATAATAAGTCAACATGTCAAGTTTTGGAGTGTGCTTGAATTGAAAACTTTAGTTTTGTGAAAGGTATCATCGGCGTGAATCGACTATTGAGCCACAGGCAAGATAATTTTTCGAACAGGCCAACAGTCAGAGCACATACATGTATATGCAGCAGCATTTATCATATTTTTTTTTTTCAGAAATTCTTTAGGAGGCATCAATGACAACAACACAGTCTCTGAAAATTTAATTAATATTTCTCAAAAGAAAAATCAGTTTAAATAGGTTAATTCACTTCCCAACACGGCTGTCTCACACAATAAACAGTAAAGTTCAAAGTACTTTGCAAAACCAGATCACACCAGCTTCACACTGCAAGCACAAGTGCACACCATGTTGAGAGGAACATTAGACTTGAACCATAACCAATAAGACAATTAATTATTTTCGAGGGTATTCGCGGCGTCTTTTTACATCAGATGTGCTATATACCGTTTGAGGCATCTGTAAAACTACACAAAGAAGACCAATAATTCTGTTTTTCTGACCTGTCGAAGTCGCTTTTGCTCCTCAAGGCTCGCCTCGCTCTGCTTGATGTGCTCTTCAAGCTTTTCTTCTCGTTTCTGTGCTTCCTCAAGTTCATGGCCTTTGGACCGCAGTTTGTTCTCAATTTCACTGGTTCTCCTGAACAGCAGGGATCACGTTCTTTATTTTAACGATTGATTTAAAGTAACAAGGAAATCACGCGAAGGTAGGTTGTATAATTCAGTAAGTATATTTTGAAGTTTATCGAGAATTTGCCATGAACAAATGTGCTTGTAGTTTACTCATCATTGGTCGTGAATATGAATGAATAAGAAGGTAACGTGTTTGGGTCCGGGACACGCTAAACTGTACCTGTGAGCGTTGTCCAGCCTGTCCTGGTCAGACTTCTGCTCTCTGTTGATAGAGTCGACCTCCTGCATATACTGGGCAGACTTGCGCGCAGCCACGTTCTTCAGGCGGTGATATTCCTTCACGTGCGCGTCGTCCAGCTGAACACTGCGACCTGCCATCATACATAAAGGTTAGAACTAGTCCCGNCCCAAAGCCTGAGGATTGCTGGCACTTGAGCAGGTGAATGTTTAAAAATAGTCCCGAAGCCTGAGGATTGCTGGCACCTGAGCAGGTGAATGTTTAAAAATAGTCCCGAAGCCTGAGGATTGCTGGCACCTGAGCAGGTGAAAGTTTAAAAAAAAATAGTCCCGAAGCCTGAGGATTGCTGGCACCTGAGCAGCTAAAATTAAAAACATGAAAGATACAAAAAAATACATGCTCTTATTTGCACGCGGCCAATTAACGGTCATTCAAAAATGTTCTGGATAAACAGATAGCACACAAATCAGAATACATATATTAGCTCTGCTGAAACTATGAACAAACTTCAGCTCATTTCAAAGCCGCAAACAATTCCAGAAAAACACGGCGCCAGAGCCGTGTCATGTACCTCACCTTGGCTCATGGAGTCAGCAGTGACTTGGTCTTCAAACTCAGCCTTCTTCTTCTCGACCTCCTGCAGCTCGTTCTCCAGCTCACGAATATCGTCCATGTGAGCGTTGTAGGCCTTGATGGCCTGAGCCAGACTCTTGCGCGCCGTGTCTACCTTCTTCTGCATGTGCGTCACGCGCTCCTTGGCCTTGATGAACGTTGGCCGCTTCTTGTTCACTTCACTGTCCTGTCAACACAGTCCATGTTGAAAATTTTAACCTATTTTTTTATCAAAAATTCAAAATATATATTTTATATTATTTAATATTGATTGAACATTTTATCTATTTTTATAACACAAATTCAAAATATATATATTATATTATTTAATATTAAAACTCATCTATTTTTCAGGTGAAGACGAACAGCAATAGATTATTTTCGTTCGCCCACAACTAACAAACATTCAACAATTTATTTGCTTAGTGTCTGTTAACATTCATAAACCTGACGGTTTTGGCAAGGATTCCGACTTCGCCGCCCAGAATAATAAACACACATGAATATTTATCCTTCAAAACCAAAGTCTGACCAAATTTTCAAATTTGAATAATTTAGGGCATTAATAGAAAATGAACAATATTTATATGAAAGAAGCAAATAGAGATAACATTATTATCACATCAAAATAACACCACAGTACACATAAATAGGTCTCGTTACTCACCATTTCTCTGATTTCTTGTTCGAGTTTACTCATCTCTTTGCTAACACGAGTGAATTCTTTCTTTTTGTCTTTCAGAACTTCTTCAGCCTTCTCCTTGCGCTTCTCAATCTTCTCAAGATCTGCTTGTTTACGTTTGATTTCTTTCTCGTATTCAGCCATGTCTCTCTCATTGTGGTACAGGCGAAAGAGTTGAAGCTCAATCTGCTTCTCAACCTGAAACAATAAATTGTTATCAGACTCATCCCACTGGGGGAAGTGAATGCAATGGCATCCTTATGAATAGTATATTGCAAACTAAATATTTTGTGAATAAAAAGGAATCTTTCAATTTATTTTAATGACTTATTAGAACATATTTACGCGAGATATCAATAAATGTGTTGGGGAAGCCCAACATGCCATACAAGGTAGCAATGAGTTTCCAACAAGAGGTCCTATTCCTGAGGACACTGCGCGTCACCACAGTTAAAAAGTGATTCACAGAAAACAGTTTTATTTGAATATCAACTAATAGAAATGGCTCATTTCATGCAAGTATGTTGGATTACTATCCACAATTTCAAGATATGTCACTGTGAAAAGTGAACAGCTCGGTTTTTTCTGATCGATTTTTGCACCGGTCTCTATTACCCTCTGTATATTCCGTTTCCATGTCATCAATGATCTTTAAAATAGACACCCAAACACAAAATGAAGGTATCAAATAACCAGGTGGTTTGGGGTTGCTGTGGGGGCGGTGTAACCATCATCAAATGTATGGTTTTTTCAAAACTCTGATCCTCAGGAACAAAAAGCATACTAACCCATTCTTAAAAGCAACCACCTGTACCATAGCAGCTAAATTTCCCCAGCCAAAGAGTTTTTCACAAGAACCCATAATCAAAAGTCCTAATTCCTATCCATTATAGCATCCATCACTTTCAGTACTTCAGATACTAGTTCTGCATTATCTGCAGTAAAATTTCGTAAAATATTTTCAAACGTATGATAAATCAAAGAAATTTTATTGCCTTGACATACTTCCCCTTTACATCACATTCATTTATACATAAAATCAAACAATTAGAGTAAAATAATGTCGATTTACAAAGAACCACATATTGCGGATTCTCTTGCAGATAATTCAGTCCCCCTCACAGATGACATGCCATATTACCAATTCATCCTTGAGTCTCTGATATCGATCAGCCTCCTCTCTCTCCATCTTAGCTTCCTTGCGCTCAGCAGCAACACCTTTCTTCTTCTGGTAAGTGCACTGAGTTTCTTCCTCAGCCTTGAGCATCTCCTCCTTCAGGCGGTCATATTCTTCCTTCAGAGCACCAGATCTGGCGTGAGAAAATGATAAAAATAACACGTGTATTACATGCTAGAAAATTCAAGCAAATACATGCATTTACTCATAAATGAGTAATATTATACATTTATGTACTGTTAAGAGATACAGGGTCCGCCATATTTATGGCAACGGATGTTTGCTATATAAAATAAATTGATTTCTAGGAGACTTTTCTTTCATAATGAAGCTTAATATCATCTATTAATTAATCTATTTTATATTGCAGAAGTCTAAGGTGTCTAAATTTACTATTACTAAGGGCAGTAGATAGAAATGCAATACCAGTAACCCTTCATGAAAAGGACGAGAGTAATTCAGTCATTGCAAAAAAAGCTCTAAATTCGTCGTGAAACTGTGTGGAAGGTGGTAAAAAATTTCAAGGAAACTGGTGAAACATGCAATCAACCTGATCAAGGAAGGAAAGGAAGTGTCCGAACAAAACAATTGGTCAAAAACCCAAGGGAGAAGTTGAGGAGAAACTATTAATTACCATAGACAATCTCTGAGCAGTAACATAAGATAAGCTTTGACGCAATAGATCCTTACAATTTCTCAACATATTCAGCTCTTATTCAATAAAAAAACGATGCACCAGTTTGTTTCATTGAGAAATAACAAAAAAACATACGTTGCCATAAATATGGCGGACCCTGTAATTTGAGGATGGGATAATCTTTCTCTTCATCACACACTATAACAGTGATGAATGCAATTAATTACCATAGACAATCTCTGAGCAGTAACATAAGATAAGCTTTGACGCAATAGATCCTTACAATTTCTCAACATATTCAGCTCTTATTCAACAGGCTAAGATTTGTTTGGTAAAGGTAAAGAGGCAAGGGAAGAAACTGTCTTGGAATATGGTTGTGACTTGGGGAAACAATTGTGTCCCCTGATTAAACACTTTATCACTTATTATGGAAGATAATGAGCCAAATAGGAAAAAATATAACTCAGTACTCACTGCAGTGAGTGACAGAGAGCGCATTTTTTTGTCGACAAAAACATGAAGTCACGGACGGACAGACAGACTGACGGACAGAAAGACGGACATGGCGAGCACAATAGTGCATTTTTTTCATAAATGAGAAATGCGCTAAAAAGGAGTACGCAATGTAATGATACAGAGCATTCCATAATGGAATTCTGACAGAATGACATTCCATTATAATACAAGGTAGATTAAGACGGTATGAATGAGCAGATTATGGATTAAAAAGGTAAACACTTGATAATTAATAGACAAGTTAGGCAGATTCTATCTAGCAACATTTGACTACCAAATAATTAGCAATGTATGGCTGTGAGAATAATTTTGCTATTTAGCCTACCTCTCATAACATATCATACTTGATACACTTCAAACAATAGCACCTAACAATTACAATTATTTGCTAATGGCATGGGTTGGAGAGGTAGTTAGCTGGTTGGAAGAGTGTGGACTGACTTTGTCTAGCTCATGTACATTACTAATATCAAGGTAAATAGTAGGATACTTTACATATTAAAAACTGACCAAATGACATTCCTAAATATTCTAGAAAACATATTTTTAAATTTCACTATAAAAATGGTATGCTTACGTCACATTGAAGAGAATCTAAGAAATTGTAGAGCTCTTATTTTATTTGGGACCTATCATTTGGTGCGATCCAAGATTTCTGCTGATGTATAAAAATTTCTTAGCTTTACATCACAAATCAGGACAAAGCTTTTAGTATCATCTCATCAATCAGAAAATGCATGGAACGCAAATGCTCATGATACAAGCATGAGCAGCTGGGTTAAAAATATTGAATTTTTATTTTGCTTTGGTACTATATGACAAGGAAATTTCTTATCTGTGGAAACTAGATTAAGGAGAGAACAAACTAGATTAAAGAGAGAACAAACTAGATTAAAGAGAGAACAAACTAGATTAAAGAGAGAATAAACTACATTAAAGAGAAAACCAACTAGATTAAAGAGAGAACAAACCAAATTAAAGAGAGAACAAACCAAATTAAAGAGAGAACAAACTAGATTAAGGAGAAAACATACTAGATTAAAGAGAGAACTAACTAGATTAAAGAGAGAACTAACTAGATTAAAGAGAACAAACTAGATTAAAGAGATGAAACTAGATTAAAGAGAGAACCAACTAGCTTAAAGAGAGAACAAACTATGTAGATTAAAGAGAGAACAAACTAGATTAAAGAGAGAACAATACCCTGGAGTCTGCTAAAGAAACACACACTGACCCGCTGAGCTCCTCAAATAAAAGAGTTCTTTCCTTAGGATTCTTCATAGCAATTGATTCAACAGCCCCCTGAAACACCAGGAAATTTTTGCCCTTGACATTGATGCCAAGCTGCTCGAGTTCCTTCATGTACTGTTGGCTGTTGACAATCTGCAACACATTTCAATATATTAATAAATGCAAGAATATAAAATAAATCAGATTAATTTAATAAATAATAAAATAAATAAAAATAAAATAAATCAGATTGACACAATATGAAAATAAATGCGAGTTTAACAGGACTCAAAATATCAGTAATTTCCAGGGCATGGCAAAAATACGTCTATTTACAAAGGAACAAGGCCTTTAGACTAAAGCATTAGGCTACTGTAAAATTTTTTGATAAGTTCTCACAGTAACCTCATCTTTAGTTTGAACATTTAAATTAGAAATTCAAAAGTTTAACCCAACAAAATCTCTAGTGCTTGCAATTAATTAAAATCATGTCCTGAAAATTAGTTAAGCTTTTCAACTGGGCACAAGTCTAGGCAATGAATACACAAACTAGTAGTATATGTAATAATAAAAATAAAAGATTAATTTGTTTATGTTGCATGAACATGTACATATGTGATTAAACTTTAGGACATGGTTTAGAATCTAATGGCAGCCTTTTAGCATTTTAACAATGCATTAAATGACCAATTATCTAAAAGATCCAGTATCTTATCAATTATTACGTCACTCTTGACATATAAAATTACCCTGTTATCAATTTTGTGATCTGATGAAGATCCTTGAACTGTTCTTGTAAATCTCTTTTCTCCAAAACCTTCCAACTCAAAAACGGCCGTAACTTGAGCAGAGCGGCTGATAGGCTGGCCTATGGATGCTCCATGGATGAGATCACTCAGTCTTTTCACTCGCAGGCTGGATGTTCGCTCCCCCATCACAAAGGAGATGGCATCCATGAAGTTTGATTTACCTGGCAATAAATATTGCTTTATTAATTAAATACAAATGTTTATTTTGTAAACAACAAGGAATAATTGGTTATTATGTCACCACAATACAACAATTTAGGTGAACATCATATTCAAAATTCTTCATGAGAGAAGTGGCTGCAGATTTTATTACTTACATGAAAAGTTTATTTTCAAATGCCAATATGACATTATTCTGACCAAGACAAATAGATTTTGACTAATTATAGACTCCTAATTATTCTGACTCACTGCTCCAAATGTTTTTTATTAATTATGTGTATTCAAACAACTCAATTAAATGAGTGACATTTAAATCTAGACAATGTAGACAAGTTTCAACATCATTAAAAAACTACAATGTCACTCAATGGCTGCCAATGAATCTTCATGTAGTCAAGATTTAGAGCAAAGCTCAACACAGGCTTTGCAAACATAAGATTCATGGCAGCAACATCTCACTGTAATAATATCTTTATCTAAATACTTCCAAGACCTTAGTCATAAACTGTCCACTTTAAATCCACATCAAAACATTGCAATAGAAGACAAAACAGATCAACATTTAAACAGACTTTGACCTGCACAATATTTTGGTGGGTCTAAATATGCTAAAAAAACCTAATACATTTTTTGGCAAATTTTTCTTGGAAATATTAGCAATGTGTTTGTTCAGAATATGAGAGTTTGCTAGGCATCAGTTAATCACCCAATTTATTCATTGGGGGCAAAAAACCTTAAAAACAAAGCCAATAGAACTGTCAGTCTTCTAAACTTCAACCAAAAAAAAAAAGAATTTATAAACTATTAATTGATTATAGCATAACCAGAATATTTGTCACTAAACAGACATTAATATCAATTGGGAAGAATAGAATATTTTAATAGCTGACAAATCTGAGTTACCTGGTCACTTGTCTAAAAATTGTATTAGTGTATTTGTATTGCATCCCTGCATGGTAAGGTACAGGGTATGGTGATAAAGAATTGTATCCCTGAATTACTTCGAATAATTTTATAAAATTTATCCTGAAAATATGGGCATTGAATTGCCTAAAATCCCTGTAATTTAGAATCAAAATACATGGAGCACAATTATTGAGCACAAAAAATGCAGCATAAAGGAGGTTTGTAAGGGATTTCAATTGTAAGCATAGAAGTGGTATATATTTCTTCTCATGTATACTTGGTGAATTCATGTAATGTATACAGTGATCTCAGTGTACAGTGATCATTCATGTATACTTTTCATGATTAGGTAAATGAATGCAACCAGTGCAACTGTCTCATGAATGAGGCAGGATTAACATTTTTATACTCATTACTAAAATCTTGCAGCTCCAGTGACAAATTTTCAATACACTGGCAGCTTGCCCTCGGGCTCTTGCAGCCCAATTCTGCAGTTCTGTTAACAATTAGATAGGAGGTAATTTATCAAGTGGGATCTTGCAGTTAAAAAAAAGCAGGAAAAGTCTACTTGCAGCTGGAAAGGTAGGTATTTTCCACATTCATGCCAGGAATAGGAGGAGCCAACAAAAAAATATCTCTTGCTTACACCATGTTTCCAGCCATGGCAGAATTCTAGGAATTTGATGATCATATAGATCCATCAGGACGGTGGGAATGCTCCACTGCTAATACTAACATGAGGAGCAGGTTGGGGGGCATTTGTTTAGGATATCAGACTATTTAAAGCCATTTTTTTGCATGCTGCAGTGCTTTAATGCACTCGTCCAGGCCGTCCCATTGGGACGGCCTTCTGTTGCATTGGGACGAGCATGCTGCGGCCTGCGCTTCTGCCAGCCCGTATTAGAGCGTGCGGTTGTCTTACCCCTGTTGAAGCACGCTGCTGCTGCCAGCCACTCATTTTGTAGCGAGCGGTGGGCCAGATCCTATTGCAGTGCAGTGGCTCTATACTCTTATTTTTCACCACCGAGCTTCTCAATAACATAGGTACAGGGTCTGAGGGTCATTTAGAAGGCATTTACAATGCCACCATCTCCCTAGCATATCTAAAATATTGGATCAAATTAAAAAATTCAGGATAGATATGATTATATATTAGCAATTTGGAACAATTTCTACAAATATCTCTTGTTTCAAGTCACTGTGCAGAGAGTGGATGAATATTGCAAGATCTTTGGCAACACTTCAGTAGCAAAATTTTCGCCTACAGAAGATCATGCCGACACATTTAGATTGAAATTCTTGCATTCAATATATTTGTCAGTCTTCGGCCAACTATTTAGAAAAAAGTAAGGTTTCCGGAACGTTGGATGGATCAGGATGCAATAAAGCTTGTCCGGAAATCAGTTGCGATGAGGTCCCGCTAAAAAAATGTAAACAAAATGTAGTTGCAGTCACATCAGAGCGGTCAGACTGCATCATTACATATTCAGTTGACACTTGCTGTACAATCAGACTGCTTTTAGGGTAAAATTAGTTATTTGGGGTCACACATGCATGCAACCTTGTAAATAAGTTCATGGCTTGTAAATAGTTTTTCATTACTCAGCATAAATGGCTTTTCATTAAAAATTACCAGGCGACGCATCTTGAAAATGGCTGGCGACGCTTTGGGCTTAAAAACCCATAGCCTATATTGGCGACACTGCTTCCACCTTCTGCACCCTGGGTTTCAATTATTTTGTATGAAAGAAATTTGGCAAGTGACTTGCATTTCCGGACATGTGAGATTTCTGCCAAATGAATTACCTCCTATCTAATTGTTAACAAAGGTGCACGATTGGGCCGCAAGATTCTAATTGTATTAAAAATTTGCCTCATTGGAGACACAAGATTTCAGATACCTACAAGTTGGAAAATTCCAATCCTGTACAGACACAAGCCAGAGCATTTTTGTGGGTAACACTTTAGATCAAGTGCATCCAAAAAAATGGTGTTTTTTTAATATGTATTTTGGGGCGTAGATTGATTAAGAATCTGAAATCTGTTTTTGGCAGTCGGCGTCAGAAATTTTTAATGGAACCTGTTCCTAACTGGACCTAACCTGCAAGGTTTTTGTTGATTGGCTAGGTTTTTCCGGCCGCCGGACAGACTCCACTCTCCAAACATAGAAAAAACATATTGGCAAGGTTTTTACGGCTGCCGGACGGACTCCAAACATAGAAAAAACCTAGCCGATCAACAAAAACATTGCAGGTTAGGTCCACCGTCCCATAGTGGCAAACCAAAGCTTTTTTAGAATCAGTTCATTTTTAATTTCCTCATTTACTCAAGATTTGAACCAATTTCTTAAGTATGATAATGCTGGTATCCAGGATACTTTACTGGTCTACTTATAGGACTCAAAAATGAACTTGAGGGAGAGTCTAAAAAACTCTCTGCTTTGCCACTATGCATGATACTTTACTGGTCTACTTATAGGACTCAAAAATGAACTTGAGGGAGAGTCTAAAAAACTCTCTGCTTTGCCACTATGCACCGTCCACTCGTCCAGTTAGGACTTAGGAACAGGTTCCATTAAAAATTTCCGATGCCAACCGCCAAAAACGGATTTCAGATTCTTAATGTACATCCAAAAAAACATATAATTAGAAAAAAAAACTTTTTTTGGATGCACTTAATCTAAAGTCTACCTTTTTGTGTCATCCACTGCCATCTGCCACTGGTGTTGTGGCTTCCTCTGAAAGCCTGAATTTTTCAGAATTCATAGTAATAGTTGTATAATTGCACCCACCACTTTGGTCCCTGACAGCCTGACTCTCTGTCTCTGCCCTGTCATTTAACATAGTGGCAAAGCAGAGAGTTTTTTTAGACTCTTCCTCAAGTTCATTTTTGAGTCCTAAAAGTAGATCAGTAAAGTATCTTGGATACGAGAGTTATCATACATAAGAATCCTGGGGTAAATGAGGAAATTAAAAATGAACTGATTCTAAAAAATCTCTGGTTTGCCACTATGCCTGTCAATTTCCCGGGTCTCCCCCGACCCCCGTCAATTCAGTAATACCTAGCCTAATAGGCAAAGCTGGCTAACTAATATCATAATTTGAAAGCATTGCGACTAAACACTTGTATACTGCAACCTATATATTGCGTTAATCGCGTAGCTAATGAATATTTTACTAAAAAATATTCAACAGTCACGAATTGACAATAGAAAATCACCTGATCCATTGGGGCCGATAACCGCGGTGAATGATTTCAAGGGACCAATTGTATAAAACCCTCGGTACGATTTGAAATTTTCAACTTCAATGTACTTCAATATTGACTTGACTGACATTTGAAGTGCGCGCCGTACACTGAGGGAATCAGATAAAATCTAAATGGTAATGTTCACGAAACACGAACGGTGCTCGTAACTGCCCAAGCAGAGCGTTTGACTGGAGGAGAAAAATCATATTTGCTATTCCAATTGAAAGCGGGAGGGTATAAAAATATAACTAAAATCGTCGCGACTGCGCAATAAGCATGTGAAAGCATATATTAAATTTCATAATTATTGGTTACGAATTGAGGGAATAAAACGTGGCTACGTGACGGAATTTGCCCGTTTGCACACGTTTTACCGCTTTATTTGCAAAGTAGATGAGTTAAAATTTAAAAAAAAAATCGTCGCTACTGCGCAATAAGCATGTGAAAGCATATATTAAATTTCATAATAATTGGTTACGAATTGAGGGAATAAAACGTGGCTACGGGACGAAATTTGCCCGTTTGCACCCGTTTGACCGTTTTATTTGCAAAGTAGATGAGTTAAAATTATAAAAAAATCGTCGCGACTGCGCAATAAGCATGTGAAACCATATATTAAATTTCATAATTATTGATTACGAATTGAGGGAATAAAACGTGGCTACGTGACGGAATTTGCCCGTTTGCACCCGTTTTATCGTTTTATTTGCAAAGGAGATGAGTTAAAATTATAAAAAAAATCGTCGCGACTGCGCAATAAGCATATGAAACCATGTATTAAATTTCATAATTATTGGTTACGAATTGAGGCAATAAAACGTGGCTAAAGGGAGAGCTGGTATAGGGCAGGTTCAGGGCCGGGCTGGCCCACGCTGTAACCCACGCTAACGCCCACGCGCTTTTGTCCGACCGGTCCATTTGAGCAGCTAGTATGCGGGATTTTCCCTCCGCGTATTAGCAGACTCGATCATAAATATTTTTTTATAGAAAATATCTATAGCAAGGAAGCTGATCAAGGAATGCCGAATATACCATTCAATTGACAATGAAAATTACAACCCGTTTATATCTCGAAAAAAGTGTAAAAGTCGCAGACTTGATGAACAGTAATATTCAAAGTTTCTCGAAATTTCCTCTCATTAAAACTCTTTTAATACAAAGTTCGCATATTTTTTGTTACTGGTCGACGCTTATAAATAAATAGCTGGGTAAGTATGGAAAAATCCATATCGCCATCTCATTTGCGAGTGGAGTAAAGTCTATCCTAATTAGTGAAGAAACGCTTAGGGAAGAGCCGAGCCTGTTGGAAGCCTCTCGGCTTTCAATCAGGGCCTTAAGAGTAATCAAAAATGAAGCCATAGATAACTTGCGAGAAATTAGATGTTGATTACATAACTGGCATGGTTGCAGATTCAACTTATTAACTCAAAAATAAATTTATTGACTTTTCCCCGTAGCTGCGCTGCTGCAGTGATGCACTGCTGGATCGCTGACTGCTGCTAGGTTAGGAATCGGTTGCTACGACGAGTCTGCTTCTGGCTACGGTTGTAGATTGACGTGCGTGAGTCGCTCTTTAACTTGTCAAGTTGCTTTCAGTATTTTCTAGTCTTAAGTAAAGTAAACCCCCTTGAAGTGGACTATTTATGGACCTAAGAAGCCAATATCCATAAATCTAAGCGGAATTGAGTATTTTTAATTGAATTGTAAGCTTTTTGAAGACTTGTTGGTGAGGCGAGCGATCGACGGCAACCAAGATGACGTCAAATCCAAAGTACGTGTTCGTCCGAATGCTGAATTCCCAACGCAGAAAAGTTGCTGTATCGTATACGTCGAACTAACTAATAAAAAATCTAGCTATTAACGGTGAGTGACACCTTTCCTAGCTTTCCATCGCCAATTTGAATGAAAATATGACATCAACTAGGAGGGGAACGGCCTCAGCCCAACTCGGCCAAAAGCCTCAAAAATTGTCCTGCTCAGCCGCATGGGTATGGGGTACGGAACCCGGACGGACCGCGCGGGGGGCGGCTGAAAAGGCGAAAGATTGCGGAATTTGTGCGGAAATCGTAACTGAACAAGACAAGGCGCTGAAATGCGAAATCTGTGAGCAATGGTACCACACCTCGTGCGAAAAAATTGAAGATGAAGAATACGAAAACATCCTGAAGGATAGTAAAAGGGATTGTCCCCGTCTACATTGGTACTGTAGCAAGCAATGCAACAAAGTAGCAACCAAATTTCTCAATGGAATGACTGAAATTCAGAGGCAGGTTGATAAACTAACTGAGCATCTAGCGCTGGTAGACAGGAAGATCACTGATGTACATGAAGGAAAATTCACCCAGAAAATGATAGACACAGTCGAAGAAATAGTCAAGAAAGAAGTTCATGAACAACTAACTGAGGAGAAGCTGGAGGAAATATTGGGCATATTAGAATCAAGAGCCAAAGAGCACTTAAAAAAAATAACCAAAAAAGAAGTTCATGAACAACTAACTGAGGAGAAGCTGGAGGAAATATTGGGCATATTAGAATCAAGAGCCAAAGAGCACATAACAGAACTTGAAGAGAGAAAGAAAAGAAAGCATAATTTGATGTTGTTTCATCTTCCAGAAAGCAAAACCAAGGACAGGGAGGCCAGACTGAGAGAAGAAAAAGAACATATCAACGAACTGCTGAAGGAGGTTAAAGTTGACCACAGGCCGTTAGAACACCGTCGCATGGGCAAGTTTACAGAGGCAGCCAAACCAGAGGAGCAGAAGCATCGTCCAGTACGCCTCACCTTCTCATCCGAAACAATAAGGGATAAAGTGTTGAAGGCCTACCACAGAGCAAGGAAGGAGAAACCAGCCAAAGACCAGACGGACGCTAAATTGTGTATGACTCTTACTCTGCAAAGGGACCTGACACCCCAGGAGAGGAAAGAAGAAGACAGGCTGTTTAAAGAGCTGAAGGCCAAGCGACAACAGTCCGAGCAGTCGGGGGACAAGAATGCCCACTGGATAAGGAGGAACGGTCGAGTGGTCAACATCGGCCGGTATCCCTGCGAAGAGGAAGAATGTAACGGATATCGCTACATAAATAATTGTGTTTGTATATTAATGATTTTATGGATCATATTTGTTCTATTTAGTTTCCGTTGACAGGCAACATTGCACTTCTGCTAAGCCCCTCTCTCTCTCTAGCTTCCCCCACGCTTAGAGCCCAATCTTTTTCCTGCCGCTGTGTCGCTAACACTTCCTGGTAAGTTCACTAACTTAGAAACCGTGCCTTTAGGATAGATCTTGTCTTTAGTTGTGCCGAGTGCAGTGTAGCATAATATGTAAATCTAGAGAAAATTAAAGGTTTTTTGTTAATCGATTTGCCTTGCCTTAAGCTCACGTGATAACTTGCTCACTCATCAAATGGTGTCGCTAATTAACGTAGTTCTCTTTCGCAGTGACCTCACATCGGCAATCAAAGAATCATTCCTGCTCCTGCAACGTGTACTGTAAACTCAACATCACGTGCCTCTGTAACTACACTCATCACGTGCCTCTGTAACTACACTCATCACGTGCCTCTGTAACTACACTCATCACGTGCCTCTGTAACTACACTCATCACGTGCCTGTGTCACGTTCACTTGAACGTCTTAAAATAAAATGTAAACACTAAATGTAAAGGTCGGTCCACACGCTCAGTTTTACACAACGATTTGTCTGCGCAGTTTTAAGTCGGAATGAAATCGCTGGAATTTTTAGCGCGTCCACACGGTACCGACTTATCTGTGTAGTTTGCTCAGCTTTGCGTGATCTCGCCATGGAAGAGGCAGTATTTTGGGCAATTTTGTTAAAAAAGTGTGTTAAAAAAAGATTGGCACGCCTTGTTAAAAAAAAGATTGGATCGTTTAGGAAATACGAGGAATCAATAGACGATGGCTTATAGATGTCATCTTCTCCAGCTCCATATGGGATCGCTTTATTAATTTTTTTCCAATTATTTACGGTAAATACTCCTTAAATTATTAATTTTTAACAGCTGTTTCTCTGTTTGCGCTTTCATCGATTTCTTTTATTTTTTCTACTAAGCTCTCATATGTCTCCCATTTTACCCTGTTACTATAGTCCTAGGATTTTACTCGCCAAATGCAAGAAAAACTTTCGTATAGAGCAATAAATTCCCGAGAACATTACCGATGGTCCGCCATTGTCCCCAGAATCATTGAAACTGAGAACAACTTGAATCGGAAAACGGTGCTACCGTCTACACGTTTCGACTTGTCTGCGCAGTTCATCGAAATCTATGCTCTGTAGCTCAGATATCGCTGCAACTGTGCAGTCTTAGAATAGAAAAGAATAGAAGTGTCGACACTGAAGAAATAGGCCCATGCTTCCCGCCGGCTTCAAAACTGCGCAGTTTTCCCGTCAACACGCAACGTTTTATTTGCAACGATCTGAACTGCGCAGACAAATTGTTGTGTAAAACTGAGCGTGTGGACCGGGCTTAATTAAGAATGCGCTGTAGAGTGTTGTGTCGCTCATCGAGCACGCCACTGGCCTACCGCCAGCTCAGTTCCACCGAGCGTAAGCCGCTCGCTGTTATCATCTTGAATGCTCTTGAATTTTCGTTTGTCTAGAATGTTCCTGTGTCTTTCGATTATTGTCATGAACTGTGTCACTATGAGAGTGATTAGTGAGTGTCGAGTGAATGCATGAATGTGACAATGCTGTAGCACAACATGTTAGCAATTATTTTTAAAGATTTGTTGGATCTCGTCTACGTAGAGTGAGAGATTCATTCTGCCGCCAGAGTGAGACTTGAGAGTGCCGTTTGGTGATTTTGTCTAAAGTAGAAGGCTGATTTAAGTAATATGTCATTGTATTGTTTTCACAATTATAGTGCCGACAATGACGAGAGCTCGTGTTGTTTGTTTTAATGAAGTAATGCAAGATGGAAGTTTGCCCGATAAGCTTTCATTATTATTTTTTTGTGAGCTCTTTTGCCCGCCAAAACAGGCGACCAACGCCTGAGATTTAAACAACCCACGCCCGCCTGACGTGTGATGTTTGCCTGCCGCCTGGCGTGTCGAGAACGAGAATGGCGTCCCCGCCAGGAATTTTGAGAGAAGCCCGCGAATGTATGCCTGGAGAGGAAACCGATTCGTACGAATGTTTCAACTGTGTCTGCTCTAATTTATTAGAGCTGCAACATAATTCGTTAATTTTCACTTTTCCCTTTATCACGTTTACTGGTATCGTAAATATGTAACTGTTTTTATTTGGGTTCGATTGTAATGCATTTCACTGAGTCGTCAAGAAAATTATTCTATCTTGGAGAAGGGAAAGTAAAGAATAAATAAAACATCGTCTTTTGAACCCTCTACTGTCCTTGGACCCATGATTAGGTGGATATTGCGATACAGCAGTTGAAGTATCTGTATATTCCCGCGAGAACGCTCATCACGTGCCTGTATAACGAAGTTCATCACGTGCCTGTGTAATGACGCTCATCACGTGCCTGTGTAACGACGCTCATCACGTGCCTGTATAACGACGGTCATCTCGTGCCTGTATAACGAAGCTCATCTCGTGCCTGTGTAACGACGCTCATCACGTGCCTGTATAACGATAGGCAGCTGTTTCGGGCCGGTACTGTTCGTCGTCTTCATCAATGATCTGCCATGCAGCGTAAGCTCATCTGTAAAAAATGTTTGCAAACGACACAAAGGTCTATCAGAGAAGCGACGTAGCCGGCGCCACAGCTGAAATACATAATGGCATCGACAAGCTCTAACAGTGGTCTGGCGACTGGCTTCTGAGGTTTCATCCGTAAAAATGCAGCGTACCAAAAGCTTGCAGCGGCTTGGTGCCAAAAAGTCTGATGCGAACTACTATATGAAGTCCAAGGTTGCCAACGGCGACGACTGCATTCTTCAGCTGGCAGAAAGCGAGGCAGAGAAGGATCTGGGTGTCACGATAGACAATAAGCTCTCATTCAAACAATATGCGGCTCAGGCAAGATCGAAAGCTAACAGAATTGTGGGCATCATTCGCCGCTCATTCACTTGCCTGACGGAAATGACATTTGTAACACTCAACAGGAGCCTAGTGCGACCGACCCTTGAGTACGGTCATTCAGTGTAGAACCCCAAGACGAAACAACTCTGCTGTGAGCTGGAGGATGTCAAGAGACGTGTCACTAAACTACTGGCTTCACTGATGGACAAGTCTTGTGAAGCGAGACTGAGAACCCTGGGTTTCCCAGCCTTGGGCACCGTCGATGTCGATCGAGGCGACATGATTGAGGTCTACAATTAAGTACCTTCACGGCATATATTGTACCCCAGCGACCTCGCTTCGAACACATCCCGGACAACTACGGACTGAGAAGCTCCACCCTGAAGTTACAGAAAAACAGGTTCAGACTCAACATGCGAGGCCACTTCTTCACCAACAGGGTAACAACAACCTGGAATATTATATAGTCTGCCCCAGAGTGTCGTCGATGCCCCCATCAGTCAACGCCTTCAAGAACAGGCTGGATAATCACTGGAAGTCCCTCCCCTCTCTCTATGACCCATCCTGCTACCACTAGTGACTTGGTGCCACCATGCGTACATGCAAGTGCCATGTCACTAGCAGCACAACGAGCGATGAACACGGCCCAGGAGGGCCTCAAACCTCGGTTCTGTTCAAGTTCAAGAGTAATTACCATTACTCAACAGTTTAAAATTAATCCTAGTATATTTATTTTGACGCTGAAGAATAGACAAAGTTCACCCCATTATAGTGTATTATGTTAGGCAAATTATTACTATTATTTATAATAATGAGTAATTACTTAGTTGCAATCAATTAATAATACTCTGAAAAGTGACAAAAACGGAGCTCCCCCAATTCCATGAAAAATTTCCTCCCAAATTTCGAAATAAATTTCAGAATTTCACTCAAATCACAAAATACCATATTTTCGGTCGAGATCTCTAAAAAATTTTCAATAGTTTAAAAAAAATCAAAATTTTTAATTTTCAGGTCTTACTGACAACAGAATTATAAGAATTCTACATTTCCCAATCACTACATGAGCCCAACAATTCTCTAAGTATTACTATTAGTCCATTTGTAGAAGAGGTAAATAAATGAAACAATCTTTTATACATATATTACCAAGAAACGAGAATACGTAACACAAAGAATATTAATAGCGCTTAAGTTAGGGCAAGAATGCACGTGTAAAAATACATTCACTATAATCTAGTCGAGTTGTACAAGAGAAAAGATATTTAATACGAAGTGGAATCCAGCCCTCGAGTTCAATTCACATGCATAATTAGAACAAACGATAAATTTGAACGAGATAAAATATTCTTTTTATTAGCAATTAAAAACAATAAAGGATTCTGAGCAGAAAATACCTAGCGAGTAGCGACCGATACATTGCAAAGACAGTTTTGAGATTGATACAAGCCAACGTATACGCAATTCCTCGAGACCCAGCAAGGAATGATATTCGTCCTTGAACTAAGGCACATTGAAGACACGAATTACGATCTTAAAAATAGATTTAAATATGCGTTTGCAACGTCGAGACCATGTGCAGAGCTGACATCATGTGCAATTGTCCTCGCTCCAACGACTACACTAAATTTTGATCAATGAAATTAAAGTAAATAATTTTCTGAAATTCTCGTACGAAATTTGCGACACGGCAGTGAAATGTTGTACAGGAACCTGATGCTGAAATCAATTCAAAAAGAAACCTATTGTAAAGCGCTATCGAGACGATTAAATCATTAGGACCAATAATTATCTATTACTGTGAATTTTTTGGACTAACTTAACATTAAAGCGCACATCTTGCTTGAATTTAGAAAGCGTTATAAGGAAACCGTTAGTCGTTGCACGCGAGGCAGGACAGTTCTAAAAATAAGTGAGCTACAGAAGTAAATATTGTGCTTTGGTTTATGAGTTCTTCTACTTCTACAATCTTACGAGACATACTGCGAACTAAATCAACATAAGTCAAACAGACAAAAGGATAAAAATTATAATAATAGAAGGATTATCATTAACGCTTATAGCAAGTCATTCTTCTTTCTCCTGAGCTGGAAGATTAAGTGGATCAGAACTAATGTCTTAATTATCCCCTAATGGCAAATGTAAAAAACTTTCAAAATTGCAGCTTGTTGACTCCATATGATTTATAAAATAATTTTAATTGAAGCTAACATGTAATTATGAGATTCAAGAATAAACAGAAAACACTAACCTTAACAACTGCTACATTCTGATGTTAAACATGTTTCAACTAAACGACTTTTGGTATATTATTTTAATATCATATATTCTCATGGATCTTCTTGATCGACTTTGATACTCAAAATTCGAATTAACATTAAACAGTATAAATGTTACTCTGACAGCAAACAGCTGATTACCCTTCCCCAAAAACGGGAAACAGAGGAGACAAGGAAGAGAGATGCAGGACAAGATGAAACTTATCAAGAATGGTCGAGTAGGCAAGAACCACGGATCCAAGAAGAAATTAGACAAAGATAAGGGAATGTATAAGAAAAAAGAGAAAACAAAAGGAGAAAGAAGACGATGAGAATAAATAAGATGTGAGAGCAGCTACCATGATATTCATAAACCTCTTTAATATTAGTTAGTTCGTTGGTCGAGGTAGGAACTGTAAATTAAAATGCTCGTTAGAGGCACTGACGTTTGAAATGTATCCCAGAATTCGCTCAGATGTAGCTGCAAAAAGTTGAAGACTAAGAACCAAATTCCGAACGCATGTCGCTGTATAAGAACTGTAGATTAAAATGCTCGTGAGAGCCACTGACGTTTGAAATGTATCCCAGGATTCGCTCATATGTAGCTGCAAAAAGTTGAAGACCAAGAACCGAATTCCGAACATATTTCGTTGTATTCAAAAGTGGCGTGGTCAGAAAACTAGGTGTTAGCTGCAAAAAGTTGAAGACTAAGAACTGAATTGCAAACGTGTGTCGCTGCATAAGAAAAGAAAGAGGTGCTAATATTGATCTTTGAGGAAGGCTGTGATGATGGCGATGGAGTTCTCATGGAAGCCACTCAGGCACAGCAGGCGAGGCTCGCTGAGCTCCTGCTGACTGGGCTCCCCCATCGGAGCGTCGATGCCCACCACCACAATCCTGGCACAGATATCAACATTGAACTCGTGTATAACAACTTTCTATTTCATACACACATTTTAAGAAAATTATTTCTTCGTGTCGAATTTGTGAATTGGAAATATAGGTAACAGTTCTGCAGACAATTTTTGTCCGCAGACAGACAAACAGTTAGTCAGTCTGCATTTGCAGACAGACAAGCTTTTTGTAGAAAAATTTTCTTTCATCTCCAGTACGTCAGTATTTTTTTTCAGTACACGGTATGAACTACTCTCAGTACACGGTATTTACTACTCTCACAAACGCTTACTTGCTGAGCCCTTCATTCTTGGGAGTATTCTGGAGATATTCATTAACCTGTTTCTTGTACCCTGCAACCAAGACGGGACAGAAGAAAATCAGCTGCTTCGCCTTCTTCGTCGTGCAGATGGCCATCACTTCAGTGAGCAAGGCACGATCTCTCGTGAGGGAAGTGTAGCACTGCGGAACAATAAAAACTCTCTTAACTGATGAGTACTCAACTCTTACTTGTGACAAGGAGGCTGTAGTTCAATAAGAATTCAGAGATAATTTTTTTGTCTGAGCATGGATTCGACTTTTGCAAGGCGTTCAACGATTGATAGTGAAAAATATAGCTTTTATTATAGCTAATTGCCAGATAAAGAAGCTTGACTCTAGTCATCTGTTTGATAAAGGAAAATCTGGTTTATTTTCTGTTTCTCAACTTAAAGAGAAAAAATTTTTTTTGAGTGAAAAATTATATCTCTATAAAAAAAAGTTAAATACCTGCAGGAATGTTGAAACAGGAGACCACGAAAACGTCAATTCAGAAGCATGATGAAAGATTGCTAACTACTCGAAGGATTTGAAGAATATATTTCATGTCCAGCAACGCAATAAAAACATAATTTTTTTAAAAACAAACAAGAGATGCAGTAAATAAGGAAAGAAAAATAAAAACTCACCAATTCTTTAAACATTGGCAGAATAAACATCACATCTAAATATTGAGATAGATGGCTTTAGTACATTAAAAATATTTTTTTAGTTCAAGTAAGTTTGAACACAGCAGGTCTAAATATGCTTCTCATAAAATAAAGACGAAATTTTAAGTCAAATTTGGGCGATTTCAAAGCTACGGTTTTTATCAGAACTTAAGACATCACAAGTCATACTTGCTTGTGGACGTTGAATCCGGGCATCGTGTCAATAAATTTCCTCAGCTGCATGTTGGGCTCGCACACAAAATACAAGTCCGGGAATAAGGAAGCCACAGAATGTTCCTGGTGAAGAAAAAATCCTGTTTAATGGCTGTTACATTAGAAATACGGGTATGACATTCATAACATACAAGGTACATGTTAGAGATAAATGAAAAAAGTACATGGAATTCAAATAATACTAATGGTGTCACAAGATTGTAATTAATTTCATGTTCTTTGTATATCAATAACTCGAGCATAAATTAACAAATCAACATTTATTCTCCGTCTTGCTGATATACATCAATAAATACATCAATGAAACATCAATAGTTCATTTTTAATTGCTGATACAATGTAACCTCCGGGTTGACTAGGAATAAAAATAATAAAAAAGGCCTAAATGTAGGTTTAAACGGCATTCTCGTTTCAGACTTCAAATAATGAGAGCTACAAGTTAATGCTTTTGAAAAAACTTGAAACAAGACAATTTAATCCTTAAATGCCACCCTATTCATTTACAAAGCGAATCAGATATTCTACCTAGAATATAAAGACTGTAGAATTACATTGATTTAGGCATCATATTACATTAATATACATATGGTGAAAAACGGAATCAATTAACACATCATGGCAACAAATAGTGAAGGGTGGTCATGATATTTTATGAGTGGTACACAAGATACAATTGGCATGTTTGAACATACAAGAGCAGCCTTGTGTACAAGGGAGCTGTAGAGGTTGAGAGGCTCCAGGAGATGAACCATGATAGTTAATGAGTGGAACACAAGATATAATTTGCAGGCATGAACATACAAGAGCAGCCTTGTGAACAAGGGAGCTGTAGAGGTTGAGAGGCTCCAGGAGGTGGGCCATGATGGGCGTCTTGTACAACTCTTGCTTCCTGAGCGGCGACACCAGCAGCGGCACACCGCCTCGCCACACTTGCTTGCCGCGAGGTGACAGCGAACTGAACAATCAAATACAACAACATGAATAAATCAAGAATTTAATGGCAAGAAAATATAGGTATGTTATTTGAGCATAATAAAATGGGTTTACACGATCTCAACAGCAGTCATAAACAACATGTCGTTGTGAGGGAATGGCGATCATTTTCTTGTATTGTTATTTGGAATCATTCATTTTTCCAACTCTTTCTTATTGTTATGATCAGGAATAATTTTTCTAACGGCGTGAATAACAAAGTTCTACAAATTGTAATAGCTGGAAACACCATAAGCAGGATTACAAAATTCTGATTAAAATAATTGGTTACCTGCAAGTTCTCTTTCGATATGAGACAGAAATGGAAGACTACTGTAATGCCAAGGATGATGTAACGTGTTGGGATTAGAGTGCACATGAATGTCATTCTCCTACTGGCTCAATTCCTAGTAATCTCAGTCCATATTAATTGAGAACAGATGATTTTACTAAGAGTACAGAGAGCCTGAAGGTTGCAATTGAGGAAAGAGTCAGCTTATATATAAGTCAGTTTTTATGAAATAAATTATATATTAAAAAACTTGAAAAATTATCTTAATACTGTAAAATAAAATGAGAAATTCAATGTACATCTTTAACATTGGAGGCACTGGATTCTTTAGAAGTGTTGTCTTTAGAAAGTAATTTTTAAATGTATATTATTCCTTTTCACCTTTTTGTTCATACAAGATTAAAAGTAAGCTAAATGAATTGATTCTGAGGATAGTAATACACTCACTTTTTTATTCTGCGCGTCATGTTGTTGGCAGAGATGATGAGGTTGACAGGAGGGACTTGCTTGGGCAGGTCTGAACGCTGCAGCTGCTCTACCAGCGCATGTGATGCTGACCATTGAATCTCGCCTGCAATATAATTTCGAATTAAAAGCTAAAAAAACGTTTAATTCATCACAGATTCCCTAATGCAGAAAACCTAAAAATTTAAGTAAAGAACCACACTGGTTAAACAATCTTCCACAACTGCCATTGTAATAAACAAACTACAATTACGATTAGAAAACCATCAGCCCAAAGCCTCTACAGACCCAGGAACAAATACTAGCATCTGATTTATAGGTTAATTGCTCAAACGCACCTCCAAATCGCCAACAGTATAAAATATTGAATAATATGAATGTCTTACTGGGCTCCGGGGGTGAGGTGTAGGCATCAGCATCGGCAGAGGACTCAGTCATGGTCATGATGAACGAGGGGTCGCTGCTCGCCATGATCACGCTGGGGGAGTCCAGCTTCTCCAGCAAATGCGGGTAACCCTGAGACGGAAATTCATTCAAATTCTCATGTGGAGATGTCTTGAATGCACCACAAGAAATTTAAACGATACTTGTAAAGACACTGCCAAGTTCGAATTTTTGCTCATGATATGGTGGATCATAATGGTGGCTCATCCACACGGCAGAATAAATCTGAAAAAATTTTTATATAGAAATGTCTGAAGTAAAATTTGAACTCATGTTTAACACAAAATTTAATTCATCTTCAATAGATATTCCCGACGGCTTCTGGTACGCAATTGCAATAATGAACCTTGGGACGTTGTCAATATTGGTCTTCTTCTCATATTTTAGATGATTAAGTAACTAATGGCAGCTCGCATTCAATATCTTGGATGACATTATTGCACAGACCTAATCTGATGGGATATTTGTGTTCAACAAGAGACACACACAAAGTGATAACAAATAAGGCACATTCTCAGGTCACCTTGGAGTCTCTGAGCAGCTTGTCCTGCGTGCGAACCAGACGACACTGGCTGGTTGGTTCCAGCTTCTGCAGCATCTCAACGCGCAGGAACTGCAGCGAGCCTTCATGCTGCATGGTAAACAAGTAAACTTATATTAAAATGGAATAACAGACAATATGCTGTTATTGAGAATTTCCACAAAAGCAAAAAAGAATAGATATCGGTACTGTTTATGCTGCTCTTAGAGCCATAACTCTCACTTAGGAAACATGGATTAAATTAATTCTAGATATGAAGGACGGAAAGCAAAATGTTCAAGTATAAGTAGTGAGCATCCATCAAAAATTGTCAACTGTTGAAAGGCATAAGATAGTAACCGAGTGACTTGAAAACCCACACAATTCAGCAGAGATTTCCAACTCAGAGTTTGATTAGGAAGAATCATCTATACTGACTTCCTTATTGACGAGGTTATCAATGTAGTTTACGTAGACTGCAGCATCTTGCACAGGTGCGTACTTGGACTTGGTTTTGGCCAAGTCATTGAAGAACCAAAATACGATCACCTGCAATCCTGGGAAGCATGCCAGACATAAGCAACAAGAAATTTGTTGTAATCATAGCCATTACTAAAAAAGTATTCAACAATTGCAATGAAATACAAAATTAAATATATATCTGTGTTTTAGGTACCGTCCAACAGAATTTCAGTGTTCAGATACTCTGTTCAGAAGCTTGTGCATTTTCAAGATAATTTAATGAAACGAAGCAAGACGCTCTAGATATTTCATTTAATGCCAGTATTAAGGAGAGTAGTCCTTTCAATAATTAGTGCATGTGCAGCAAATGATGCTCAAATGCTCTTATTTAGGTAAGGTTTTATGCTCAAGATTCATCAAGTTTCGTACATTAATTGCATGAAAATTAAAAATTCAAAAGAATAGCTGCTCACCTATAGGAAGAGCTTCCGGTTGTATATGTACGAGTTTCATGACGTCTTTATGAGACCAGTTGTAAGCGTGCGGACGGTGCCACAGCTCTAGTAGCAGCTGTTCAGGCGTCAGTTGGTAATACCAGCGACGTATTGCCGTCTTCAGACCACGACCAAAACCTGCATTAAATATACACAGAAATAACATTTCATAAAGATATTGCTATCAATTCTACATAAAATTTTAACAAATTCAAGGTATTATTTTTCATTATGGATTATCTGATCTAAATCGTCATATCTTCAATAGGGCCATGAAATGGATCAAAATTTAAGATATTGTAATAGTCAATGACTTGTGTAGGGTAACTTATGAGCCTTATTTCTTTTCAAGTTAGCTTTCAACTATGTTTTTCACTCCAACACCCACATGGCACAACCAAAGTTTCATAACAATCATTCCTTGACATACATTCCTCAGATCATTTTCGAAATCACATGCTCCAAAATGCTCCTCCTATTACTGCATACAAGGCCGAAAATTGCTGAGAAATGCTTCAGCCAAAGACAATTTCAAACTGGATGAATTAATCTTGTCTCATGGTTGTAGCCGAGTGATCTCGTGCAGCAATGTAATATCAGTAAATAAACTAAAAATGTACCTGCTTTCTTAGGGTTGGGTTTTGCAAGCTTCAGGTTTTGCAAGAAGAAGAAAAGCATCGTTGAGTTCTTGAGAAGCTGTGGGAGAAGGAGGTAGCCGGCAGCAGCACTTGCAGGGGTTGATTGAGATCCTTTAACCACAGCTGATAGACACGTGAACTGCAAACAAAAATATAACTCAGTACTCACTGCAGTGAGTGACAGAGAGCGCATTTTCTCGTCGACGAAAACTTGAGGTCATGGACGGACAGACGGACGGACGGACGGACAGACAGACAGACAGACAGACAGACAGACAGACATGGCGAGCACAATAGTGCATTTTTCCATAAATGAGAAAATGCACTAACAAGCATGTTGATCCAAAAATTGAATTGATGTTTGTTCTGTATGCTGATTCATTAGGAGTATAATTATCTCAATAAATCTACAGAGAAGAAAGAGGATCACAAACAAAAATTTCTTTGCAATTCTTTGAGCAATCAAACTCTGCTAAAAGAAATCAAAATTAAATGTGTGTCGATTTTCAAACTCGATTAAAACTTTTTTTAGGTCTCTGCAGCATTATGTTTAACTTTACTGAGTAGTCTCAGCACATGAAATCCAACAAATGGATAAGCTAATCCATCAATGGAATGCAATTGAAAGAATGAGCATTATCCAAGGGCGAACGGATGCACAATATGAAGGTAATGAGGAAAATCATACCTATACAAAATAAACATAATATTCATTAACATACTCCGAATCCACATATTGAATTAAAAATAAAATAATTTCTTGAATAAATACAATAAAAACAAGGCTCAAAGGTCATCAAATGGTCTATTGGAGCAAAATGTGCACAACCATTTCATTAAGCATTATGCAATCTATTTTCTTAGCCTACCCACCACCATTTGCCAAGAAGGCCTGGCATTATCCATGGTGTCCTTGAGGCACTGCAACACCTCTTCATGGCGACTATCTTGCACCAAATTACCAACAGTTTCTGTAAGCCTAATGAAGTCTTTATGAAGATTATTAATTTCCTGAACCACTTTGTTGCGGTCAACTTGAGGTTTTGAGTTTAAAAGCTTTTTTTCCTTCATGGTCAGAATGTCCACCAGGCGCACACATGGTATTCCTGGCATAGAGAAAAAATTTAATAATATTGTTAACTTGGAAATCAATATTTAATAAATAAAGCAATAAACTTTATTTAAATAGAAACAAATAGAATAGGAGAATAAATGAGCCAATAATCTAGTAATGAAAGTTACTGTTGCACAAAAAAAAAAACTTGGCATGCTTAGTGCTTACCAAAAGGATAGTGATCAGCAGCATGGCCAGTGAGCAGAGATTTTTTCAGGATGGCAATATAGTCCAGAGGCTCCTGAGGAACCTCAACTGGATCTTCATCAGCCATGGTAGCTCTGAGAAAATCAAATAATTTGTATAATAAATCCCAAGTTCAAATTCATACAAATAATTGGTCACCTTAGTATACAGAAATAGAGCGTCAATCATTGGAAAAAAATCAATAAATACTATTATTACTATAATAATATTAAGCTCCACAGATTCAACCACAATAAGCATAAGTTCCACCAACAACAATTTGAAGACTTTTTCAGACTAGAAGTTTTTTGAAGACTTGAAAGTTTTAGAAAAAATAACTAGGTAAGTTACTTGGAAAGATTTTATTTGCAGGATAGTTTTGATTTGTAGAATGACCCACAAAACCATTTTACTTAAAGGCAAGAAATATAAAGAATCCAGCTCATATTCACTATCAGTGAAACAAATTTATTATGAAATAGTTTCCTAAGGGCTCAAGGCTATAGCCTATAAAGTACCTATAAGTTTTTAACTATAGTTTTTACAATTTTGGTATATATTCATTTAAATTATGAGTAGGTATGATTCCAGTAGTTTTATTTATTAATTTAATCTGGAATTGCTTATAATTTTACTGTTATTTTTTTACAATTTACAATACTTAAATCAAGTTAAATGATTTTACATAACTGTCTAATATAGTAATATTCTATATTATAATATTGGCCTTTAACCTAAATGTTGATGCAACTTGCAAGTTTATGATCATTGATCAGGCCATAAAATTCTAAATATATTGAAAACATTTTACTTAAGAGCTGCATGATTTTTGTACTGAGCAGTGAGCAGGAAAATTCTAATCCTGACTCCTGAGCACAGAGCACTCTCAATAAATCTACAGAGAAGAAAGAGGATCACAAACAAAAATTTCTTTGCAATTCTTTGAGCAATCAAACTCTGCTAAAAGAAATCAAAATTAAATGTGTGTTGATTTTCAAACTCAATTATGAATTTTTATAAGTCTCTGCAGCATTATGAGTAACTTTACTGAGTAGTCTCAGCACATGAAATCCAACAAATGGATAAGCTAATCCCTTCACTGGAATACAATTGAAAGAAGAGCATTATCCAAGGGCGAACGGATGCACAATATGAAGGTAATGAGGAAAATCATACCTATACAAAATAAACATAATATTCATTAACATACTCCGAATCCACATATTGAATTAAAAATAAAATAATTTCTTGAATAAATACAATAAAAACAAGGCTCAAAGGTCATCAAATGGTCTATTGGAGCAAAATGTGCACAACCATTTCATTAAGCATTATGCAATCTATTTTCTTTGCCTACCCACCACCATTTGCCAAGAAGGCCTGGCATTATCCATGGTGTCCTTGAGGCACTGCAACACCTCTTCATGGCGACTATCTTGCACCAAATTACCAACAGTTTCTGTAAGCCTAATGAAGTCTTTATGAAGATTATTAATTTCCTGAACCACTTTGTTGCGGTCAACTTGAGGTTTTGAGTTTAAAAGCTTTTTTTCCTTCATGGTCAGAATGTCCACCAGGCGCACACATGGTATTCCTGGCATAGAGAAAAAATTTAATAATATTGTTAACTTGGAAATCAATATTTAATAAATAAAGCAATAAACTTTATTTAAATAGAAACAAATAGAATAGGAGAATAAATGAGCCAATAATCTAGTAATGAAAGTTACTGTTGCACAAAAAAAAAAACTTGGCATGCTTAGTGCTTACCAAAAGGATAGTGATCAGCAGCATGGCCGGTGAGCAGAGATTTCTTCAGGATGGCAATATAGTCCAGAGGCTCCTGAGGAACCTCAACTGGATCTTCATCAGCCATGGTAGCTCTGAGAAAATCAAATAATTTGTATAATAAATCCCAAGTTCAAATACAAATAATTGGTCACCTTAGTATACAGAAATAGAGCGTCAATCATTGGAAAAAAATCAATAAATACTATTATTACTATAATAATATTAAGCTCCACAGATTCAACCACAATAAGCATAAGTTCCACCAACAACAATTTGAAGACTTTTTCAGACTAGAAGTTTTTTGAAGACTTGAAAGTTTTAGAAAAAATAACTAGGTAAGTTACTTGGAAAGATTTTATTTGCAGGATAGTTTTGATTTGTAGAATGACCCACAAAACCATTTTACTTAAAGGCAAGAAATATAAAGAATCCAGCTCATATTCACTATCAGTGAAACAAATTTATTATGAAATAGTTTCCTAAGGGCTCAAGGCTATAGCCTATAAAGTACCTATAAGTTTTTAATTATAGTTTTTACAATTTTGGTATATATTCATTTAAATTATGAGTAGGTATGATTCCAGTAGTTTTATTTATTAATTTAATCTGGAATTGCTTATAATTTTACTGTTATTTTTTTACAATTTACAATACTTAAATCAAGTTAAATGATTTTACATAACTGTCTAATATAGTAATATTCTATATTATAATATTGGCCTTTAACCTAAATGTTGATGCAACTTGCAAGTTTATGATCATTGATCAGGCCATAAAATTCCAAATATATTGAAAACATTTTACTTAAGAGCTGCATGATTTTTGTACTGAGCAGTGAGCAGGAAAATTCTAATCCTGACTCCTGAGCACAGAGCACTCGCCACTCAAGTCAGTCACTTGCAATTTGCAAATGCAATGAACAACAAAGGCTGTGGCTGACACTGAAAAACTTGCTGAATAAGTTTCCTCAAATCCTAATAATATAGCTACCTGTAAATTACTGTCAGTACAGTGGCAATGGTTTGCTTATAAAAATTCTTTGTCAAAGGTCAAAGCGATATTGGTAATTCCTTTGGACTTTGGAGTATGGAAAAATGGGAGTAACTTAGAAGTTACTCACTCAAGTTAGTAAGGGTCTGCTATTTTCAGGGTAAATGATAAATGTGGCTGTGGCCTGTGGGTGTATAGTGTAAACCATTTAGTACTTTGTTTTGTACTAATAGGCATTAATAGTTAGGTATATTATTCTGTGAAATAGGGATAGGCGTTAATAGTTAGGTATATTATTCTGTGAAATAGGGATCAAGTCATTTTGTCTGTTCCTCAAAAAATACAAAAAGTAATCCTATTCAGTGAAAGAATTTATTACGAAATACACAATGATTATGTAGACGTAGTCAGGAAAGCTGGATTGCTAATCGAACCTTTACTTGTCGCAAGTTGTCGGCAACTCACAGGCACAGCGTCTCAACTCAGCAGGATCCTCACCCACAGTGCAGTGACCCAGACAGTCCCACTAATGACTAATGGCTGGAATATGGATGACAAAGAAGTGCAGTCACAAATACTTCTTCCGCGACAAATATTCAAAGATTACTGCAGGTTTATTTTCGAAAAAGTTGCAATCTGTATAAAAAAGTTAAAATTGTGTCCATCATATTGTGTCTGGAATTCGGCTCAAGTACTAGCGCAGGATGCAGTTTTATTTACCTCTAGACAACTATTTAACTATGTCATTGTTAACAGATATTCAGTACATCTCTGATTGCTTCATTCAATAGGTAATCACTAATCAGACTTGGTAAATAAAAGAATTTCCAAAATCGGTTGTTAAACATTCAACTCCGGAAGTGAACTGCCCAGTAAAAAAAAAAACAAAAAAGGTAAGAAACGTTTCGTTCCTTGAACTTCAAGCACTTGTAATGCCTGGCGAATCAATAAAAAACACAATGAACACTTGAACAGAGATATATTGAATAAATATTCTTATCTTCCTTCAAAAACTATTTTTAAGTCGGTAATGAACAAAATGTCGAACTCATCCACAGTTTTCCGAACTTACCCGAGAATTCGCCATCTCGTCGCTCTTTTTCGAGCTCACTTTGGCAATCTTCACAGCAGATACAGAACGAAATGATAATAAAGTCAATGAAAGTCAATGAAGAGTTTTTCAATGTGAGTGCTAACTCAACATGGGCAATTGGTCATTGAGGTTTTGACAAGCTCTGATACATGTTAATGGTGGTTAGCGACCAAAATATTTGAGCCACAGAGCTTCAAAGATGTTTTGTACGTTACTTTTCCTAACACCGACGCCTTTTTATATATATTATATACATGGAGCTCGTATTGGATCCCAAAATTTTTTTTCGATCACTTTGACCTCTCTAATCTTGATATAGAAAATTTCAATCAGAAATTAACTTTTGCAAGTTTAGATACGAATGTGATCTAGTGGGAAACTTAAAAAATAGCTTTAAATGTAACTATTGTGAAAACATTGCTTACAAAAATTTCTATTCAAATTCATAAGCTCGTAACAAAAAGCTTTAACAGATATCAAAACATGTCATGTTCTACAATAACAAATTATCCTGGCATTGCCCGGGTCCGATAAACATAACAATTTAGAATCCCGTTATCCCGAAACCGTCATTCGCTTTTCTCTCTAATCCCGTTAATACTAATAAAGCTTCTGTACGTTACTTTAAGAAGGCACAGCAAACCAACTTCTTGCATGGAATATAGCACTATCACTTGATTATCGTTTTACAATAAAATATATACCAATTTAGGAATCAATTTACAATCTTTCATCCGATCCTCTTTCCTTCCAGTTTTGCAGTGCTTGCCTTTGCTCCCACTAAGAATAAATTAACGGGTCAAATAATGTCCCGACGCGATTAATATCCTAAACACGCGCACGAGCGGCTCCTGTGCGTTACTGGCACCATAGTTCAAACATACAGAATCACACAAACAAACTTGATAAATATTTGTATGGTAAGTTACTTGAAAAAATATGAATCCTAAAACCTGATCACGCTCACTAGGATGACATTTTTTGTGAATAAAACTCAAACGCACATCACTCTTTAATATTCATTGTAAATTAACGACCCAAGTCCAATATATGCATTAACTATAAGTCACAATTCCAGTCCATTGAAAGTCATATTTTAATGAAGGAGCGTCAATAATGAAGTGAAGTCGAAGAAGCTACGACAATCATTAATTACTGTTCACATACAAGACAGCTACGTTGTTTAGACTTTTAGAGCAAGTAACGGTGCTTCTGAATCAGGTCAAATGAAGGACTTGGACATACCAACCAGGGGCATCACCGTTGCCAGTACCGTCAGTGACGTGGTGTAGGTGGTGGTGTCATCAGCCCCGGGGCAGTGCTCGCTCCTGAGTGGAAAGAAATAAATAGTATTAATAAAAATATAATGTTATTAAATATGAGGGGAGATAAATAAATGATAATAAATATGCCAGTACCGTCAGTGACGTGGTGTAGGTGGTGGTGTCATCAGCCCCGCGGCAGTGCTCGCTCCTGAGTGGAAAGAAATAAATAGTATTAATAAAAATATAATGTTATTAAATATGAGGGGAGATAAATAAATGATAATAAATACATAAATTCTAAATATTATTAAATTATCGGGGAACTAAATAAATATTACTTACTCCTAATTGTCTGTGTGAATAATTACTTTGTGAGTATTTATGTAGTGTTCACTGTTACGTTTTAGAGACATGCACTCAACTCGAAAATGCTTTGGCAACATTCGAGTTGATATACAAGATGTACATCCTGCGCGTTATCATATTGATGAAAAGCATGGAATCAATCGCATTAAATATTTTTATAAATAAATTTCTCATTATTATTGATGATTTGAAAAGTCAGAACAGCAGATTACTATCTGAATAATAACTTATTCGTGTCGTTCACCCGAACATCGGCCACACATCAGACAAAGCTCGTGTATCTCTCGCTCTCCCCCGGTACCGTTAGAGGTCGCGGACGCGAGATCATATGCACTAGCGACAGGCCAAGCAAAAATTCTGCATCGGCGGCGGGGAAATAGTGATTTCTGTGATTGGTTTTAATTTAATCTAATCAAAGTAATACTATTGCAATAAGTATTAAGTTATGTTTTGTGTTCTTTTTAATTAATATGATGGAAGTTGACCGCAATGGACAAGTAAAAAACTGAGTGCAAATAAAGAATAGATCGCCGTTTAATTATAATTGGGCGACGGTGAAGTAAAAAACATTACGCAGTAATGTCAATCTCGTTCAAATTATAGTATAATGTCTAGTCGAATCATTATGAATTAGTTCAAAACAAACTTTGCATGTATAACTGCTAAACAAACTTTGCATGTAAACGGTACAGCGTGTGTTAACGAAGTAAGTTAGTACTTCTGTGCGATGTTCTATTAAAATCGTTGTTCTTTTCAGACAAGCAGTTTAGATTTATGAAAGTATTTTCTCGAAAATAATCAACACTCTCTTGGTCCGTGCGTATTATAAGTAACTAAATAAAGCAAGTGGCAATGGCAGGAATAACAGGAAAAATAGTCGTGATTGCTCTGCTTGGGACGACGGCGCTAGTAATCTTAACTTCGAGTCCGATGAGCCATCCGGCCAATGAGTTCCAGCTTAACGTCGGCAATATAGAGGAGCTTATTAAAGTCTTGGAGGTAGCAGGAGCTGAGTCTGTGCAAACCTCGACCAACCCTGCAATTATCAATGAAAATCAGAAAGAATATACAAGGAGTAAAAATAAGAAAAATAAGGTGGCGAAAAGGGGTAAGAAACCGAAAGATAATCACGTCATCGGCTCTGATGATGACATAAGTTTAATAAAGAAACTACAGAGAGATTCTAACAGAGCTAAACGAAAAAAAGGAAGAAAGGGTAAAAAAATTGTCGACAAAAGATATAAAACCAATGCCGGATCTGACATAGATTTTGACAATCTTATGGATGCAAAAAGCATTCTGGATTTAAATGACCCGGAACGACTGCGACGTCATAAAGTGACGCCGCTGAAAGATCTTCCGAGAGACCAGTGGTGGCCGGTGATACTGAAGCCTTCTTATGGCAAGGTCTTCGCAACTCTCAATCTGAGCAACTACAGCGAAACGGTAAAAAAACTGCATGAAAACTTATTAGAATAGAATAGAAGTGTCGGCACTGAAGAGATAGGCCCATGGCCTGTTGCCGATTCTTGAACTTTTCGTGACTTGATTCACAAGGGATCCGGCCTTTGGAACCCGATCTTTCTATAGCTGACGATTGATTGAGATAGCTGCTGGACTTATTGCCTGATCCTTACGGTGCAAGGCATTTTAAGACTGTACATATGCATCTGCATAGCTTCGTCTAGTCTTTTCTTGATTGAAGTAGTTGAGTGATTTGAAATCCGTTTTAAAGGAAAAGGTAATTGAACTCTTGGTTATTTCGATGCTTATGCACTACTATCATATCAAAAATCAGTCGGAAAAACCGTTCAACATGAATTGATTTTATGATCTTATTTAGACTTTAGATGCAAAAGTTTTCTAACTAAACAAAACAGGCATCTAGCGTAAAATTTAAAACTTTTAGATGAACTGACATTTATACTTCTAATTCCCGTAGAGAAATGCTTATATTTGTTTAAAAATGCAGAGCTTCATCTAATTTTTTTCTAGGAGATACATAACAAAATAACACATATACACATATTACAGGACTCAACCTACCTGAAACGTCGGCTACCAGAATATGCAGCCCGAGCGTGGCGGGTGAGTGAAGTCTGCTCGCGACATCCTGAGCTCATGGAGAAAAAAGTCAATATTAAAACGATGGTGTGGGACGTTCACCACACACCCAACCTCGTCTGGTGCCAGATACCGAAGGTGTGTTTATGTGTGCCCAAGCAATCTAAAGGCATATTAAACCGTAAATGTAGTTTACGGTTTAATAAGTAATTAAGTTTAATAAGTGTTAATTTAATAAGTTTAAAGTGTAGTCAATGTATTCATTCTAGTTGCTCATTTCTGTTTTTGTCATCCAATGACGCATGGATAATTTGTTCTAATTATCGGTGGTCACGTTCGAACATTATTTTAACTTAATACTTTGTATTAATATCTTAGAAAAATCGCAAATTGTTGATACCAAGATGAATTTTGAAACAAATGTGGAATAAATAATAACAAATGTTCATTTTTAGAGCGGAAATATGTTATCAGCATTAAATATAGATACCCACTCTAGGTAATTACTTCTTTTTAGCGCATTTTCTCATTTATGGAAAAAATACACTATTGTGCTCGCCATGTCCGTCTGTCTGTCTGTCTGTCTGTCCGTCTGTCCATGACCTCACGTTTTCGTCGACGAGAAAATGCGCTCTCTGTCACTCACTGCAGTGAGTACTGAGTTATATTTTTTAAAAGATCGCTTCGTCGAGTTGGAACGCAGATTTTTTTAAACTTGGACATCCAGACGAGAAAGACGCGCTTCTGCCTTCAGAAGAACATCAGGACGAGGTGAGAATACAAATGATATGGCGTATCGTGCAAAAAAAAACTATTTTCAATTACACTTACTTCGCCACAGCACTTGAGTCGCTGGCATTCAATGGAAAAGATGTACTTATAAATATATTTTTTAGCGCGATCAAAACAGCTTAGTAGCCTTTATCGCGCTAGAAAAATGTGAACATGTGGTTAGCGAACCTTAATTACAAATCTTGATTCTGACCCAGTATGAAATCGAATATTAATTACTTTAATTAGAGGTGAACTATGTATCATTGACGGTAATCGATTGAACACTGCATGGGATTAGACCAAAGAATGTAAGTTTGTCATAATAATAGAGTTTGTATGAACAGCTTCCAGAATTTAATCTACACCATGAAGTCTTCCGCCTTTTTCCCGCACCCAACACAACGAAAGAACGCAACGAAGTTTTCAAGAACGCCATCAGATTCATGATTGTTCGTCACCCGTTCGTAAGGTCAGTGATCTATTCTATTTACCTGTTTAAGTTTCAATAATTTATTTTTCCTTTGAAAGAGAAACCGTGAGTATTGTGATAACAATTTCAATCAAGGAAAGAATCAAATTAATCCAAATTTTTAGGTTTTAGCATTTTTTCAAGCCATATATCGTAATTGCATGCCTTTATCACTCATGTTTTTGTTCCTCATCCATAGTGAAACGTGAAGTGTTTTATTCAAAATAAAATACAGTTGGGTTGTTGGGCAGGCTGGTGTCCGCCTTTCGCGACAAGATGGAGCAGCCAAAACCGAAGCCCGTGTGGTTCCATTACGAAAAAATGCAGAAACTAATCATTAAACGGTGAGCATTCTGCGTGCAAATAACCGTATAGTCTCAGCCTAAAACACTAAATTAATTTTAAATTAGACACATAAATGTACCTACGAGAGTTTTGAGAGATAAAATATACTCCTATTAGATATACAATGCATTTCTTTAACAAATTCAATGAATTAATTTAAACTCAAAACTTATGGATTTTTACTAGGTACTTCAAATAATATTATTGTGGAAGGAAAATAAATTTCTCTTTGCTAAAGATTCTATCGTGGTATCAGGTTTTAGCGATGACGATCGATGAACATGGTCGCTTGATTTGTTCCAAGCAGTCACAATAGTGAATTAGGGCCTGCCTGCGGAATTCATCCTGCCTCCTATCAATGATACGGATGGCTCGAGGTTTAGCCTATATGCTTCAGGGCCGTACTATCAAAATTCGCTCAAGTTCACGCAGGGTCCGATTTCTCGTTTGTGGTTGGTGGGTTTAGCTTAAAACTCCGTCAGTGATTGGCTGATGGAGTTACGAACTCGTAACTATTTTTGTTAGTATCGTCCCATGTTTTATACCGAATACCTCCAAACAGTTACCGGCCCGTTGACAGTCCTGAAAATTCGGAATACCCAACGTTTCGAGAATTCGTCCAGTTTGTGTTGGACCAAACTGCGGAGTTCAAAACGCCTGAGGACTGGACACGGAAGGTTGTTGGCGTATGCCTAAAAGTCCCGAAAAACCCTTATTCTATGGTTTTCAAACCATGGGTTTGGCTTTTAAGCCCACCATGATTAAGCCTTGTGCCACAATGATGACATTCCTACATTAATTGCAAATTTAATGTTTAGTGGCAGTCATGAAACGTAACAACCATGATTTTATTGGGATAACGAAGCCCAAAAAATACCTTAGTGCATTTGCCACGAGATTTCCATCCGATAATAATGCGACTTTCGAACCATGCTTGATGCGAAGCACCGTAAGTGTTTTATTAACTTCACCGTAGCGCTCTTGTCACCGGCCTTCAAAAGGAACGATCTATTTTGTTAACCAAAACAGAGCCACAAATTTCTAGCGCGATCGAAAAAGCTTCTTGTATAGTTACTATGTGGTAACTGAACCCTACAAATCATAAGTGTGACCATTAATGTACGGCATTCAGTGACGAGCGGCATGGTAAGAGCATTATCTGCTGAGTGGCATACTCTGTGTCATTGACGGTAGTTCACCAGGGCGTCGCAAATTGCTCTAAAAACAACATCGCATTTCAGATCCTAGATGTAGTCGAGCTTGATTGTGTCTACAAACGCACACTACGAACAGATTGATGTGATGATGGATATAACGTTCACTTAATTGCTTTTTTAAATATTCCCAAGAAGCACATGTACCAAATAAAAGGTAAATAACAATTAAAAACAGATGTCTATCTACGCAGGGCAAAGAATGGCGTCACCACATCAACGGAACCTCATCCAACGAAGTGGCAGACGACTTCTTCAGGCAGCTCACCAAGAAGCTCGTGGAGGAACTCTACCAGCGCTACAGGATTGACTTTGATCTCTTCGGATACTCTCCGGAGCATTACATCAACTTGGTCAGCGATGAATGAGTGATGAATGAGAATGATGAATGGGAATGTTGATTGAGAATGATGAATGAGAATCATCAACCCTACCAACGGTACCGAATTGACTTCGATCTCTCCCGAGCATTAGCTACATCAACTTGGTCAGTGTTGAATGAGTGAAAAAATGAGGATACTGAATGAAAATGAATAAAATATCCATGTCATCAAAAAAATTGTTTACGAGATTACGACTTAAGATTTAAGAAACTACTTAAACACTAAGGTTTCTTCGGTAATCCATGAACAAATTATTTTGTTATAAACATTTAGCATTACGTGAAAAAATAAGTTACTGTGCTAAGAATTGTTTTTACTGTTCGTGTTTGTTATTTTATCGTTAAAAAATTATCGAAAAAATATCGGCGTCATCCACTTTTACAATGGTTTCTACTTTTATGCTTGAAACCTTGAATCTTCAAAGCAGCTACTCATCTCACAAAATTTGTTTTTCAACTTGTTAGAAGTACAACAGATCGAATACGCAACGGAAACGATCGAATCTAGGATACTGATGAGCCAAAACAATTCTTGTTATGTTATATGAATTACAGTCAATTACTGCCATACTTTATACTAGGCACAAATTCATTCAAAATATCAATATTGCTAGGTTCAATCGCATTAAACTACTCACAGGAACAGTAAACGAGTGAAAATCTAACTCGCGTTCCTTTGAAGAAAACTGCAATCACGAAATATAAGCCACGCACTATTTGAAAAAAAATAATTGCCCGAGTTAGTATCGGTGATACCGTTCACCCAGTGATCAAGAGGGCAAAACGAAACCCGAATTTCAAAAGATCCAGCTACTCGAATCTTCAAAATCTTCTTGTGCTGTTGAATGAGGAAAACGAAAATGACGGAAGGCGCCGAAAGCAAAAGGCAATACGCCGACTGCGTAAAGGAGGCTTTCGCAATGGGTTACAACGAAAAATTATATTTGGCGGAGCAGTTCGAGGCAAATGAAGCTTTGATGAGAGATTAGAAGTTCAAAGGTATCGAAGAAATGGAACGCGTGCTGAAGGCGAAACTAAAAGACGTGTTGAAGCTGCAGATCGAAAAGCAGAAACTCAAGTAACTTCTTTCTGATTCGAAAGTGAAAATCATCGCTACACGGAACTCCACGTGTGCTCTCATTGAAGAAATAACAGCGACGGAGAATATGATTACCGAAGAATATTAACAAGAGAAGTGCCTGTAGAACTAAGTAAAGTCGCTGGTAGAAAGCAACGAGAAATCCCTCATGGGTTTAGAATGTAAAACTGAATCAGCACTGAACCAGAAGGAGATCTTAGAAACAGACTGTATCGCTCTGAGAGGTCAAATCACTGACACGGAGGAAAAAACATCCGAAGATACATCCTAACTGAAAGCTTTGAAGCTCGAGCACGCCAACGAGATGATTCGTCTAGAAAGCATTGAGAGAGAAGTGGCTACGGTAAAAAAGGAGCTCAAAGCAGCTATGAAGAAATGCGACGACTTACGTGAACAAAATTAATGCCTCAGCAGTCACAAGGAAGAAGTCGAAAAAGCGGTGACCGAAGCTTAAAATGATATTGAAGAAAGGAAAAAGACAATACAGGCCACCAATGACAAATTAGAACAACAAAGGAAGACTCTTCTTGAATAAGAGAGCTAACTCCAAGAAGCCTGTGCCAAATTAGAAACTGAAGTTTCAGAATCTTGCAGCCAAAAAGGAAAATTGAACGTCGCCAAAGATGAATATGACAAGCTCTATGAATAATACTGCAAGCTTGAATAGGAATGTGAACGCACTGTTTGCAAGATCAAGAAGGTGAAATCCATGGCAAAGTAAACTGGAAAGAAGCTGTTGACTGCCCAGGAGCAGACAGTGCGTTGTACGACGTGTGCGCGGTTCCTGGCAGATGATGGATGTGGTCGCACCGCATGATCGCTTGCTAGTGTTTCCCGCTACTGCTCGGAGGGGCGAGACACAAAATATCGGATTGTGAAGAAATAACTTTGATGCGGGGAATTATTATGTGATGGATTATTTTAATGTATTTACCAAAGACCTGTCGAGTTGCCCATAAATGTAATAAAAAATCACCGTTCAATCAAACTAACGTAGTGATCGTTTTGATGGGGTTTTGAAAATTGTCATAAGTTCTGAAATTTTGATTTAGCTTCAAGAAGGTGGTGTGTGAGTGATATTTTTAGTGCATAGAACAGGATTAAAAAGTTTTTTCTAATAATGTGTAAATTAAGCCGTTTCTTTTATTTATGTCCCTTTAAAGAATTCCGTCAGCCTAAAACTCTGCTCAATGAAAGACGACCTTGAACTAAAGTCTAATATTCGATTTCTTATAAATTAGTTTACCGATCTATTTTATATTACAATTAAGTTTCGATAACTTTATTATATTTCGCAACTGCAACGTTGTTTTCAGGATGATATTGAGAGTATTGCAGTGACAATAAATTGACATAAATAAATATATTCGATAATGTAGACTAGAGGAAGGAATGTATACTTAACCTAAAGTCTGTAGCGTCGTAGTGCCCCACTGAAGGTTGACAGAGTGATCGTTTGATCCTTCGCGGCTCAGATGCTTCTTCATAAAACAACTCTACAATGACATTAATATTTAATATGAATTTAGGGGAAGTTTCCTCACTTGGAACGCATCGAAAAAAGTTAAGACGGACGGATAATGCGGATAATGAAAATATATTTGATCAGATGTGTATTGTTACAAAGGAAATAAATTACCAAGCCACACATTTGCAAATTTCAAGGATACATTCAATTTGCTTTTGATATTATGTAATAAAAACGAAATGGCGAACCTGTAAAGATGTTAAAGTTTAGCTGTAGTGCGAGATAATCATATGAAGTACTGCAAACAAATATTATCAAAATCATTTCCATCTCATTGTGATGTACAATAAATCAATCGTATATTTAACACGAAAAAGCAAACGTAGATTTCCGACGACGAACCAATTGTAATTGTAAATTTTAACACAACGAAGCAATCTTGATGGCAACACGACGAAGTAATTAGTGGTGGGTAGATGACAAATTTTCCTGATCGTAAGTCGGTGCAGTAATCGTGATCAAGAGATGACGAATAAATCGTGATCGCAGGAAGACGAAGCATCGCTGGTCACTGGGCAATATGTCGAGGGTGGACCTGCACTTTAATGATCATTTGTACAAGACAATTTGTACTGATGAGGGTAGTAGAGGTAGTGCTCAAGAGTCCCGCTGCGATACCATACATTAATATAATTAGAAAATTGCATTAGCCAATTTTCTATGGAATGTATTGAAGACAATTATACACGATCCAAGCTGCAAGCCACCAAAGAAATATTATTGTGTCCAGGCAACGAAAGAAAAAGCGCACCTTGTGTCAGTGTCAAAGACCTTCGTGTAATTTAAGGATGGATTTGTCAGTCCTTAGGTATAATACACAACATATGTAAAATTTAATTTTCGCGTACAAAAGTAAAGCCGATATTAGAAACTCGATGTACGTGAATAAAAAATAATGCTTCAACGTCAGCAAGTTGCAGTGCAAATCCTCATAGCACCGTAAAAGCGAAGCATACAAAAGAATTGACCACTGAAAATTTATGCGTAAAATCGTGCAACAAAAATTATTTCATCTATACTCTACTTAACAGGCACTCTTGTTGCAGCTCGATAACCTAAGTCAGCAGGACTTTTTGGAAAACGTTATTGTATTATATTTTTTATTTTTTTTCATCATATCAATTATTTTTCTATAATTTTAATGATCGTAATTTTCGTGGGCTTCTCGTATTGCAATAAAAAATCTCTATGGAACCAACATGTTATTGGCTCAGATTTGGATGACAAGAATACTGTGGCGTGAAGTTGTATTTGTACTGGAGTATGAAGGAAGCAAATGCTTCAGCATTGAGTCTAATTGATGAATGGCGTACATTGTAGCTTCACTCTGAGCTCTGTCCCTTTTTAGCGCATTTTCTCATTTATGGAAAAAATGCACTACATATTGTGCTCGCCATGTCCGTCTGTCTGTCTGTCCGTCCGTCTGTGACCTCAAGTTTTCGTCGACGAGAAAATGCGCTCTCTGTCACTCACTGCAGTGAGTACTGAGTTATATTTTTTTAAAAAATGTCTGCGCTCAATAATTGCACTTGTTTACCTTATCTAGTTCACAACCCAATCTCATCGACATATGATCCGCTAAATTAAAAACAGTACAAATGAATTGAAGCATACAAAAGAATTGACCACTGAAAATTTATGCGTAAAATCGTGCAACAAAAATTATTTCATCTATACTCTACTTAACAGGCACTCTTGTTTTGCAGCTCGATAAAATAAGTCAATAAGACTTTTTTGGATAACGTTATTGTATTATCGTTTTTATTTTTCATCATTTTAATTATTTTCCCATCCTTTTAATGATCGTAATCTTCGTGGGCTTCGTATACTGCAATAAAAAGTCTTTATGGAACCAACATGTTATTGGCGCAGATTTGGATGGCAAGAATTACTATGGCGCAAAGTTGTGTTTGTACTGGAGTATGAATGAAGCAAATGCTTCAGCAATAAGTCTTATTTATGAATGGCGTATATAGTATCTTTACACTGAGCTCTACCCTGTGAAAAAGAAATTCTCTGCGCTCAATAATTGCACTTGTTTACCTTATCTAGTTCACAACCCAATCTCATCGACATATGATCCGCTAAATTAAAAACAGTACAAATGAATCAATAAGAAGAGAAGATTTCTAGAAGAACCTCGGTCATCTTTACGCGAATTGTGATCCCATCTCAAAGAATGATTGAGCACCGGAGACCCAAGTCCTTATAACATTTTTCCACGCTGAACGAAGGATTTGACCTTTAGTCATTATTACAAACATATGCGAGCTAAAGTATACATAAAGCGAAAAGTTTTGTCAAACAAATGCTCGACACACGTGCATTATTTGAAGACACACGGCGGTGATGCAAGCAAAGTTCATGCAAACAATAGCTGCTTAAAAACATACACGTGTAGATGTATAAGGTGGTAAGAACACTCACATAAAAATCTTAATCTACAGCTATGTTATAAGTTGAATGACCCTTGACCGGCAATTTACATGTAATTATGTAGACAATCATGCATCAAAATGGAACGTTGAACGTAACAAGAGGAGACACCAACAACTGTACAGTGAGATTAATATATCCAAATTAATTACGTTTCACAAGCACCCGTGAAATTTGTCTTTTAACTTTGAACATCGAGATGATCAGAACTGATCTCCTAGTTTCTGCTCACACAAGGACAAGCTAAGCCGAGAAGTGAACCATTCTCAACCAGTCAAAAAAATAATAGTGTAGACAATAGATAGATAATAGTGTAGACAATAGATTTACAACGTTTTTATATATGTGAATGTAAACAGTTACATGTGGATACATCAACATTGAGGTAAGAATGTTTGAAGAAGAAGGGCAAAACTTGGTCCCACAACCCAGCCACCACAACACGCGTCAATACAATGGCTTGATGAATTAAATTTAGATAAATTTTGGTTATCTGCATTCAGAAGATAAATATGTGAAACCATTACCACTTTGAAGCAAGAGTATAGTAGAATAAAATGCTTCATAATTGGGAGTTTTTACTTCTAATACAACCTCGGTATGGAATATATGGTATGAGAATTAATAAATCTGCGGCCATTGGTCGACTTTTATCAAGGCATAAAACTATTCATATTCCTTATACATGCAATAAGCTCAACTTATTACGGTCACGCGACTTTAGCAGATTAAGGTGGAAACGGCTTTTGATGCTTGACAATATTCCGATAATCTTGTGCCGAAATTCAAGACATGTGATGACCAAGAGCATAGCAATATGATTGCTATGCTTTGCAATGCTTGACCGCTTAGCAATGACCAAAAGCATAGCAATATGATCATAAAGCAATAAGAAGGCTTGCTTGCAGAGGTCACTGATACTGCAGCTATGGAGTGCAGCATAATATTTAAAAATAATTTCTTGTCTGATGATGGCGCCTATTGTTGACGTATCCTTAACCGAGACGTGTGAGGAACTCACATCGAACACATAGCCAGAATTACGTATATTTTACGTTTGAAATCGAGCAAACTTTGCGCGACAGAAGCTAGACTCCAATTAAAAGAGGGAGAGACCGATACGTCTCGATGTGAAATTCATGAGAAAGGCAAATCTGATTACAAACGAAGACAGCGAGCTGGGTGATCCATTATTAAATCTAGTTATGAAATACGACGCATGTTGATCAGAAACATCGCTCCTCATATCATGAAGTGTTCTCGAGGTTAAATTATTAATATAATAATCACTGGAATAATAAAGAATATAGAAGTCGAGTTACGGCACTAAGAAATAAAAAACACTAATCGGAATTAGCAGCAAAGAAAATTGCGATATCAGCATTGTTGTAAGAACTCCAAAACGATGTCTTCAATAGATTTTCCTTTCCAGCCGAACTGCACCCACATTTCTTGATCAGGAACACAACACTCAAGTAAAAGCCTGAGATTGACCTTAATTCTGTCCATGGGTGCCAGTGAGGGCTCAGAACATGGCTGTGTGCGCATAAGTTCCAAAGTATTCATGATCATCTGGTCGATGTTGACAGCGGGATAACCAAGCTCCTGCATTTTGGTCTCCCCAACTAGCGACTTGAGAACTTTAACGACGTGTTGGCAAAATTTCTCTTCTTTTTGTCTTCTCGCTTCCTCCAAAGCTATGCGAACTTCTAGTTCTTTCTGCAGCCTGGCCTGCAGTGCGCTGCCGCTGTCCTTAATGTCGCCGAGACGCAAGAGGAGGTTCACAGGACAGGCCACACGTTCCCCGCTTTGGGTCGTAAATATTGCAATTTGTGGTGGGTCAAAAGGAAAATTGTTCCTCGCATCACTTCCCTCCAGCTCGCTGCCCTCAGATCTCTTGGCATTGCTTTGCAATTTTTGTACGAGATCCAAATAAGGCTTAGTAAACTTTTCGGAGTCCAAACCACATACTTCATTAAAATTATCGCAGTTTTGGATACGTTTGCAAGGTTTCGGGTTCAAGGACTCGAATTCTCGTCGATCAGTTGGCGAGGCCTGGTCATAATTATTGCGTAGACCACCGACTGCGCTGTCACTTGCATACGAGGATATGTTCGAAGGAGACACAGGCGGTGTCCTGGGCAGAGGACTTATTCCTCGGCCGCTGTCATCACTGACGTAGTCTGAACCTGGCGAGGTGCGGCCTTGTGGTTGTTGACTAGCAGCATCCCACGTGCCCTGATTTGTCGTCGGCCTCAACTGATCCTCGACCAACTTTTTCTTTTTTGGCTTGCTTGAAATTTTATGAGATTTATTTTCGCTAGGAAAGCAAGATGAATCCTCTGTAGAAAGAGAAGTTGGCGATCCACTTTTGCTATTTTCACTGTCGTGCATTTGTGAATCAATATGAGACGGAGGAGATGAATCGGGGTCAGCACCTGCATGGTCCTTAATATGCGTATCAAGAGTCTTCCTAGAAGAAAATATCTGATCACACAGCGTGCATTTGTAAAGTTTCTCCCCAAGATGAGACATTTTATGCATTTTTAGCACGTGGTTATAACCAAATGTTTTACCGCAGATGTCGCATCCGTATGGCTTTTCGCCCGTATGGGTCCTGAGATGCACTTTGAGTTGCTTGCTGCAAGTGAAAGCTTTACTGCAGTAGTCGCAAGAATAAGGCTTCTCGCCGGTGTGCGCCCGGAGGTGGATCACAAGCTGGCCTGACTGTACGAACGTCTTTCCACAAACCTGCAAAACAAAACCGATCACAATATTTTGAAACAATCGAAAAAAACAACTACGAAGACACAGTCACTAAATTTTTGCTGAAAAAGAAACAGCGATCACAACAGCGCTGAAAGAAGAACAGCTGTAGAGGGTAAAGACAACGAAGGAATAATGATTAATAAAGTGATGTTGAGAAAGAAAATGTTTCAAGAAATGCAGGAGGAAAATTTGATGGAAAAACTCACCTCACACTTGTGAGGTCGCTCCCCGGTGTGCGTTCGCATGTGACGATGCAACTTGCCGGAATGTTCGAACGCACTGCCGCACACAGTACAGGAATACGGCCGCTCTTTCGTGTGAATACGGCGGTGGACGTTCAAATTCTCCTTCACACTGAACGTTTTGTGGCAATACTCACATCTATAGAGAGAAACAATGAAGCAGGATTGATATTATTTGAGAGTGAGTTGTAATGGTGAAAGGTATCTAGCATGAATACCTAACGAGAACGCCCAGTGCTGAAACTGTAAATGAAAAACACCAAATAAAAATAAAATAATACATTATTGCAAAGGTTGACTTAATGCTTAACAACCACACATTTAATAATAGCACAAGAGACCAGTTCAATTTGAATCCAATTTAGTCAAATGACGCAGAGTACAGAAATGAAACACATCACTTGAACATACTTGAAAGGTTTCTCCCCAGTGTGAATTCTTTGATGACGCATCAGTCGAGCGGGAATGGCAAAGACTTTATTGCAGACGTCGCATCGATACTGAGTAGGAGGAGACCCTGAGGACGGGCTCCGATCTCCGATGTCATCAGAAAGGCTTTCTTCGGGACCACTGGATCTCGCTTCCAAGCAGTCATCTACGTCTTCATTTACGCTGTCATTGCTTTCTTCGTTGCAATAGTTGTCGACGTTCTTCGGTGTCATGGCAAAGCTTGATTTAGAGTGACGCTTAGCAAAACTACTAAGTTCGTCCTCTAAGCAACGCTCCGCTGGCTTATGAGAAACCGGAGACAAACCGTACTGCGGAATAAACTCCCTAGGTCTGGATGAAGAATGTGTAATATGACTTGAATTATGAGGGTAGCCAGCGAGGTGGTGAGTCATGTAAGGAGCCCCGTGACTCAGTAATTCAGGGTTGAAATTTGAATAGGGAGACATGTTAGAGGAAGATATTCCAGCCATGGGGTTGGGTCGACTTGCCAATACAGAGTTCATTCCCATGAGACTACCGAGCTGATTTCCTTCCGCCCGAGCACGTAGCAAATCCATCTGGACAAACAAATAATCAAGAACGTTAACTTTCGGACAAATTTTATTTTACAAGAAATAAAATTTCGAAAGTATTTCTGTTTTTAAGCTCATATAAATTTTCATAAGTTATCAAAGTAATAATTAATTTGCAGCACATTTAACATCCAAAATACTTTTGATTTCACGTGTGATCAATTACATAATTGAAAGAAGATTATAAATAATTCCATATACGTCTGTTTGTCTTTCCTATTTCCCGCAAAAAATTAGTTTTTTAAAATTTGATGAGATTGTGCACACAGCTTCGTCATCCGCACAAATATCGTGACGGATTACGGACGCCGCGTCGTGTCATGGCGCCAGTTTTGATATTTTCAACTTTAGGCGCGGTGGCAGACGACACTCATCGTGTGCAGACATCCTTACAGATCTTCGATTAGTTCGATATAGTTACTAATTGAATTTCCTGAAAATACTTGAAAATTAAATATATACAAGATTGTCTTTGATCACTTTATATCTGCATAATTCATTCATTGTCTCATATGACTGAAGTAAACAGTCAATGTGTAGTCTTGTTCTTGTACATCAGTACTGATAGTGGGTATATGAATCGCTTACAGAGCACTAAGACAAAGCTAGGTAGGTATGATGTAATTCTTATTAATAAATTATAACTTCACGAGAAATCATAAATCTGCCAACATTTTTTGTAAAAACACTATCAGCTCAGAATTTTAATTGTTCAAGATCCTTGTATTAGTAGTTTGTGAACTAGTTAATTAGACATGCAGATATACCAATCAATTAATTAATTAGACATACTCTAATATACCAGTAAAATATCATTGCAAATGAAAATATTCACTGACTTTTTATCTCTTAAAAAGTATCGCCATGTTGTACTAATAAAATGTATACAATTATAACACAAACATATGATAAACAATTCAACAAAAGCATTAATTTATTATTAATGTTGGAAATTAGCTAATAACAAATAATATAATATATAAATATTTGATCAAAACAAATAAAACGTACGGTGGTATTCAAATCTTCATTATTGATTCACAATTTATTCCAGCAACATCTAATTCTAAACCTGAAAAGAATACATCTGATTGACTATTGACAAACCCAACCTTCTTGGTAATTTCCAAATTGCATGATTAGCAGAGTATTTCATTAAATAATCATAAAATACATATATTGGCTTAGTAATCGACTAATCATACAATCGTAATGATGACAGATACGGCATCGAAATGACATCAAACAATGTTCCGATAGAACATCAATGCTGCCAATAAATGATACAGGAGAGGATCAATGTTCTTAAATGCGTTGCGAACTAGAGCTCTACGCATCATCTCGTGATCGTCTATAGTTATTAGTGAATATAAACACTACAACGTTCGTTAGATCGAAACTTCGATTATCGGGTCATGGATGGGTGCCGTAACATTAATAGTGAGCATCTCTAGTAAAAACTTGGATAAGTTGGATTAAAAATGGACAATAACCTAGTATTTAATTCTCGGTACTAGATAAAAATCGCCTAGCTACGCTTCTGCCATCTACTATGATCTAGCAAGGTATAGCCTAATTACTATAGAAAATATGAAAATAGTATTAATTGTTTCTACAGTTAATACTGAAATAACAAATTTTAATTGAACAATTTCGACAGTTTTAACCCCAACAAATTACTATTAACCAAGAACGAACGTTTATCTTTTTACGTAGGCTAGTTGACCTTATAAAAATACTTGTACGAATGACGCCTCAACTTTCAAGACTGTTCCCCGACTTCTTAAGGAATATCTTACCATTTATTGGGAAGAAATTAATCCTATGTCGAATGAGAGTGTTAAGAAACTTATTTTTCTATTTTCCACACTAGACCGAGATCATTGAAAGGTCAATTCCTTTCTTTGAATATCTTGGTCTATACTGTCTATTTAATTTTTCTAGGCACAGTTTCCAACTAACCAAAGTTAAAGTCTTAAAGACGTTTAATGCGTACAACAAGTGTAGCAATTATTTCCGACACGACACACTTAGTTTAGTTACGAAACATTTAGGAGAACAGAAGATATAATATCACAAGAACCATGATGACTAAAGAAATGCTAGCTTCCGTGCTCGTCCTAACGATGTTGCAAACCTCAGTACCATTCACGCACTGTCTTGACTACAGGACCTGAGGTCTCTACTCCACGAACGGTACAATTTGCACGCGCCCGCACTAAAAAATTGTTTTACATCATTCTGGTGCTTCATTAACCAGTTTAATTGTTATAAAAATAATGTAAAAATAAATGAAATCATATGTAGTCAAACAGAAATGTATAATAAGCTTTAGATTAGTATTTTAATTCAATATGAAATGAAAATCTTGCGATATGCGCAAGTCTATCGTTCTACAGTCATGGGCGTTGTAACTCCGCCAGCTTACTGGAGGAACTCGTGGCTGTGATGGTGCGGGGCAAACGGATTCTTTCTTGGGATGTAGAATTAACACATGGTGGCAGAAATCAAAACGAAAAGTACTGCATTCTCACAAGGGGGTATCAAAACCTGAAAATAATTTTTATCCACGTTAAATAAATTTCGAAAATTAACATCAACTGTTATGAAAATTACACATTGGCAATTTTGTTTGAATGTACTAGGCATAGATAAAATTTTACCAATATTTAATAGGTGATTTAGCACGCAGTTTTTTCAAATGCAAATACGCACTTTTTTTAGCAAATATTATTATTACATCAAAATATTTTCAACGCTGAAGCACAGAGACATTCTTATGACGTATGTTGTGACCCAGCAGTCCAGCAGAAGAGTCGATGTTGCATACTGTATTTTTTATCCTTAGTAATTTTTCATCATGCTGCACTTATTCCGCTAGTCTGTTTATAAAAAATGATTTTAAAAATCTAGTTTGAATTTTTTATATTTTTACAAATAATTGCAAACGCAACTTAATTAACAATTGCAACTTATTAGTTATAATCAAATATAAACAATACAATAAGGTATGAAGATTGAGTGATTTTGAGTTAATTCATTTAAATTAACTAATTTCAGAAGATGTACACCTAGAAGTTTTGTGTTCTATTATTTGATTTTAAATTATGTTTTTTAAACGAATATAAGTTATGTTACTCACGTACTCTTTCATTTTCAGATTAAATTATCATGATGTCGTAATGACAAGTTAAATGCTGAGCAGTTCGGAATTCAAACAAGATTTTATGGCAGCAAAGTCGTCTCATCTCTTTTCTTTCTTGCTTGGAACTGACTTTCATGGTAATTTAAATAACAGTTGGATTTGCGGTTTATTCAAACTAACTTTAAATCCCATTAGAATTTTCGAGGAATTCCTTCCTGTGCTAAGAGTTGACTTTTTACTCACTTCTCACATCGCCCAAGGCTTGCAATTCTAATCCGTTACTTTTATTTATCGAGAAGCGAGTTCGTTAAGAACTATACGCCTGACTTCTATACGCGAAAAGAATGCCCACAATATTAGCTATTAGTCTATAAACGAAGCAGGCGCCGATCAACGCAGCAGTTTCTGTGCAATTTCTGAGTTTACGTCGTGTAACACTCAAGGCTTGGATCCGTTTGCCCCGCACAGCACGTGCCAGTCGCGGCAGGCCGCACAATCAGAGCTCTGCGTGGTCACCATAGCAAGCAAAGTTAGACGCTGGCCATGTCGACGCAGCGCCACTGAAGGCTATAGTCGTATTATTGGAGCGCTGTTTGCGACATGAATGGTCGCAAGATTTGAACATAATTGCAAGTTTTCTCTGGATGCCTTCACCTTTCTTTGTGAATGCTTTTTGAGTGATCCAATTGGGATGACACGGGTAACTGACGCAATAGAACTTGTACCCATTTCTAGACTATTTGCGCTGTAAATAATTTGCCTAAAGTTATTTGTATTCTATAATAATTACCTTATACTATTTGTAAATCCTGTTTATACATTAATAGTAATTATTATTTTGTAATATTAATACATGATCATTCTATTGATCTATTCTGAAACAGTTATGGCGTGCGATATTATCGTCCAAGTTCCCCGATTAACCGTCAGCGTTTCCGCGACGGCAGTTGCCAACGCACACCCATACGATGTTCAGCACTGGAATCCATGCGACGTCCCTCACAATTCATGGTCAAACCCGAGATCACTGCTCGATGTGGAGGCCTCCGATGTGTGACAAAATGTAAACAAATCCTTAACATCGGATTGGCTGTTATACTACGTGACTCGATAAGACTATTGAGGATCCGGTGCATTATTCTTTGGAGGGCTGCTGCTGTACGCTTTACACTGAGTTATTTGCCTGCAGCTTTGGTTACAAGGACTCCATCCTTCCCTGTAGCTGAGAGGACACATTGGACGGGTCTTCAGGTATCATATGAAGCGTCAATTGAGAAAATCTTAATAGGAATTATTTTCACCAACCTCTCGTGAGGCTGTATTGAACAATGGACAAGCCTTCAGAGGCTCCCATAAGTCATGAAAAAAATGTGATGAAACTGCTTGCTAATTCGGGAAACGTAGAAAGTAGCAACAGTTGGCTATGCTATTCGTGCCAAGAATGCTATTCAGTAAACAAAATATTTACTGCAATAGGTAATCGGCGTAGCTCTGTAAGAAATTCTTCGCTTAAGACTGCAGCGGGGCGTTTGTTCCGATAAGCATTTGCCGCTGGGTCAGACTCAACAGTTACTTACGACGCTCGGCCATCACTAGAGTCGCTTCAACAATGTTAATTATCGTGCAAATAAAAATTTGTGTTCGCCCGAAATGACAGAAATTTGAAGTCTACCATCATTGAATATTGATGGAAAATAAATTTTCCTAATCGATAATTTTCTTTGAGAAATTGGAAAATTCGAACAGCTTCCCTAAACTCATTTGAAACGAATATGTAGTGGCTTAAATTTTTAGTTCGTTTACTTCATCCCCTGTGGAAATGTCACGTCCGCACGTGTATCTTCTCAACCCAGTTCAATGAATCCATTTATATGAAGCATGCGATCTGGAACCTCGTGTAATTTTTGCCACGTGTGTTCGTCAGTCGAGCATCCAAGGTGATTTGAATAATCGTTAGCAACATACATGGAATCCAGTAATCATGTCACGAACACAACAGTTAGTGAATAATATAAGATGATGGTCATCTATAGGCTGCTGTTACAAAGTATATGATTAGCAACCAATAACAAATGTAATGAATGTATTCGTAATGTAATGAAATAAATAATGTTGGTAAATGTAACACAAATGTAATGAAAGAAATTTCTATTAAATCACTCAGTTGAATATTATAAATAATTTCTTCAAGACACCTTCCTTATGAAATTTCTTAGACACATTAAAGTTAAACATACATCACCGAAATGGTCAAGCCTAATTGTACAATATTTGGACAAGAGAGATTAGTAACAAACCTTATCTCATATAATTTTCTTTGGAACTGTACATACTGAAACTTCATCGACATAGACGTTCCCATTTTCACAATTCAGCGCAAAAATGTCAAAAATGAAGACTATTGACTTAATTCTTTCATGAAACGTGATTTTGTCTTCAAATTGAAGCTTATTGCTGTACGATGTAAAACGATGTAAAGTGTCAATTTTTAGCAACAATGTGATTTCTTTATAAGAATTTACGTGTTTAACTTTTGCTGCTCTCCAAGTCACTGTGAATAATCAGGAAAAAAATATAGTGTGTTTTAGAAAAATTTACATTGGAAAACTCAAAATAAGTTAGGTGATTATTTACATTGGAAAACTCATGGTTGAACTAATTTCAACCATGATTAAACTGACGCAGTCCACACATGCCTTCAACGCGCTACACTCATGCGGCAATTTTTCTGTGCTGGAGCGGGGCAAACGAACCAAAACGTGTACTATTCTAGATTTTTTGTGGCCACAAATGAGTGGAATATTTCATATTATCATCTCCATAACTTTGAACATTATAATTTTCATCCAACTTTAAAATTAAAATTAAGTAGCACTATAAAATCATGTTATTCTTTTTATTTTAAATACTTATGGTCAGAATATCAATTTATAAAAATGACACGACTGAAATTTTATTTTCAGCATTTCATTTTTGTAATAAGATTTAATCACATCACAGGGAAAATTTTTTGAATATGATTACAAAGATTAAATTTGAGAAAAGAATGTTAGATGGCAATTTGAATTAACACAGAAGCAGTGTTAAAATATTCACAGGAATAGTAGTACGCAACAGTGGAAATACAGTGTTTTTTTCATAGTTTTTGTCCAAGACTAAGTAACGTTATTTTTCGATGGTTGACCTTCATTTTTACAGGACGCCACGTGCATTTGGTAACTCAAGATTGCTCTTTATAAACTTGTTCAGCACCCGTGATGCATTTTAAATGTCATTTGCATGGCAATTAAGCGCGAAAGTTCTACAATACAAAAGCGTGTCAATAATTATTTAAAAGAGTACCTGAAAATTTAATATAAATTCACAATGCAGAGGTTGAAGAATCGTGCTTAGCCGTTTTTAAAGTCCAGCGTGAGTATTCATGAAATTTAAAGCCACTATTCATGTTGTAATTTCGGAAGATTTAAGCTATTTATAGCCACTATTCGCGTTCTAATTTCGGAGTGATTTTTGAACGGTCCAAGCTTTAATGAGAACTAAAGCAGGGTAGGTTTATACAAGGTTAACGCTAGATAACGAACAAGCTAAACGTCAACAGAACACTGCCAATCAAACACCCAACCCCTCGACGTTCCTGCCCTGGGCAACAAATCCGCTAAAAACCGCAGAAAACAAGTCAAGTTTGACTCGTCATCGCATCGAGTTGTAAGACTTCTTATCATTGCCTCGAATTTTCTTATCATGTGATTATCAGATGACTTAATCAGAAGGGGAAATTGCAGGTCATTGATGACAAAAAGCAATGTAAATCAAATATATTTTAGTTTTCGTGAAAATTATTAATACGAAATTATTTCCTATGAATTAATAGTGCGAATAAGGAGCTACGGTGCCGTTGGCATTGTTAGACAGTTCCTTACCTAGGTGTGCTACTTTCTTTTCCAGTCACTGCACAAAATTACATTAGATTTTTTTTCTGACGAAGCGAAGATTATAACAAATCATGTTCCCGTGAGACGAACAAACAATTTGCAGGGAATTAATAGTATAGCAAATCAACAAATTTGTAGCCACTTATATTCCCAACAAACTGTTGTGCCTGTCAACACCTGAATATTCGGGTCGGTATAAACAACTCGACAGTATCATGAATGAAGAACTTAAGCCATAACTCGGATTGTGCTTTTTCCTGCGCATGTGAGGAAGTCGTCGTCTTGAAGATCGCGCAGTGCATCCTCGTACATTTCTCGCGTGATCATCTGTTGGGAAAAGGTCACCTCTTAGTAAAAAAAATAATAATAACCTGCAATTGTCACGAAATTTGATGTCACAGTTAAAACTATAGTGTGAGGGACTAAAAATTAATGAAAAGCGTCAGATGTATCTCAAAGTACTTGCGTAACTTGAAAAAAAAAATAACTCAGTACTCACTGCAGTGAGTGACAGAGAGCGCATTTTCTCGCCGACGAAAACGTGAGGTCACGGACGGACATGGCGAGCACAATAGTGCATTTTTTCCATGAATGAGAAAATGCGCTAAAAAGATGTCATGCATCTAGCTCCTAAATCCACATCATGATAATCCGTATAATCATTTGAGGTTTAATCAAAAGTCAACCCATATCATCCCCTAAAGAGTGTTCATTTGAAAGAGATAAGAAATACTCACAATATCCGAGGCCTCTTTGAGTTCGCCGTATATTTTCTGCATGTTGTGCGTGCCGCTCTTGCCCTTGGTCTGCAGGAGTTTCCTAAGCGCCTGCGCCACTTCAACACGTCGCTTACGAGACGCGGCGCTCTGGCCCGTAGTTAGGATACTGACATCTATCTTGCCAGAGAGAGGATCAGTCGCCGATTGCTTCAGGGCTTCTCGATGAAGCCTAGTGAAATAATATATAAAAATATTACATAGTGCTAAAAAACTACCCAAGTAACTTTAAAGAGATTATTCAACATATAAGTTTCAAGTTCAAAAGAGGCCAATAATTGAAAGAATCCTTAACAAACCTCCAGGCTTCCTCGACATCAGCGACTTCTACAGTGTGAGCAAGACGGACTTTGGCGTGTGCCTCAGCAAGCCTGATCAGCGACTCCAGTTGCCGAGGGTAGGCTGTGACCTGGCCACGGCCGCTACCCACCTGAAAGAAAGCATTCACAATTATTGTAATTTAATGTTGAAAATAAGATAGGGACACTACTGTTTAATTACACACGAAGTATCTTAAGAAATCATATGTGGGGAAATTTAATTACCAAAGTATATTCCTAAAAACAACAATGCCAACATAAAAAATCTGGAATCAAGAAGCAAAATTTTCAACTTATGGGACATTAACTGGAATTAAATCAGTCAAGTAAAATAAGCAAGGTATACTACGAAGCATGCGCATCTCAAAGAAATAAATTGCGTTCAGTGGCGTAAATCATAACGCTTGTGGCCACAAATAATTTTCATCAAAAAAATTTCTTTAGTCATGAACCAGTCAAGTTCATCATTGTAGTTCAGCAGCTTAAAATGACGTGATCAATGTTTTAACATAAGTAATATAATAGAATAGTAGGTAAGTAATAGTAGTTGAAATGGTAATAGAATGTTTTCTAGCGCTTCAATAAAAAATATAACTCAGTACTCACTGAAGTGAGTGACAGAGAGCGCATTTTCTCATCGACGAAAACGTCAAGTCACGGACGGACAGACGGACAGACAGACAGACGGACAGACAGACAGACGGACATGGCGAGCACAATAGCGCCTTTTTCCATAAATGCGAAAATGCGCTAAAAAGGCGTCAAAATTATTAAATTTATATGTTTAGATGCGCACCTTCCTCATGTCAACATAGGCAGCAATGAGGCGCTGAGCGGCGTCTTCAGACAGCTTAGGGTGGACGTACTCGCGTGCATACGACAGGTAGTCCCTGAGCACCGTCAGGTCCAGGGCCTCTGACTCGTCCTCACCATCGTCGCGGTAGTACAGAGAGACCAAGTGACGAGCCAGACGACGGTCAAATAGTTCGTCCTGCAAGCATAAATACAACAAATTTACCAGATGACAAGTATTCTGCTACTGTTCGCTTACAAATAAACAGGTTCTTTCAATCAGATAAAAAACAATAGCGCCTTTTTTCTATAAATGAGAAAATGAGCGAAAGAAAGACGGAAACATTTTTGTAATGTAAAATTTTACCTGCGGGTCGAGGATGAGGAAGATCAGGTCGAATCTTGACAGAAGCGTATGGGGAAGTTCGATATTTTCAATGATTGTTTTGTTTTTGTTCCACTGCGACTCGACAGGATTAGCTGCAGCCAGGATTGAGGTGCGGGCATTGAGTTGACAAATGATGCCAGCCTTAGCAATGCTAAGGGTTTGTTGTTCCATCACCTCATGAAGCACAGACCTGGGTAACGATTGACGTAAGTTTAAACAGAATTGTACACGTATGGCTTAAAGATGCGGCGTGCATGTGGACACAGGAATCACATTTGATCTAACTTGAATAAACCCTATAACAACAGAACAACTTTCATTACAGAATGAAGACAAGACGTAAAATTTTACACGTGAATTATAAAATGTGGGAAACATTAACTAAAATATTAATTTTCATCATGAACATTATGGAGCTAATAAAGGTAATCCGATGAATTATGCCCATGAATCAATCATGATACGAAATAAATCATTCTAAACATAACATTCATTTTATACGTGTTATGAATGATAAATAAAATAATATTGATACATGTACAATATCTGCCTAAAATGATAGCAATCCATAAAGTATTCTGTGTAAAACTCAGACAACTGACCTAGTTGAGTCAGACATCTTATCGAACTCGTCAATGCAGCAAATGCCGTTATCAGCAAGAACGAGAGCACCGGTTTGCAGCACGAGCTGCCTCGTCTCAGGGTCCTTGGTGATGTAGGCCGTTAGACCCACAGCGGATGAGCCTTTACCGCTGGTGTACTGAGAGCGAGGCAATAGACGGTACACGTATTGCAGCAGCTGTGATTTGGAAGTGCCAGGGTCACCGCACAACAAGATGTTGATGTCAGACCTGCGATTAGAGAAACGGTGAAGAAATAAACCTTGATAAATGTAGATTCACATGTGCTAAAAGATGTTTAATTTTGCCTTCAAAAAAATGTACGCCAAGTAAGAGAGGAAGAAATTTAAATTTCATGTCAAAACTTATATTTATAAAGATTTAATTTATACTTACTTATATTTTACTTATATACTTAGATTTACTTATATTTATAATTGATTTAATAGTTCAAGATATCGCATGTATAGTTCGAAAATTATGAATATTGGCATTGAACTTTTCTTACCTGAAGTGGCCTTTGCCGGCATTAGTGAAGTCCTTTTTAGTTCCTCCGAAAAGCTGAAGGAGAATGCCCTTTTTAATGTCCATGTTCTCATAGATGGAAGGTGCAATAGCTCGCGCAAGTCTTTCATACACGTCGGGCTTGCGTGACACTTCTTTCAACAGGTCCAAGCGCTCGGGACTCAAACGTACTTGGTCACTGTTGTAGAGCAGGGACGTTTCAATAGATTACAAATATTGATATTAAGGACATTATTATTATTTTTTGGATTCATGTCCGCACGATAAAAACGGTCTGAACATGTTAAAGTTGAAGCAAAAGCAAATAGATTGTAAGTAAACGTTTGAATAATCTGTTGCCTTATAGTAAATTGATAGGTAAAGAAGTCTCACCCATCTTCAGAGCCACGCAGTCGTTTATCGTCCATCTTTCTGTAATGGACGACATCGATGTGAGTGCGGTAGACTGCGTTTACGTTCCTCATTCTAGGATTGACACGCAGAGGCACGGCGCGGTAAATACCCGTGACCGAGATGCGGTCACCAGGCTGTACTTTGTCCACAAGATCGTTGTGGGCAAACAGTTGCACGTTGTGGGGAGTTTGACCAGCGGGCATATCATCTGATCAACATGTGCAAAATTATACAGAGCTGGAAGGATTGACAAAACGAAACAGAGGACCGAATATTTTTGTGCATAACATGATTGTGAATAGTTTAAAGATCAACAGGCGCATTGTAATTTATTTAGCCCAACACAGATGATAATTCTTACAAATCTTTTCTGAACAACTCACATATTCAGGAGTTCAAGGCCGGAAATGTTACAACAAATCTCGACGTTCGACGCAACTGAAAATTTTTCATTTTTCAAATTACTTTGGCGAAAAGTGTGAAAAGCTATTGCTTGGAATTACCTGGTGCCTCCTGGAGCTTGACCATCTGCTTATCAGAAAAATGCGAACGGTTGTGGATCATTGTGAAGCTGTGCGACGTGTTGCAGTGAGTGCACAAAGTTGGCTCGGCGATTCGCCCACGGTCAATTTCTACAGAAGCAGTGAATGCACACACATGGCATCTGAAGAAAGCCTCGCGCATCTCTGGTATGATGTTAGACGTCCGGATAACCATGCCACATATGGTTATGAGTTGGTCAATGTCTGGCAAGAAAATAACACATTACAAAGTTAATTACAACTAATTCATCACTAATTGGCTTTATCAAAGATTGGCTAACTAATATCAAAGATTGGCTTTATCCACAAACACAAATTTAGGCTCATTTTAAAACACATGGCAGGCGCATGTGCATTGGGAAAGAGAAAGAAATACTTGCTAAAAAAAATTGCCCAAGTAACAGACAAGACATGAATAAAAACCTGTATTAGCCAGAATTAAGAGTGGAAACAAACCTTCAGGGTTGAGAGCTCTCATATTACGCGTCTTGTCTGCATTGTAGGGACGAACTTGGATCTGATGCTCCAAGATGGTGTCAGGGTAACGCTCAAAAAATACCTCATTTATGGCCATGTCAAATGTAGGGATTACCTGCAATGATTAAACACAAATATAATTCTTAATTGGTTAAACTAGAACCCGTTTATCCAATGAATTTAAAAATGCATGAAGATAACACGGTTTTCGTTAGGTATTTTTATTCATTATATTTTTTACATTACAATGCAGAAATATTTTTTCACACAAAAATTTCTTTCAATTTGTAAATAAATGCATATTGCGGAAAGAATTGCGAGGTAATCATCTATGTACTAAAATATTAAAAACAACTGAGAAATATTTAAAAATTTTAGATATAAAATAAAGAACGTTCTCCTCAAATGAAACATTCAAACAGGGTTTCTTACTTCTTGAGGATAGCAGATAAGCTGTCGGTAGAGATCAGGATCAAACAACTGCAAGTGACGGCAGTTGAGTTCGAGTTTCTGCAGGTAGAGAGGTTCAGTGGAGCTGAAGTGGGAGGGAGTTGCGTCATCAGCCAGATCGTCGGCAGGCACAATGAAGGTGCGGATAAGCTCCTGGAAGCGTGCTCGACACTCGCTCACCACAACGTCAGTGCCCCAAATTACGAGCTGTGGCCCTGTCATGTTGAAATTTGCATTATAAACTCCTGACTCTTCAATACAAAAAAAAATATTAAATCGACAAAGGTGCTTCGTCAAAGCTAGAGACATGCAGATAGTCTGAGGATAGGAACAGTCATTAGTGTATTATTCTCCTATCAAAAAGTCTGCGGGCAATCAAATTATTTTGGTTTTTTTAGGACATATACTTAGATGTGCGATAATAAATATTATATATTTATTACATAATATCCGGATATACTTGTCATAACGCAAAAAGGGATAGGTGAAATTTTACAGATATCAACATAAAAATTTATAATGAAAAAAAGCTTCACTGTATTACCTTCAGCATGCTGAGTGCCTGGGGCGGCCACAGACCCTGGAGTGACAGGACCAGGCGTGGCACTGCCATCAGCACTTGCGGCTTCACTACCTACAGCAACCTGGACAGAAAGCACAATTCAAGAACACTTGTAGAAATTATACAATAAATGAATTCTAAATGACGCTCACTATTTTTACTCATCTCACGCTTCTATGATGTCCTTTTGGCTTTGGCTGGCTTTAAGAAAATTATACCTAATAAATTTACACAATCCAACAGAAAATTTAAATACAACTATATTTATAATTAATTTGAACCCAGGAGCCATGAATAGCAACAGTGATCACATAATAAGCAGTTGCATGCATCATACCTGTCTGTTTGAACCCAAGAGCCTGAATAATATTATGATTATACGTAATAAGCAGTTGCATGCATCATACCTGTCTGACGCGCCTGTCTGTTCTGATGTCAGGACGAGGTCTGATAGGAGTGCCACGCACGCCTGACCGAGGTGTGCGCATTGAGCCAACGCTGCTAGGGGTGCCATAGTTCAGAGGTGACGAGAGATCAGCCTCGGAGACACCTGAAATCATTGTTACAAAATTATCAAAATAAAATAATGCTGACCATGATTTTATTGAATCCAATGAAAAATAATGCATGGTTAATATGCAGTGGGACTTGAAGGTTCTAGAATCACCAGTATTTGACCATTTTAGTAGAATAAAGGGTGAACTCAATCAACTGCAAGGACAAATAATGTACCTACCAATAGAGCAATTCTAATGATGAACATTTATGCCACATGCAATAATATAAATCACACAGGGAAGGTCATACACAGTGCAGCAGGTCTTATATCATTACTACATGAATGACAACTCAATATATGTCATGAAAATTAAATTTAACAGCTCAAACTTTTACCAGGCAAAGGACGGGCAAACTGAGGAGCAGGAGATGTAGGAGGGAGCAAGTCTCCACCCACACTGGGGGAAGTAGGGGGCAGGGGGAGGAGTTCAGATGACTCGGAGCCTTTGGATCGAGTTGTCCTGTGCCAATCAAAAAATTATTATGAATATCACGGCCCCATATATCTATTTTATTTGCAGTGAAAGACACCAAAATAAGGCCAGTCTAGCCAATACCATAAAATGTGCATAAACAACACAGCAATTTGTCCTGTGCCATAAACCCCCAAGATAATTTTATCCATGATTTCTAGATTACATATGAAACAGAACTAAAACTGAGAATTTGTTTACAAGATGCTTGCAAATGATCCCAATCTGCTTGTGCATAACACACAAGCCTAAATTTAAAATAAAAATCAGGCAAAGCAGATCATTTGCACCAGTAACTTTTAGAAATTGCCATGGAACAATCATTGCAACCAGCAAAATTTTTTGAAATCTATGTAAAATCCCCCTGGCATAAAGGTTTTAGGCTCAATCTGCCCCACAGCAAATGCTACAATAATTTGACTTTACCTTAATTTAACATTTTTTCACTCAAATCTAGCAGCATGACTTTTAATTTATATGAATCAATAATTAAAAGTCCATGTTCAAAAGAAGTGGTTGTAATGTCAAATAAATGAAATAAGGAGCAAAAAACTGGCCAAATTTCGACATCTTTTCGCTTCAAACCTGCGACTTGGTGAGCTGGACGGAGGGACAGCAGGAGATGAGGGCTTGCCCCGCCGTCTTGGAGAAGAAGATGGTGGTGGAGCCAACTCGGATGTCGGAGGGACAGCTGGAGAAGAGGGCATGCCCCGCCGTCTTGGAGAAGAAGAAGGTGGAGGAGCCAACTCAGATGTCGGAGGGACAGCTGATGAGGCTCTTCGGCTTGGCGTTGACCTTGTGGATCTTGCAGGCGATGACATGATTAATCTATAAAAGAAAAGTATTTGGATAGGGAACACATAAAATGATAAAAACTTTGAAACAGAGATTACAAAGATGGAAAAAGAATTACATGAGGAGGCCACATACCCATACCAGCAGTATCATACATAAAAAAATGATTGAAATCTTGGGTAAATGAGGAAATTAAAAATTAACTGATTCTAAAGAAGCTGTCGTTTGCCACTATGCCCAAAGCCAATAACACACGCAACTCAGGAGTAACCATATAGTAGATACAACGCAGTTTTAGAGTCCATAGTGCCAACTTGAAATATTGGACAGAAGTTTACTGAACTGTTGGGTAAAAACCATTGTTTCAGGTGATATTTTTGGAAAATCCTGAGCAAAACTAGGCTAGTTTCTCATTTTTTCTTGAAAAAATTGGGAAAGGGGCATGAGAGTGGGTTGAGTTGGCCAGATTCACAAGCAACTTTGTCCAATTTTTTGGTGGCTTCTGCCAAATTCTCTACTTTGGTATGACTGTGGCCCTGCAGTGCTCAACCTGCCACTGTAAAAAAGGTTCAATGTTGTACAAATAAAAATTAATCTTGTTAATTTCTACACAAGTAGCCTACATGCCTGCCATGGGCCATCTACAATTCAACATGGTGTTATCACTGTTATAATGAGATTTGGCAGGCCCATAGTGGCAAACCAGAAATTTGTTTGGTATCAGTTTATTTTCAATTTCCTCATCTACTCAATACATCAATCAATTTCTCATGTATGACAATGCTGGTAGCCAAGATTTCAAATGACACGAGTTTAGATCTATGAACAAGGCACGAAAAGGAAAAGAATCGGCGACAGGCCACATCAGGCCTACACTTCAGCGCCGACATCACTATGTTATGTTATACTTTTTGGTGAATGTCGCATATGAAACTCATCCATGCGACATTTCTTCTCGCTTCGAGTCACCGACATGTGAAACAGCCTGCCTGATCACATCGTTGAAGCTTATAGTGAAAACGCGCTCAAGAACAGACTAGAAAAAGCTATGCAGGAGCATATGTTCAGTCTTGAAATGCCTGGCACCTTACGGACCTGTTGATAAGTCCGGTAGCTAGCTCATACCAACGTCAGCTATGAAAAAGATCTGGTCTTTCAGTTTTTAAGATTTTAGGTATCCTGGGGATCAAGTCGTGAAAAGTACAAGAATCGGCAACAGGCCATGGTCCTATTTTATTAGCATCCACGTTTTTATTCTATTATATTCTATTCTATACGGACACCATAAACTTGACCTATTCACACTGAATCGAGACTTCTCCTAACTCAACCCGCGAATTATTCAGCGGACTCAGGCGTAAAAAGCAAATTTTGTGCAATCAAAAAAATTTCATTAGTACAGTTATTACAGATTATTTCGTTATTTTGTTTTAACGAAAATGAAAAAACGCAACTGTTGCGCAACTCGACAGGCCGCGCTTCCCTTAATCCTGAACGGATCAGCCTAATATATAGTGTAATATAGTAGGCTGAAAATTTCCTATTACTTGCATTTCGACCGCTAAGATCAAGCGTGACCAGCTCTAAATGGGCGTTCGTAACTTAGCTTCAATTTCTGGTGTCAGTCAGTTAAGCTGCTGATCGGAACTGGCGTACTGTCATTCCTCTAATAGGATTATATCTCCAACGGCAGGGTATGTCATAGCGTGCGATAGTGTCGACGTTCGAACGCAACGTGATGTACCCGTGATAGTGAAGATTTAATAACTAATTGATTGTCATTCTTAGGCACTTGCTCATGGCTTTCCGGTTTAGGAACACGCGCTTCATCTCGTAACTCCCAGTTTCTCATTACGCATTTGATTTGTCACAGCTCTCACATCGGTCTCACGAGTCCGAATTGCTAATTTGTAGTTTCCTATTTCGCAACAGTTGTGTACAGACTGCTCGTTTTGAATTGTTAGATGAATAATTTGCAGTATATCTAGAATATTCTTACTTTACCTTGACATTGGCGTTTCCAATCTCAACAGCCCAAGCCTTGCTCGACTTCTGAGGCCAACGATGGAACTCCTACCGTCTATTATGGTTTGCTGGTGCGATAGTAAATAGGGCTCCAGCCTATGGATGATCTGATGTCTAATTCTCTATCAGTCCAGCTTGATATTAGCCTCTAGTGAGGCAAGGTAAATTGCTGGTTAATATACAGATAGATTGTTGGTTTGGGCATGGGTTTTACCCTCGACCCAACCTTGGCGAATATATTTGAGTTTTCACGAGGTTTCATGGCTGTCAATTCTCCTCCTGATCTTAAACTAATTTTTTATAACTCATACGTCGATGACGCCTTTCTTATATTCAAGCATCCCTCTCGTGTTAAACTTCTTCTATTACCTAAACTTGAAACATTATTCTATTAAATTTACCATGGAACTTTAATCGAGCAATAGTTTGCCCTTTCTCGACTGCAATGTTACTATGTCTAATGGCCGTTTTCAAGCATCTGTTTTCAGAAAATCAGCTTTCACCGGCCTATGCACCAGGTTTTTTTCTTTTTTTTTCTTTTAGATTAAAGTTAAACGGGCTTCAAACACTATTACACCGCGGCTTTCGTATTTGCTAGACTTTCCATACCATTCATTCCGAATTAGAATTATTGAGCGATATCTTTTCGCTCAATGGATTTCCTTCTGGCTTGGTGATTACCCTAATTAACAAATACATGTCAAAGCGATACAGCGAAGTTTCAGAGCCTGATAGTAGAAACGTTGTTTACTGTTGTTCTCTTCCATACATCTGCCATGCGTCCGAAGTTGTGTCGAGAGAAAGTATTTGTTTATGAAATACTTACCGGACATAAATTCTTCGTATCTTACTGGTGAATAATTTTAAAATAGGTTCACTTTTTAGGTTCAAAGATATCCTCCCTTCTCACGTGCGATCGTCCCATGTTTATAAATTTAGTTGTGTACGATGTGCATCAGCGTACGTTGGTATGACGGAACCCAAACTTTGAAATTGCACTAGGGTCGCTGAGAATAGAGGAGTTAAAGGACTGGGCAGTTACTGTTGCGCCCTCCTTATTCGGCTGTGCCCATGCACTGACACCGAACAGTGCAACGTTCTAGTGTCAGACACTGACTTTCAGGTTGTTGCTTGTATTTCTGGTGCATCCGATCTGCGAATTTTGCAATCATTGTATATTTTTGAAGAGGAGCCTAGTTTAAATGCAACCTATAGTTCTCATCCATTAGAAAGTGTGATAAGATAGGAATTTACTAAATTACTCTGCCCTTTGCCTGTAAATTTAGGTTTTTAACTTGTGTATTTTTCTTTGGACTCCAAACTTAATTAATTTTCTGATTGTATTTGTGTACTAGATTTATTGAACTGACGATGGAGCTGGTCTCCGAAACGTTTTCAATAGAGATGTGCTGAATTTCTGTCGAGTTTTCTTCGTTTTTAAATTTCCAGTGAATCTGCACTTCAAGTAATCTAGTGGCACAAATATCAAGTAATCTAGTGGCAATAAGTACAAATTTAAGTTTCAGTGTTGGTAGTTACTAGAATTAACATTTCAATCGCACATCTACAAGCAATCCCAATGAGCGCGTTTTCTTCTACATATTTTTAAATTAACAACGGGTGCTTGCTATATCGCCTGAGAAGTTTTTATTTTATTCATTTCGGGTACTTTAAGCTTGATTAGATCATTTAGATGGATGCTGAAGTGACTGTGAAATGTTGATCAGTTTTGTCCAGTGCGTGTAGTTTTATGGAAAACATTCCTGGTACTGTCACGGCGATCTGCAGGAGCGGCGGGAGAATTCTATACCGTAGTTTACTATCTTGCCGTCTATAGAGATAATCACGCCACTGCCTGCTGCTAGAAAACCCTTCACTTGCTCTCTGAATTACGGCTTTGAAGGAAAATTAAGCAAGGCAGGAAAGCGAATAAGTCATTATCTTGTGACAACTGTTGCAAACTATAGACAGCAGTGGTTCCGCCCAAGGGGGCGCGATGTCAAACAAGAGTGTGAAAAATGAATATTTAATTTTAATAACAGCCCCAAAAAATTTCTTCGCCGAAAAAAGACATTATTGCGGACCTGGAGAAACTGCAAACAAAAGAACATTACATAGGATAGCAAGTCGGCTGCATTCATGGGTTGACAGAATTTACTTGTGTTGTGTATTTGGCGCTATCAGCCATTCGGCCGATTCCCAACCCAAACTAAGTGCACATGACTCGTGATGAGGTTGTAAACTCCAGCGTGTACTGTGTCCAACTGGCCCGAAGGAAGAGGGCAAGTAGTATAAGCAAGAAACTGCATAACATAGTGGAAGAAGTCTCTTAATATCTAGAGCTAACTAGCTGTCGCTGTTGTCGGCGTCATCTGCGAGAGCCGCCAGAAGTCTCAAAATAGTGCCTTCCAAACTGCTTGTATCGCGTACCTCTGAAGGATTCCGAACAGTTATCGCACAGAAGATGTGTCCTCTTGCTGGCATTGAATTTTGGACCGGCAACTAACGTGCACGACACAGAGCCGCATGGTGCGTTCGCCGTTAGGGGGCAAACTTTGGGATGGGTTAAACTTAAATACTACGGTGTACCTAAATTATGCCGATGTCTTTCTAGTTTCATTTTTAGTATTTCAAGAAGAGTATCTTTCGCTGACGCAATTGAATTGAATTGAATTTACAGGTAAGATCTGTGCGTTGATACGGGCCAGATTGGATCCTATCCAGTGCCAGTCTGGCAGTCATCACAAATACATAAGCAAAAGATCTTTTGTATTACAAGAACAATTTGAAAGCTTCCAGTGGAGTGTTGTGGGTACCAGTGGAGTGTTGTGGGTACCAGTGGAGTGTTGTGGGTACCAGTGGAGTGTTGTGGGTACCAGTGGAGTGTTGTGGGTACCAGTGGAGTGTTGTAGGTATAGTTTGGGAACTACTGTCGTATAATCACTGTCTTCAACAACAAAAACATCGTTTTGCCATGCGCTGCCACTCAAATCAAATCACATTCCCAGTGACAATTCCCCGTCAACTGTAACTATCCTGCATTTGGCTAAAGAAACAGAAGCTGGAATGCTGGCGATGGCCACCCCGCAAGAATATTTCTCTCGCAACAAGGAGTCTCTTCATAATACTGCTGCAGAACAATGTGGCTCGGGGTTAGCCAGCGACAAGTCCTATACAATTTAGTCATTACTTACATACATGAGCAAACCTGCGAGATAAGTACTTAGTAGACACTTTGTGAATGTGATCATTTTGAACTTATCATCGACGTAGCTTGCTGCATTCAAGTGCCACGTGTGAAGAACTGCAATAACTGCAGGAAACGTGGCTACATTCACAGACCACGTAGCCATCGGCAAAGGTAAGTTAATCCTAAGCTCACAATTAACAGGAATACCTCGGTGTCAGGTTGTAAATACTGACACAGGAACACCTTGCGACTGGATGTGAATACTTCAACTTCAGTCAGAAGAACTTCAGGAGACTTCAGTGAGAAAAAAACCACAAACTCGACGGCGCATGCAGATAGACAGATAAGACTACAACGCTTTCAACAACGTTAGAAATAAAGCAGCAAGATCAAGCGGTGCAGTGAAGAGGAAGCATGGAGCAAGACTTGGTAGTCCTTATATTTGCAACTTGCATCACCTCAGACTTACAGGGGGGCAAGATCGATGTCTTCGAATATGCCCATGGAGGGTGTAACACAATGCGGCCGCAATTACACCTTCACAATGGCATGGATACGCGGGGACACTTTATATAGCGCGCCAGAATTATAAGCAAAGGAGCATTAGAGTTGGAAATTATTTTTTAAATGTCGTATCTATATGTCAGAGTCCTCCAGAGATTGTAACTGCGCCCACTTTTAAATACAGGTTTGATAAATTATGAGACGACCGGCCGGACCTTTTCGGCCCATAGTGCTATTACGAGCTAAAAACTTTGCCAACCATGGTTCTGAGGGCCATTAATGTTCATGTGCTCATGGTGCATCGAGATCCTACCTTGAACAAAGCCATCAGTATTCAGTACTCTACACACGAATCTAGCTGCTTTGCGTCAACAACTGACCTGAGAGCTATGGAAGCAACAAAATTTGTCAGTGGGTTAGAAGGTTGAAAGTCATGCATGTTAATTTAATCGTGTCATTTTATCGTTATGGACAACCGGATTTAGGTAACTGACCGTACAATTTTACTATCTCGGCTCTCGCGGACCGCCGGATCCCTGAGGCAGAGGCAGAATCCATAAGATCCCTTGGCAACTCTGCATCTGTAACCGTGTAAACCTTAACAACCATCGATAGGTGTTGAAAAATGCCTTCAGTTTATTCAAAATTGATGCATCATACTTGTTATGAGATAGGCCATACATGGAATTCATCTTGTTGCTATTGTATGTTGGAAGGATTCCTCAGTGCTTTCATCTACAGTTGCAAAATGTATGGCCTTGTTTATGGGGTGAGTGGCTAGCCAGGCTAGGGGACTAGGATCTAGGGGTTCATGCAGAGATGCTTTTTCCTGTTTACATAAGTGATAAATTTTTTTATGTGTGAATACTATTCAAATTTTAGGAAAAATTACACAATATATTAAGTGCAAATCAGAATGGAATTATTGGATTGATGGTTAATATAGGGTAAACGCGGTATATTCCGACACTTTAAGGACGCATTGAGAAATGAAAAACTATGAAAAAAAACTGTATGCGTTACGTAAGTTCTGTTGCCTTCACATGACTCTCAATTCACTACGCGTCAGCAACGATGAAAAGTCACAAAATGTTGCCATATTTATTAAAAAGCCTTTAGAATGGAAACCTACCAAATCCCTATATTCCGTCACTTTGTGTGGCAACATCCGACACGTGGTGAGTCGTATTG